TCTTAGAAAAAAAACGTAGTTTAATAATGACGTTAGGTTTTATTTTTTCGTTTTTTTAAATAAGCTAAGATTAATATTTCACATAAAATTTTGATTTTTTTAATTATGTTACGGGTTTTATATTGGCTCGTAAACAGATGTTGAATGACAAGACAACAAACAAAATGAAAACTCGAATAAAAATATATATTGCCAAGTTTATTTTCGTTAAAGAAAATACATCGACAAAAATAAGGCTACAGTGCACTAAACATAAAATATCTCTACATGTTCATGCAGAGCAGCATTTCTCCACCATTTTGCCCTTGCGTAACCCTTAAAATAAATTACATGTCTCAAGGAAACCCTGCGCAAAAACAAAATTATATCCTATATCTTTCTCTTTTTATTTTCATCGTAGTTCACGTGGTAAATATCATAATATATATTTCTGAATAACTAGTTTAAGGAAAAAATAATACTTCTTTGTTAAATTTTTCGGTAATGCTAAATAAAATTCATACTGTTCGTTTATAACACTTCATCAGGGTGGGATACCTCGGCGTGGTGTAATGGTTAGCAAGCTTGTCTTGCTAGATCAGTTACTATTGAAAAGTGAGTTCGATCCTCACTGGGTGCCCCATACTTTCGGCCTTGTGCCACATCTAAGCTATGCTTAGAAAATCATTTGGGCACCTCGAGGTGGTGTAATGGTTAGCAAGCTTGTCTCGCTAGAACAATTACGACTGAATAGTGAGTTCGATCCTCACTGGATGCCCCATACTTTCAGCTTTCTGCCAGATCTTAGCTACGCTTGGAAAATCACAATACTTCATCAGGGAGTTTTCAAGAAAAAAACAAAGAAATAAGTAACCTTTAACTACAGGACCCGTTCGCTGAGTAGACACTGACTAGTGAAGGTGGTTTCACACTGACGCCGTAAAGACAGCACTGAATATATTTCCAATGATTGTTATATTTTTTAATAACATAATAGGTTAGATAGAATGATGTCTATGACAGAATAAACAAGAATATATTCAGTGTGTTTAGTAATATTACGTATATGAAATTAAATAAAAAGTCTAACCTGTTCTCACGGAACCTTAGGGTTCTGGGGAACCCCGGTTGAGAAACGCTGATGTAGAGAGTGAGAACAACATCGTCCTGAGGAGGACAGTTTTGGTAGTTGTTGAAAAGAACAACTTTGTTGTCGCTGAGGAGCTTTGTCCTGAAAAGGACAGTTTTGTGGTCGCTGAAAAGCGTTGTCCTGAAAAAGACAGTTTATCGCATATCATTGCTGCTGGCGAGGATGGCTGGTTGGAAATATAGATGACTAGAGCGGCGGCCGATGATGACTGGAACTACTGATGATGATAATGGCTGGAGCCGTAGGAAAGGGTTAGCTGCGGAAACAGATACACTCTGATCCTCGTCACCTGGACTGTGGAATGTCCCCTTTTCGAGCTTTGAGGCCTTTTCATATCGTGAATAAGTTTTACAACAATCGCTAGTTAAGCATTTTTTTCCGGTTGTTTTTTTTTTTTTTTTAATGTGTGAGTGCCGTCAGGATAAGACAATTATACTAAAATAGCGTACACCCATGGTTGTCTTTAGGAACCGCAGAAGAATACGTCTTGCTTCATCAATGGTGGTGTATGGATTTTCAAAAAAAATCGGTGATTCCACTCTCTTGTCCTGGAGAGTCTTTATCTGGTGGTACGAGGAATCTTTACACCCGGAGACTTCCAGGCTGTAGCAGATGACACAGGACTTCTGCGTGTCACGTTGATGTTCTGATGCACCCCACAGTACATGCTGGGACCACCTTCATGGCCTTTAGATCTGCAGGGGATCTCATCTGCCCACTCCGCGGGGAATCAATCTTCGCGTGCAATAGGGCCGAGAGACCCGAAATTATCAAGTATTTAGACCCCTCGACTACCCTAACCTGATTCACCCGCCAGTCGAAGCGGTTTATCGGGGTGTAGTCGCTGTTGCATACAAGGAGCTATTTGGAGCTGTTCCTCCATTGGGGGTGCTATTCTTCCCCGACACCCAAAACATTTTTTCAGCGTTCCCCTTTTATAAGGAATAAGAACCGTCTGAGATGGCGTGCTTTAAACCGTTCTATCATAGAGAGCATCACAGCCAATCAAGATTATTATTATTATTATTGACATTCTGTATGGCCGAGCGATCTGAAGCTCTTTAGATCAGACAGTGGTTTCCCCTACAAAGAGGGACAGCAGGCTCGAACCTTGCCAGGGAGCACGTCTTTCTTTATTAAGTCTCCTGAATGCGAAGAACGGAAAACTTAATTTACTATGGTAAAAAAAGGCAATGTTTAGCCTTTGTGCCGGCAAAAAAAATCGGTGTATTAAAAGGACGGTTAGTTCCTATTATTCTAACTAACTTTACTCCTCGGCAATGTTTATTGTTTTATAAAGTGACTAGCAGTAGAGCTCGGCGTTGCCCGCGGATGTAACAGTAAGAGATAGATCAAGTATCGTCCATCATAAAGACTGAAAAATAAAATTGACAAAGATTATTGTTTAAGGTTGACGGACACGCATGTCTTAATTAGTTTATTTTTTCTTTTTTTTTAAGAATTGGTCAAACCCAAACTCAAACAAAAACATTGTTATGAGTTTACCGATTGAATAGAATTTTATTATAAACAATTGTCTGGTAAATGGAATTTTTAAAGCATTCTGAATGTAAAAATAAAAAAAAATTGTGCAAGACAATAAGAAACACTATCTGCCAAAAAAAAAGTGAGGTTTTGTTGAAATCGGTTGAAAAATGTAGGAAATCCGATCCCATATATAAACGAACACAAGACACACACACAAACAACCTGGGTTTTATAATAAGTATAACTCGATATGAGTTGTCCCCCTTTCATTCTCGCGACAGCGATGCCTCTTAATCGTGTTTTCAAATTGATTTCGTGCAAAAACAATTGCGGTTTTCCAATTTTGGGCGCTGTCAGAACCACCGCAAGGTAATTTTATGTAGTCCTGTGAAGTTTTGCTGAAATCCGTTGAAAATGTAGGAAATCTGATCTAATAAATAAACAAACACACGCACACACACAACCTGGATTTTATAATGAGTACGATTAGAATTTTAATAAAACCCGAACATATGAAATATATTTATACATGTTCTTTATTCTTGAGAATTTACAACAATGATGTTAAACACTATTTATTTATTAGATTGCTTTTTTAAAAGAATAGTTTTATATTCAGAAGATTATCAAAATATGTGAACGAACTATAATGAAATATTTATTTTTTATCATTTAACAAACAAAAATATAAAAAGAAATTTTTTATTCATAAATTTATAAAAAATATCTGTGAACAAAAAATTTAAATAAAACATAACGACGAATAACGATAATTATAAATTTTGAAAAATTAATTTTCCGGGTTTTTTATTTGCTTACATTATTACCAACAGTACATTTTTGGAAAACATATTACCAGCAATACATTTGGAAAAAAATATTAGAAGCAATGCATTTTGAAAAAAGAAATATTACCAGCAGTTCATTTTTGGAAAAAAATTATACCAGAAATACTTTTTGAAAAAAAGACATTACCAGCAATAAAAATCTTGTTGGTACTAAATAATCCATTGAGGTTGGGTTGATATACCGTAAAACAAACCAAACCAAACCAAAACTAGTGTCATTTTTAATTTTTACGGCAAATACTGCATTGTCGTTGGTTTACATATTTTGTTTTTATATATTTTATACATACATACATATACATACATATATATATATATATATATATATATATATATATATATATATATATATATATATATATATGTGTGTGTGTGTGTGTGTGTGTGTGAAAATATATAGAAAATAGGAAGGAACTGGTTAGGTAAATAATCCAAAGTCCCTTAGTATTTTAGTTATTATTTTTAAAGAATAGTGCTCGATACAAAAGTAGAGCATAAATATAATTATTTATTTAAAATATGATTCCAAATCGCTACATAAGAGGTCTCATGTTTGAGGATGGAACGGAGCCCATTTTACTTTCAACTCAATTTAATTTAAAGGATTATATTGAAGATTTCGGCTCTAGTTTTGAAACATGAGACCTCTTATGTAGCGATTTGGAATCATATTTTTAAATAAATAATTATATATATATATATATATATATATTATTTTAATTAAAAACGGAGCATTTACTTAAATACATTGTATCTATAAAAATAACGTATAAATCTCTCTCTCTCTCTCTCTCTATAATCATGTATGTATGGATGGATGGATGCATTATAAATGTTAATTAGAAATTGACAATATTCAGCGAACAAGTCAAAAGGGATCCCAGTTTGTAGTTATTGTGATATTTACAAAGATGAGACAAAAAATATGATGTTCAATTCCTTGGACAACGTAAGGTAAAACTTTTTGTCTCGCTTTTTCCGCCCCAGGGCACACGCCGTCGCCCACACAACGTTTTTTTGTTTTCATGTCAACACAAATTATTTATGCTTTACATAAAGCCATTTGTCATGAAATGATAAATTGCAATGACAGTCTTATTGACAATAATTGTTAAAATTGTATCGCATACAACTTTATTCTGTCATTCGCCCAAGTGACCTTTCGGAGGTCGATGGATATTCATTTCCTTGTATACACAATCCATGGAAAAAATTTACTTTCCTGGTTCTCCCCGAGCCATGAAGAATTAGTTCCTTAGTTCTACACGAACCATAATAATTGTTTTCATGATTCTACGTAGGCCACGAAAAAAATGTTTTCTTCGTTCTACACAGACCATAATAAATAATTTCCTTAGTTCAGCACAAGCCGCAAAAAAAGCTTTCTTAGTTGTACACAGGCCATGGAAAATTACCTTCCTAGTTGTATACAGGTTATGAAAACTTGCTTTCTGAACTGTACAGAAGTCATTAAAAATTGCTTTCTTAGTTGTAAACAGGCCAGAAAAAATTGCTTTTTTACTTGTACAGAAGTCATGGAAAATTGCTTTCTTATTTGTACCCAGGCCATGAAAAATTGCTTTCTTAGTTATACGCAGGCCATGAAAAATTGCTTTCTTAATGCTACTCAGGCCATGAAAAATTGCTTTCTTAGTTGTACCCAGACAATCAAAAAATGATTTCGTCGTTGATTATAGGCTATTAATAATTTCTTCCACATTTCTATATACTCACAATAAATTACTTTCTTATTTGTACACACGTCATGAAAATTTGCTTTCTTAGTTGTACAAGTGCCATAAAAATAGATTTCTTAATTCTATACATTTTTTCATGGTCTATACATAGACCATGAAAAAATGCTTTTTTGGTTCTTCACAAGACATGAAAAACTGACTTCTTGGTATTAAACAAGCCATGAAAAATTGCTTCCTTATTTCAACACAGGCCACAAAAATTGCTTTCTTAGTTGTATACAAATCAGGGAAATTGATTTCCTGCTTCTACAAAAGCCATAAAAAATTTCCTCGTTCGACACGGGAAATGAAAAATGGCTTTTTTGTTCTACACACATCAGGAAATAATGCTTTCTTAGTTCTACACAGACCACGAATAATGCCCGTTCCTGGTTCCACACAAACCATGAAATCATTGCCTGTCTTCAGCTATGAAAAATTCGGGGTAGCTTTGATTGTAATGAATACTTTTTGTTTTAGGTTTCTTTGTTTTTCTCCTATATTCTTTTCCATGTGAATGTTATCCTCTTTTGTTGCCCAATTCTCTTATGAGGGGCTAACTTTAGTAAAGACGCTGTTAAAAGTATTTGCTGTGTTGAAAACTTTCCTGAACTTATAACGTTCACAGAACCTTTTCTGGACATTATATCCTAGGAGACTTAAATCCTAGGAGACATTTTACTAATTTCATTAAATCGTTACTTTCTGTCTGAATTTCTATAATGAAGAGTTACGTTAATTTACATTATTTACATTCGGACTAATGTCCTCATCTTTGTTATTACCACAACATTTTCGATCGTTGTGCCTGCCGGACTTTTTCAAGTGTCTATTAATCCGAGTAGCCTTCAGGGATTTCCGACTGCTACCCTATCAGGTTGACTGACTACATGATAGGTCGTTCTTTTATTCCTACCTGGTGAGCGGACGTACGAGTAGACATGAGAATACGCATATTTAACAGAAAAATATCCAGCTCTCTTCCAAAGTGTATTATTGAGATGCAGATTTAAAATTTTTTTTTTTTCAATTTTGTGTAATTTTTATTTTTAGCTATAACAAACTTTTTACAGTCCAATGACTTTTGATATTCTATGATATATATGCTTTCAGATCACAAGGCATTTATTTATTGTCACAGTTTAGCTTGTACATAATACAATTACTTCTCTTGGATGTTATGTAAAAAGAATTTCTTTTAATCAGCGGAATCAAAAGAACGCCTGTCTTAAATATAATCAGTTAAACAGTCTAAGGTTAATCTAATTTTTTTATGTGTTCCTAATTTACATGATTTTTAGTCAGATTTTGAATAAATTTACAGCCTTGGGAATATCTTGTATTTATATCTGAAATTTGGATTTTTTTTCAATTCATATCTTTTGTTCTCCTTCTTCCAAAGATTTAAAAAAAAATTTACATGTCATACAAGAACTTTTATCTTTTCAACCAAAGATAGTATAATAAAGGACAGTTTTAAAACCAGTTCGACCAATGAAAACTTGAGGAGGGTATAAAAATTTAGCCTTGTAAAAATATTTTTCAACTTGCCCATAAAAAAAGGAAAGGAAAGCAAGAAAAGAAAAGAGATAAAGTGCAAATACATAATTTTATAATAAAAAAAAAATTGTTCAGGTGGTTTTTACAAAAAAAGTTTTTTTAAAGGTAAGAACCTTATGAATATAGTTTCCATATGATAAGGAAATAGAGTAGACACAAGAAGATTTCATAATAACTCCTCTTACTACTTTGACTCAGACTTTTACTTGGACTAGCTATTTGATACATTTTCTTTTATTTATACATTGTAGAGAGATGTAGTATTAGACACATAAATATGCATGGATATTTAACAGAAAAATGCTTGACTCTATATAAATATGCAGTTTCAAGTTTATGGTCGAATGTTATCTTTCTTGTATAAACCCATAAACTATGCCTCTTACTCTATATCGACTGGCTCTTGGGCCTTGCATAAATTGAACATCACTGTAAAAACTCTTCCCAGATAGTTAAATTTCTGTCTTTATTGGATTTTGACATCTCTAATTTGTGGTGTGTATCGTGTGTAAAGCTTTTGAAATTAGTCCTTTCTTCTTGCTTTAGGAACTCATTTTTGATGATTGCATGGACATCAAAATATGAACTAATTGAATGGATCAATGTTTTCATTCCAATACACAAGTCGAGTACAGGAGTTACATTATTGAAAACAAAAAGGTGAAAGAGAAAAAAAGAGATGTCTCCCTCTTTCCTAAGGCTATTAGTGTGACGTGAACACAACAGATGAGGACAGAACTCTCATTTCCCTTTATTAACTGTTACGCAACGAATACGAACGTAACTAAATCCTGAAAAAAGAAGACCAGTTAAGTTTGCATCAAATGATGAGACATGACAGTTTATTCATTATTTATTTATTGTTCCGGCTTCTTGTAACTCTTAATTCGCAATTAATTCAGAGCTATTGTCGTCTTATCAAAATACTTTGTTAAAACATGCATATTGACAACTGCAATTATAAATTAAATAATTGTACATAAAAAAGTCAACTATCGTAACCATCGTTTTAATTGGTCGATAGCGGACATATTGTAGATATATACTCGCTTCCTATTGGTCAGTTGCGTCTTTACATTTAAAGATGGTGGCCTTTATTTCACATTTGCAATAGGATTAGATAGCGTGACGCACACTGTCATTTGCAAGTAATATTTCCAGGTGCTAATAAGAAAAAACGGAACTTTCATATTATAAGGCGTTTTCTGACATCAGGTAGGTAAGAAAATTGTACTAATATAAGTTCATAATGTCGGTTGATTGATACATTTTCTGCTTAAATTTGAAACTAAGAAGGAGAGATTTTGTATATTCCCTTTTTAAATTAGCAATTCGCGCAAACCTGCCAGTAATCTATATTATAAAAGAACTAATTTTTTTTTCACATCGAGGTTCACCATTTACCAAGCCCGGGGGCCACTCGAGGTAGTTTTGGAAGTCATTTGTGTTTATAGGAGTGGAAGATAACGGTTAACCCTAGCCTTGAACAGATTAAGATAGTAATGATCGAGGAAATATCCTGTTGGGGGTCGGTTTCACAGGACAGTGGTTCACGAGAAGCTGTTCAAGTGGAACTTACTTTCACCGATGAGATTCTCTGTCGGTCTTACGGGGTCATGTAATGTGTATGCCTATTGCAGTATACTAAACTCAGAGTAGAAGCTTATAGAGCTTTATTTGACTCATTCTGCTTTAGTACTGAGAAACGTTTATTTTATTGTGATGGATAGTTACAAGCGAGAGGGGAGATGAGATCTTATTTTATTGCCACACCTATGCCTACAATTGTGTGTGAATGCCATTTAATTTAAACACACTTATTTCTTACTTATTCAAATTGTGTCTATAAGCATGTGTGCTTGTACATATGTATTCATTAAATAGCACAAATTACGTTTTTTATAGGTATATATATTTCATTTCGTGAATATTGAAGATGAATATTTCGATAGTCACGAAATAAATTATAACCGAAATGAATATTTAAGGTTCTCTTCATTATTATTATTATTATTATTATGCTTTGTAGTCTATATTGAGCTCTCCCTGGATTAATATGCTCCTTGGTATTATTATCCCTACCAGTCACAAATTGGTAATATATATATATATATATATATATATATATATATATATATATATATGAATGTGTGTGTGTGCATATGTGTGTGTGTAAAATGCATATATATATATATATATATATATATATATATATATATATATGAAAATTTCTCTGATTTAACCAGTAGAAGACAATATATATATATATATATATATATATATATATATATATATATATATATAATGAAATATAGTCTTAAGATGTGATATATTTATGGGATAAAGTGCTCAATATCAGAGATAGGCGTGTGTAAATATAAAAGTGAACATAGAAGTCAACACTTAGAGGCGACAGTCTGTTTCATGCTACGACGATTGCATCTAGCATGAAAGAGACTGTCGCCTCTAAGTGTTGACTTCTATGTTCACTTTTATATATATGTGTGTGTGTGTGTGTGTGTGTGTGTGTGTGTGTGTGTGTGTGTGTAATTTTATAGATATATATATATTATTTATATATTATATATGCGCGGTACTTATTGGAAAGTGCTCGATATCAGTGGTAGAGCTAACATATTTAGTTGGATTGATTTGGGATTTGGGTTTCAGCGTGAAACCCAGGGTTACAAATTTACATCAGTCCAACTAAATATATATATATATATATATATACACACACACACACACTCTCTCTCTCTCTCTCTCTCACACACACTCATATATATATATATATATATATATATATTAACCATTTCATCTCAAGTAAAGCAATAGAGTCACAAGGACATAAGGGGTTAATCAGTATAACAGAATATGAGAAAAATATTATTAAGGAGAGAGGAAAATAAATGCACAAGAATTAAAAAGACAGAGGATAACGATTGACTTTGCATTTACATTTTTGAAGGTCAAAGTTGACTGGGAATCAAGAAAACACAAGCGAGAAGTGCGGCAGAAGAATCTGTTATCTTGTGTCTGCATCTCGCCAATGCAACTGTTTACCTTGCCTTAGTTGCAAGCCCGACAAAATCAAACTGGCAACTGCACTGGAAAAGGTCCGCCAACCAGTGGTTAACTGTGGCAAAAAATACCTTGTAAATTTTAAAGCTTCCAAATCAAAACTGCCATTATTTAACCAATACAGAGAGCATTTTCTGCTTGCTATCAGAATGGCTGATGCTAAACTCGAAAAGGATAACAATTTTCGCCTTCTTGACCTCACGTTTTCCTCTGATATTAAGTGATTATATTGAATCAATTGCTAGGAAATGCGGTTTAGTTTGTCACGGCAGAACAGAATCCATTTTGCACATTTATAAATCTACTATTCGACAGATAATGCTGGTGTATCTGGTCTGGTGCTCCTGATGTATATCAAAAGATTCTTGACAGAATTCAAAGACTGGTCTGTGATGTAATCGATCCTGATCTGGCATCTCGGCTTCAGTCACAGACGTGGCGTATCTTCTTTCTGTCTTTTCTACAAATATTTTCATGGCAATTGTTCTGATGAGATTTGTTTGTCCTAATGACTTGGCCACGTGAATTTACGCGTGCTACTTGATTGGCAACTAGGTTTTACTGTTGGAATAGCTAGATTCAACCGGCCGTTCTATTGTAATTATTCCTTTTCTCGCACTTCTCGCCTGTGGAACCCCATTCCGATTTCTTGGTTCACTGCTACCTATAATGTTTAAAAAATTTAAATGCAACGTCAATCGCCATCTGCTGTTTTCCTGGATCCTGTTCGTTTCTTGTCGTTTTCCTTTATTCTCTTCACTTCTGTCTTATTCTTTTTCATTACCTGTATCCCCCACTGCGTCCTAGTGGCTTTATCACCCCCCCAATTAATATATATATATATATATATATATATATATATATATATATATATATATATATATATATATATATATATATATATTTCAGTTAATCCCCTCACCGATACATTTTCAATACACTTCTCCTTCTCCTCCTCACCTGTTACCACACCTCATGTCGTGCGCTTATTCACTTATTTCTTTTATAAAAAATATAGCGTTCATGATTTTTTTATTCTTTTCAGAAGTAAAGCTTTAGGAAATCAATTGACCGAAATCATCTGAAGATACCGAACGGTTGAAACCAAGATGTTCAATCTTTCATTATTTTTTATTATTATTATTATTATTATTATTATTATTTCCTACTTTTTCTACTTCCATTGTTCAGTCTTTCACTCGTTCATTCATTCTTTCTTTCTTTCTTTCATTTTTTCTTCCTTTGTTTTCCATCATTCCATTCATTCTTTCTTTCTTTCTTTCTTTCATTTTTTTCTTCCTTTGTTTTCCATCATTCCATTCATTCTTTCTTTCTTTCTTTCATTTTTTCTTCCTTTGTTTTCCATCATTCCATTCATTCTTTCTTTCTTTCTTTCATTTTTTCTTCCTTTGTTTTCCATCATTCCATTCATTCTTTCTTTCTTTCTTTCTTTCATTTTTTCTTCCTTTGTTTTCCATCATTCCATTCATTCTTTCTTTCTTTCTTTCATTTTTTCTTCCTTTGTTTTCCATCATTCCATTCATTCTTTCTTTCTTTCTTTCATTTTTTCTTCCTTCGTTTTCTATCATTCCATTCATTCTTTCTTTCTTTCTTTCTTTCATTTTTTCTTCCTTTGTTTTCCATCATTCCATTCATTCTTTCTTTCTTTCTTCCTTTGTTTTCCATCATTCCATTCATTCTTTCTTTCATTTTTTCTTCCTTCGTTTTCCATCATTCCATTCATTCTTTCTTTCTTTCTTTCGTTTTTTCTTCCTTTGTTTTCCATCATTCCATTCATTCTTTCTTTCTTTCATTTTTTCTTCCTTTGTTTTCCATCATTCCATTCATTCTTTCTTTCTTTCTTTCATTTTTTCTTCCTTTGTTTTCCATCATTCCATTCATTCTTTCTTCCATTCTTACATCCCACTTTTTTTTAATATCGTTTATTTTTTTTTCTTTCTTACGATTTTAATTCATTCTATTTTTTTTCCTCATTCCTTCAACTTTTTCTTTTCTGTTCATACGTTTTTTTTTTTTGTTTTTTGTTTTTTCTGGCCTTTACAAAAGACCGGTTTAAAAAAAAATAATAACCCAGGCGACCATGGTTGCTGTGAAAATGACAGGAAGCGGTTCTCGCGATGAATATGTACATTCCGAAGTGTCATGAAGCAACACATTCCCTGCCCTAGTCATTGATTATACCGGTAGTCTAAGTATCCTCATAAATAACTTAGTATGCCTACTAATGCCTTTAGCCTTCTTTTAAGGCTCAGAGCATTGTCATTGTCTACACTTGTCTTTTTTTATTCTTCCAGACAGAATCATGCTTTTGCAACAGCTTATTTCCTCCATCTTGATTTGCTACCTTCTTGAAACGTCAGCATTGACTAATTCAACTTTAAAAACGCAGCCTAAATTTACAAGTAAGTTTTTTTTATCATTTTACCCCAAACAAGGCAATACTGCCACTAAAACCTAAGGGGTTACAGAATGTTTTGGGGATAAACTGACAGATTACCAGCTATTGGGGTGGTTTTCATCAGCATCTCGAAAAGCTATGTTTTAGTCTTTTCATAAGCTGATAGGACAGATTGTGTTAACTGCTCGTAATCTTTTGACTGCAAGATAGATACAGGTAAATTTGAAACTACGTCGGGAGGCAGTGCGCTTATTATCGTGTAAAATTTTGCATCCACTGCTGCATTTTTTTCAGCCTGCTTCTATGACAATGAACCAACCTACCGTGATCTTTTCTATAAATTGTTCTTCTTTTTTGTGCCGTCTCCTTTCAGGACGTAGGTGATCATGGCTCTCCAATTCCCCCTATCCCTTGTGGTTCTCAACAGGTTTTGTGCTTCTGCCAACTCTCCGCCATCCACCTGCCCAACCCCACACGTATGTCATGTGCTGCTTTCCCCTGTCTCTTTTTCCCTCTGTTCGTCCTGTGAGTATCAGATTCTCCAGGCCCTCCTTTCTCATCACGTGTCCCAGAAATTTCATCTGCCTCTTCCTTAGGTTAAGCATAAGCTTCCTCCTTGTTTGCATCCTCTCCAAGACCTCATCGTTGCTCACATGCTCGCTCCACGATATCCTCAGCATCCTTCTGTAGAACCACATCTCCGCCGCCTCGAGATTCTTCTTCATCCTCGAGGATACCGTCCAACATTCGCTGCCGTATACTGTGGACAAAAACATCTGAGCAACGAGGACGTTTTTTGGTTTTTTTAATCATTTCACTCCAAGCAAACCGGGATGCCACTGGTACGCAGGCGATTACACGGAGTGAAAGGAATAGAAAAAACTGCGTATAGAGAGGATTGAGGAAAAAATAAAAGATGAACTGGATTCAAGAAGATGGCGACTGACGTTGCATTTAAATTTTTTAAATTTTAAATTTAAATTTTTGAAATTTTGCATTTCATTTTTTAAATTTATTTATCGGCGAAGCAAGTAAACAAAAATGAGTTTCACGGGTGGGAAGTGCGAGAAAAGAAACTGTTGGAGTAGAAGTGTCGGTTGCATTTAGCTATTTCAACCATAAACTGATGGGACCTAAATGCCAATCTAGTAGCACGCTTAAATTCATTCAGTCGGACCACTAGGGAAAAAAGCACGTCAGAGCAGTAGACATGAATATATTTGTAGAAAAGACAGAGAGAAGCCACCTCACGTCGGTGAGAAAGTGATTGAAGTCGAGATGTCAAGTCAGGATAGATTACATTACAAATCGTTCTTTAGATTTTGTCAAGAATCTACAGATAAATAGCAGGAGCACCAGACTAAATATGGCACCAGCAGTCAATGCACGGACGAATGGTAGATTTGTAAATGTGCAATATGGACTTTGACAAGAAAAATGTTCTGTCACGACACAGTGAACCAACTTTCCTAGCAGTAGATGCAGCTATTGATTCGATGTAGTCTCTCCAGGTTTTTCTATTAGAATTTTCTGATATATAATATTTAATGAATAAATAACCTTTTTGTGAGATCCACGACTACAAAACACCCATGGAAATTCCCCTACCACATCGTTAAATATTTGAACTTAACAACTTTAACCAAATACTTCAATAACAATCATAAATATGAATGCAAATTATTATTTAAAGAAGTAAGAGGGTACAAATGAAATGAATTGAAATTGACGTTTTTCCATTTCACTGAAGCACACGTTAAACACATGAGAGCGTTATCTTCTCTCATTTTACTTTTTCACCCAACGCAAGGCCCAAGAACAGCTCAAGGTAGAGGTTTACTGTGTGGTGTTGTTTTATGGCAAGAAATGAAGTTCTTGGGGCTAACTCTCTTGGGGTTAACTCTCGGCATGAAGAGGTTAAGATTTAACTAGAGTTCAGTCGGAAATACATTGTAAAAGACCGAAATACATTGTTCAAAAGACCGAGGGCTGTGTGAACCATTCTATCTTTCTTCTCACTAAAACCAAACAGCGTGTCTGATATGTCTTTTCTGTCTTTCGAAACAAAACAGAATAGCTCATTATTTATGAGGTATTGGCAGGACGTAACGTACGTGCTAAGTAACACGCGGAATTATATGATGATTTTCTAAGCACAGTTTAAATGTGGCACAATGAGGATCGAACTCACTCTTCAGTAGTAATTTATCTAGCGAGTCAAACTTGCTAACCATTACATCACGTAGAAGTCTCCTAATGATTTTCTAAGCCTAGCTTGGATGTGGCACAAGGCCGAAAGTATGGGACACCCAGTGAGGATCAAACTCATTACGCAGTCGTAATTGATCTAGCGAGTCAAACTTGCTAACCATTACGTCACGTAGAATTGTCCTAATGATTTTCTAAGGGTAGCTTAGATGTAGCACAAGGACGAATGCATGGGCCACCAAGTGAGGAAAGAACTCACTATTCAATCGTAATTGATCTAACACAATGCTAAATGTAAGGGGCACCCAGTGAGAATCGAACTCACTACTCAGTCGTAACTGATCAAGCGAGACAACCATTACGCCACATTGAAGTGCTCCGGTGATTTTCAAAGGATAATTTAGATATGGCACAAGGCCAAATGTATGGGACACCCAGTGAGGATCGAACTCACTACTCAGTCGTAGTTGAATTAGCGAAGCAAGCTTGCTAACCATTACGCCACATCGAAGTGCTCTGGTGATTTTCAAAGGATAGCTTAGATGTGGCACAAGGCCAAATGTATGGGACACCCAGTGAGGATCGAACTCACTACTCAGTCGTAATTGAATTAGCGAAGCAAGCTTGCTAACCATTACGCCACATCGAAGTGCCCTGGTGATTTTCTAAGGGTAGCTTAGATGTAGCACAAGGCTAAATGTATGGGTCACCCAGTGAGGATCAAACTCACTATTCAGTCGTAATTGATTTAGCGAGACCACGGTATCTTAAATACATATGTGTCTTAACGTTATGATATACAGTAATTTGACTTTTGCATTATTTCAGTTGTCCCCGATTGCACTCTCCGTGCGGACCCGACCAACGCGTCCAACTACCTGATTCCAGTCTATAGTGCTTACATACTGCGACCCTGCCCCGATGGGACACAATTTAACCAGAGTATCTGTGGATGTCAAATGCTTTCATATAAAAGTAAGTATGCTTTTAGTCTGCTCGGCATTTTTTCAATTCTGTTTTAATCAATTCTGGTTTTGGTTTGGTTTGTTTTACGGCATATCAACCTCAATTGGTTATTTAATGCTGATAAGATTTTTTATTTTTATTTTTATTTTTCAAAAATGTATTGCTGGTAACAATGTATTGCTGGTAATATTTTTTTCTTTAAAAATTCATTGCTAGTAATAATTTTTTGCAAAAATGTATTGCTAGTGCTAAAACCTATTTTTACACTTTCGTTGACCCCAGTTTGGGGATTAACTATTTGCCCATGGCCGGGACCCGAACAGGTGCTACCACCCAGGGTCAGGGTGAACCTGAAAACACCAGCACTTAAGAGGTGGTTCCACGCTCCTCAAAACCTCTAGACCAGAGGCCTTGATGCCGGATGTAGTTTATCGTTATACCCAGGACGGTCAATTCTGGTAAAGAAAAGTTAGTGCCTGGGGTTTGGATTGGATGTTGTTTCGAGTTTTAAAATAAACAAGACTGAATAAGCGAAAGAAAATCAGATGGCACTGTTGTAGCTTTTTATTCAACTCCTGCTTCTTGAATAGCACTGTTGAGTGTCCTTTGCCACCTTACGGATTCAGTCAGTGCCATGCGTGATACACGCTTGAGCGGTTATATTTTTTTCGGTAGTTGACTAACTCAGTAGAAGATTTTCCTACAGTAGGTTGCCGTTTCTTTCTGCCGTAGACTGGTTGCCAACCAAGGCTACATAACCCAATCTGCCCTGTTATTTTCCCAAACCCCGAACCTAGCCCTGATTAAAACCACCTAAAAACTCAACTGTAAATTGAAACGCCAGTCGAGTAAATTATAGAAAAAAAGGCACAGAGGGGCAACTTACGGCCATGGGAAAGTGATTGAAGCCGATCCGCCAAATCAGGACCAATAACATTGCTGATTCTCCTTTAGATTTTATCAAGAAGCTCAACGTAAATAGCAAGGCACTAGACCTTACGTGACAGCAATAATTTAAGCATGGACTAATGGTAGACTTATAAATGTATAAGATAGATTCTGGAGAGAAAAATTAAGCTGATTTGCGATACAAGAGGAGTTAATTACTTTACAAAACGACTTTGAATTAAAGCGTCTCTTCATAAAAACTTACCAGAAATTTTGGCGACAAAATAAAATTTCTGAAAGGTATCTAAAACTGTGGAAGGTCATTGCTAAAAAAGCATGAAGCCGAACGTGGGCGGGAAGCAAGAAAAGAAACAGTTAACAAACTTTTTACATCTATCTAGCTCAACTGTAAATTGAAGAGATCTTGAATGTAGAATAACAATAGAATAAACGAACGTGTATTCCCAGCAAGCTGGAACAAAAAAAAAAAAAACAGGGGTTTTTTACATAGATCTTTCGGTTATATCTATCTATCTCAACTTTTGTAAATTGAAGAGCTCTTGACCTGTAGAATAACAATAGAATAAACAGCACTTACCGGTGACCAGCTTGTCCCAGCTATGACCAATCCAGTGGCAGACAAAAACACTCAGGTCTCCCATGTTAAACGACCTTGGTTTTGTAATCAAGTAAATACAAAACCCAGCAAACTGATTGGAATCAAGCTGGTATTTATACAGAAATACCTCCACTCATGTACCAGCAGTCAATCACAGCCCAAGCAATGGACTATCCCACTTGAGCACTTGCTCCATGGCACGATAAATAGCTCTCTTTCTCAAGGTGGAGTGTCCATTCACTCAGCTTGTTCCACAACTGAGTGTTGATCTTCACAACGTGATTGTTCTATAGACGCCAGTCTAGTGCTGTGCTTAAATTCAAAATGTCTAGGTACCATATCGAAGAGCTCATCTGAACAATTACCATGAAATTATTTACAGAAAAAAACACAGAAAGGCAACCCCTATAGCGGTGGGAAAGTGACTGAAGCCGAGCCGCCAGATCAGGACCAATAACATTGCTGATTTTTCTTTGAATCTATTAAAGAGATCAATATAAGTAGCAAAGACACTGGACCGTATGTGGTAGCAGTATCCTAAACATGGGCAAACATTAGACTTATAGATATGTAAGACTACTGGATTTTACAACATATCAACATTACGAATTTAAGCACAGTACTTGATTAACAGCTAAGTCTCATCATTTTACAGTTGAAATGGTTAGATGTATAGTTCTGTGCTAACAGTTTCACTAGAATTTTTGGTTCAGGACGTTGATAGTTATAAAACTGACGTATCCTGTTTCCAAGAAAGCAATACCAAAGAATGCTTTGATATTAACATCGGACTAAATAGCTTTGAAAACAGTAAATATTAAAGAAACGTTCTTGTCATTGATACCAAAAGGGAGAATAACATCCATAGACATTCAGAGAAAAATTATAGTATACACGTTGAACAAAGACATTAAAAGAACTATCAATAACTTTCCATTATTCCCTGTAAAATGATAGGTCTGCATGATTTCGCAAATTAGCACGGAGAGATTTCAAATCGAATGATAACATATATTTACAACTAGCTTAAAAACCGCCCTATTGGGTGGCATTTAAGCTAGCTCCTGTGGCAGGATCACAGTTAGGCTTTCGGCTTGTTCAGGAGTTTAAGAGTCTCTAAGTCTTTGCATATTCTCAACATTAGAAGCTCACCTGGCTGGGTTTTCATTTACACGGGATTTTCTTTTCCTAGCTGCAGCCTTGGCTCTTTTGATAGCAATCTGGTCCTCTGTTGGCAGAGATTTCTTTTTGCGAGGCATATTGCTGTTGTATGCAATAGGCAACAATGAACTACAGAAGAACTCAAAATTGATCGCTGCATTTAAGTATTGCATTAATATCTAAGCTTACCTTTTAAAAGTTCAACGATAATTTGTCTGCTGCCACTTAATGTTGCGGATTCCGAGATGAAATTCGCTCTCCAATGAATGACAAACGCAGGAATGAAATATAACAAATAAATGTATTTACACAACAATACAATGGGTAATACTGTTAGTAAATCCAGAAACGCTGTTAGTGGCAATAATAATATATATATATACAGTCTCGAAGTAGGACTTCCTTAGAGTCTACGTGCTTGTAACTGAGACTTCTACAAGCGGTTACCTCACACTATTACTCTACCTCCAACTCAATCACAACCTCTGATCACTCTCCCTATATTCTGACTGACTCTGGGTATTTAACGGCAGCAGTCCAAGTAACACTCTGGTCGAGTCCACTTATATGAAAAAGGGGAGGACCCCATAACACTTAATTTAAAGGCAATTTGATGTGCGTAGGTCCTTACTTTCCGTACAAACAACTATTTTTTTTCATGAGTGACTTCCTCCGGATTTTGCAATTAAAAAAAATCGTCGTAAACAATTACAGTTACGAAATCTTGGGAATCTAAAATTTCTGTAACATAAGCTATTGAAAGTTAGAGAGTTGTGTCCCTTTAATTGAAAAAGTGTGACACAGTGACACACCGACATTCGCATTTATCATATAGAATTTGCTGAAGATGGGAAATCACACTTAAAGTCTGTTGTTAACAGTGGCAAAATGGGCTTGTCAATTTTAACGCTCCCAAAACGTAATTGGTCCCTTTTAATCGTCTTAGGCAGGGGCGGCGTGAAGTACCATCGAATCTACCCGCTCCTGAGTTGAAGACTGACTGGAGGCCACGGGCCATGATGTAATTTCTATTTAGAAATATTGTATTTATTTTCAATTTTTCTAGTTAAGTGTTCACCTATATTGCATATGATTCATTATTGGATCGCTCACAGTTAGGCTGTTAGAATTAAGTTACAATAAAATGTGTATTTTATGTGAAAATTGACATGTAATAGAGTGGTGACTGTATCATAGATAGGGGTCGTATCATACATTTAGTGTGGGCGTAATAGATTGATGGTAGTGAAGGCAGACAATTGCACAAATCTCAAGTTAGAATATTTTTTATTTAAGATAGAACAATCTATTATGACATGCCTCTAATTTGTAGTTAGGTACATTGTATTTATTTTCTACTTGAATATGCATATTATCTACATATTTATCTATTCTACTTGAATATGCTACTTGAATATTGCATATTGTCCATTTTTGGACATAATTAGGTTACAATAAAATTTGTATTTTATATGAATAGTACCTTATGAAAATTTGATGTACTAAAGTTGAGGTAACCCGTATCATAGATTCGGAGTTGGGGGCCCGAAACCCTTTCACTGGCCCTGAACCGATTTTGCCTTCCATCAGTATAGTTGATGATAACCTTCATGAGGACAAAAGTTTTTCGCAGACATGAAATGGAAAGAATATATTGAATCACTTGCTAAGTCTGCAGCTAGGAAAGTTGAATCACTGTGTCGAGCTAGACAATTTTTCTCGACAGAATCTATTTTACATATTTATAAGACTACTATTCGTCCTTGCTTTGAATATTGCTGCCACATCCGGCCTGTTGCGTCTGCTATATAATATGCTATTGATAAAATCTAAAGAAGAATCTGCAGTATAAATGGTCCTAGTCTGACATCTCGGCTTCAGTCACTTTCCCACCACCACAATGTATCTTCTTGCCTGTTCTATAAATGTTTTAATGGTAATTGTTTTCATGAGATTTCCTTTTTAGTACTTTGGTGTTACGAATTTATGTGCAGTACTAGATTGGCAGTTAGGTCTCATCATTTTACAATGGAAATTGCTAGATCTAATCGTAAGTTTTATGCTAACAATTTCTTTTATCGGACTTCTTGTTCGTGGAACTCTTTTCGGGCTTTCTAGTCAATTTTGATCATCAAAAAAATTTAAATGCAACGTCAATCGTTATCTTCTGTTTTTTTCTTAATTCTTGTTCTTTTGTTGCTCTCTCTCTCTCTCTGTCTGTCTGTCTGTCTGTCTGTCTGTCTCTCTCTCTCTCTCTCTCTCTCTCTCTCTCTCTCTCTCCTTAATAGTGTTTTCTTTTTCTCATATTCTCTCACACTCAAAAGCTCCTTGGGGTGAAATTATTAATAAAATATGTCCAGACAGCTCTCATGATGATGAAATAAAATTGTTTCTTTCAAAACTAAGCAATAACATAGTTCATGCAGACAACAGTAATATGTTATCACCGGCATCTACACGAATATTACAAACAGGATGAATTATAAAAATGTACCACTCCTGTTGGACAAACTAAAAAAAATCCAATTAAGTATCTACTATAAAAAAAAAAATGAAAAACATCTAACCTTGTTACCGGAAAGAACACCTCACTGACAAAATCAGGCCGACACCATCAGTTATTTATGTGCCATGCGTGATACACGCTCAAGTGATCATGTATCTTTCGATAGATGACTGACGAGGCAGATTTTTCCCTGCACTTGGTTGCCATTTCTTTCTGCGATAGACCAGTTACCATCAAAAGCTATAGAACCCGTTTTCCCTGCTATTTACCCATAGTTGGAGGAGAAAGAAGAGGATTCATGCCTTCCCCAAGGGTATTAGCAGTAATGGATTCGACTGGAATTCGAACTCGGCTCTCCGATTCCTCAATCCGAGCCGCTATCCACCGTGTTGACATCATACCAACATTATTTATTAACTTAGATGTATCTCAGGGAACCGAGTTCTTTGAATTCCCTATAAGTTTATTCTGAGTTCTCTAAGTTTAAATTCATTATTAAACTGAGTTCCTGATTAAAACAAACTCATAAATATGTTGGGCGCACTACCAACCACGTATCACGAGGACTGTCGCTATATCTTCATGATCAGACACATTAAAACCAACGTGAAATTGGACCGATCTCAAGACGCAACATAATTGCTGAAAGTACAGATAGGACACGTACCACTGCAAAAAACGTTTAAAAATTATAGAAACCCTTATTATAAAAAAAAATAATCAACAAGGAACCCTTAGTAAAATTCATTATAAACATGGCCGCAATGTACAGGTGATATTTGGAAGTTAACAATATATCTCCTTTCAATAAATCTCATCCCATCTACAGTCTACAATAGCACACAGGGCCGATGCGTACTATCCCGAACCGCTCGACCGGGCGAGGAGGCAAGCCTGATTGGGGGTCCCCGGATTGTTCTTGGTGACTCTTACTATCTTAATATTTGCTTTTTTTCTAGCTACATCTATATACGTTAAATAACTGACTATTGAAGATGAAAAAAATTACGGATTTTGACGTCAATGTGTGGCCATTTTTTTTTGTTCAAATCCGTGAATTTGTTTTTGCTCATGTTAAGTCTTAAAAAACACTATATAAAATTCACTATTTTTTATCCATAATTCTGACTGTGTTAAAATTATTCAACTTTTAAATAAGAAAACACTCAAGTTGATATTAAAAATTGCCGCAAAACATTATTGATTCATTTAAAATGGAATGATCTATTATGGCATATCTCTAATTTGTATTTAGATACATTGTATTTATTTTCAATTTTTATCGTCGAATTGTTCACCTATATTGCATATGATCCATTATTGTGCCTAATTAGGTTACAATAAAATTTACATTTTATATTAATACTACCTTATGAAAATTGAATTGTAATAGAGTGTGGGCCCGTATCATAGATTCGGGGGTGGCGCTGTATTATAGATTGTGGGGATACGAGGCCCTTGCACCGGTCCTGGTAATACGTACCACCCACTATAAAAAAAAGCGTTTAAAATTATTTAAAAAACAGAAAATAAACCTTAATAACTTTAATTATGAACACGGCCATAAGATAATGATGAACACGGCCATATTTGAAAGTTAACAATATATCTACTTTCAATACCTTCCATCCCATTTGTAACAGCACTTATACATCATTTATCATAGTAGACTAACAAAAGGGATCCTCGAAATAGTGAACAGTTTAGTGGAAAGCGCTCGGGACCAACAAACGTTTATAGAATTTTTACTACTCTCAGTCCAGAAAAGAAGACACTTGTACCTATACACGAAAAACATAATAAAAAAAAAATAAAGAAAAGTATTTTATTAGTTTCATTCGCTGAAATATTTATTAAAAAGGATAGCTGTCTATAGACACACACACAGACATACAAACACAAGATAGGTTCGCCTATCGTCCGGTTCACACTCCTCTCCGGTCTTTTGAAAATAAGTAGTGGTTTATCCGTTGTTTTCTGTTTAGGATTGGGTTTCCGTCGACTTCAAATCTATATTTATAACCTCTTCGAATGAGCTCTAAAATTGTATTTACTATTTGTTTTTTCTTCTTCCCCAGTTATTAGGTTCGCATATGGTCCAATTCATATTTCTCCCTGATCATTTGAAGAGGCGTAGAGGTTTATCTATTGTTTCCTATTTAGGACTGGGTTTGTGATTTCTTCTGAAGTCTTATCATTCTCTCTTACTCCCAGTAACGTCCGGTTCAGTTGTCGATAGGTTTGCCTATGGTTCAGTTCACACTCCGCCCTAATCTTTTGAAGAGGTGTAGAGGTTTATCCCTTGTTTCCTGTTTAGGATTGGATTTCTGGTTCCTTCTAAAGTCGATTTCAAATCTATATTTATAACCTTTTCAAATGAGCTGTAAAATTGTATTCACTATTTTTTTTTCTTCTCTCCCAGTTAGTGTACGCTCAATCAATTTTCATCTTAGTGAGTTCTTTTCTCTCCTGGTCTCATTTATTAAGTCGAAATTGTGATCAAATGTATTCTGGTGAACTACTAATTTTCTTCACTTTTGTTTTGAATACTAATCTATCAGGTCATCCCATAAGTTCTGTCCGAATTTTAACTTTTTGTTAAAATGAACGAAATTTAAAGAGTATTTTATGTCTAATGGAGCTGAACATTATTTTTATGTCTAGATGCATTTAAACTGATCAAATTTTATTTCAGAGAACAATAAATTTAAATTTTGTTCTATTAAAACCCTGCTAACATGGACGTACCCAAGAATCATTTGAGGCACATAATGCTTTATGAGTTCAAGAAAGGAAACTCAGCAGCCGAAGCAGCTAGAAACATTCACCCAGTTTATGGAGAGGAATGTGTGAATGAAAGAACTTGCAGAAGATGGTCTGCAAAATTCAGAGGTGGAGATTTCACCCTTGAAGATGAAGATCGAACCGGACGTCCAGTTGAGTTTGATGAAAAGCTTCTTGAAGCAGCCCTTGAAGAAAATCCTGCTTTATCAGTTGAGGAATTGGCAGTGGTTCTCAGTTCAAACCATACAACTGTTCATCGTCATCTTCAACAACTTGGAAAAGTTCCTAAACTTGGAAAATGGGTGCCTCATGAATTGTCTGAAAACAACCTCAAATCTCGAGTTGACATCTGCTCTTCTCTCCATTCTCGCCAACTTGTTTGACCTTTTCGGATAGACTTGTGACTGGCGACGAAAAATGGATCTTTTATCGAAATGTTAAGCGTCGTAGACAGTGGCTTGGTAAAGGGGAAGGACCCCAGACACAGCCGAGAAGGGAACTTCATGGGCAAAAGGTTCTTCTTTCAATCTGGTGGGATCGCCAAGGAATAATCAACTTTGAATTCTTACCACCTAATGCAACAATTAATGCTCAAATATACTGTCATCAATTAAAGCGTTTGAACCAAGCTTTGAGGAAAAAAAGACCTGCTGTAGTGAATCGAAAAGAGGTGATGTTTCATCAGGACAATGCGCAACCCCACACAGCAAGAATCACGTCACAAAAGATCGAAGAACTTGGTTGGGAGAAAATTCCTCATCCACCTTATTCTCCCGATCTTGCTGATTCAGACTACCATTTGTTTCGTAGCTTACAGAATTATTTGGAAGAAACAGTTTTTGTAACACAGGAAGAGTTTAAAACTGACATTTGTGAGTTCTTCGAATCAAAGCCAAAAGAATTTTACAGTAATGGAATTAGTAAGCTTGTTAATAGATGGAAGGAAGTCATAGATAATCAGGGAAAATACATTGTTGATTGAATCTGTAATTAAATGTAACATTTGGTCACTTGTTTTCTTTATTCAAAATTCGGACAGAACTTATGGGATGACCTGATACATTCTACAAACACATATAGATATTACATGTAGAGTTCACCTGAATGCTAACATTTTATACTTATCATTTTTCTTCTCTCTCATTAAGAGTAGATAGGTTCGCATATGGTCCGGTTCATATTCCTCCCTGATCTTTTGAACAGGAGTAGAGGTTTATCCCTTGTTTCCTGTTTAAGAATGGGTTTCCGGTTCCTTCTGAAGTCTACTGCAACTCTATACTTCTGTCATTTCCGACTGAGCTCTCATTATTTATTTATTTTCTTCACTTTCGATAGTCACGGTTAGAGTAAGAAGATAGTCAGAGATAGCTGAGGGAAAATGGAGTTCTCTCCCTTCCTTACTTTTCTCAATTTTAAATTTCGTTTGGTGTGTCACGCAAGCTAACTTTGATTGGCCAGGACACCCACGTAATCAAGTAAATAAAAGAATTATGCCAAAGTATTTATTTTATTTTCTAAATTCAGATGATCCGATTGATTTACATCCGAGTCAAGTCGACGCTGTGAATCCAGTTAAAGAAGAAATTACACAGCCATCAAACTGGACGGAAACAAATCAAAGAACATCGTCGGTACCAGTGACACAGTCCCCGCGTAAGTATCTGGACAGTAAACACGAGGTAATTGAGGGTGAGTTATAATACATATAAAAATAAATTGTACACATGTTCACTTTAGAAGAAAGTAGCTTTTATTCAATAAAACTGACCCTCAAAGTTCTTTTTGAATGTACAAACTTTAATACTCTGAAAACATTATGCATATTATTATATTATGAATGTATCGTCAGTTGTCGTCCCTTTGCAATGAAACGGTCGACCCTGCTTTACTCAGGTGAATTGGGATGCGGAGCTGTACTGCTCCACAGACTACATTCAACTCTCACACATTGCTCCAAGAAGTCGCATCCGAAAGTTAAAGACAACGACCTGCCAGTTAAACTGTGTGGTAGGTAGGCGTAAGGTTTCCCGACCCGACCGGTGAAAGAGAGCGCCTCTTCTCACCCCGACCTGTGCTAAGCGGCCATCGACCAGTCGCCAGCATGGGTGTAGATGCACCTCAGAGGTCAACGGTTTTACAAGTGAGCGGAGGAACTTCTGAGAGGAGGGACAGAGTAACCTCAACATCCCCGGTACGAAAGCGTGAAACCCAGAGTTACAAACTAATATCCATACAACTGAATATGTTAGCTCTATAGTGAGCTAAATAGTGAGCCCTATCTACTAAGTACCGCGCATATAAGTTTATATAAGTTTTATATATATATATATAGTATTTACATGTCACTGGATCTAACCAACGCCTTTATCCACTGTGCCATGTGTCCTTGAGGACATCTGGGTATGAACTTCTGAGTATTATAAAACTAAGGATCCAGTGACAGACCCAAAGAAGGTGAGTTCAATTCCTGGTTAAGGCAGTGGAGAACTTTCAGAGGGAAAATTAGCAGGAGATAACTGATAACTGACATCCATCAAACATGGCACGTGGAATTAGAACAGTCTACCCCAGTGATCGAAATAAAGGGTTCAGTTCGAAATTCCAACCACCTGAAGAAGGCCGGAGCGTACAACGGCCGAAACGTTGTGACAAATATGGCGACAAAGATGAGGACAATAGTCCGACTAATGTAAATACTGTACATAATACCTCATCTCAGAAATATAGACATATATATATATATATATATATATATATATATATATATATATATATATATATATATATATACTTGGTTAAAGAACAAATTGTGGATCAGTACTTCCAGAATGCGACTCTGAAAATGTATTTTCATGTTACAACTTATTTTATTGTTATTTTTATTTTATTTTTTTTTTTTTAGAGTGTCCCCATCAAATAACCAATGACAAAAGCAGATTTCTTGAGTATATAACCGGTTTTGGCTGGGTCAAGAGATTGTGCCCACCCGGAACTCAATTCTTTTTGGATAGCTGTATGTGCCTCCAAACAGCTGTGGCTTCCAAAATAGGTAAGGGGAAAAATCAGTTATTTTTGAAACACTCAAATATTTAATGTAAATCTCACGAAAGGGTACTAATCCAAAAGAATTTGTTATTATTATCTTAATCAGATTATAAGTCTGCTTTTGCTTTCATTCCGTAGTTCGATCGCATCTTGCCAATACCTAAAAGATAATGGACTATTCCATTTTTATCCCAAATGAAAAAGGAAAGGCATATCAATGACGCTGTTTGAGTTTAATGACAAAAAGAAAGAAAGAACATTGAACAGGTATAGAACATCTACTTCAGTGAAATGGAAAAACTTGCCAATTTCAAATCTTACTTCTTTAAATAATGACTTGTGTTCATGCTTACGATTGTACTATTTTGTTAAACATTTCTCCCACACTAGGGCTATGGTTAAGGTTAAAGTGAATTTCTCGGTTTGGTTTTGAATTGAATTATATATATATATATATATATATATATATATATATATATATATATATATATATAATATTAGTTGATGATTAGTAGGGATAATTCCAAGGAGGATATAAATCCAATGAGAGCTCAATATAAGATCAGAGCAATATAATAATGAATACAGAATCCTTAAAAAACCTTTATTAATGAAAAGCTTGTCTAAAAAGCTGGGCGTGAGGTCCATGAAATAAATTTATTACTTGACCTGATAGATTTTTAAGAATTCTTTATTCATTATTATTCTCTCTCTCTCTCTCTCTCTCTATCTATATATATATATATATATATATATATATATATATATATGTATGTATGTATGTATGTATGTGTCTCGAAATTCAGATATAACTATAAATATATCTGTAAAAGGACAATATGAATAAAGACAAAAAAACTTATTTAGCCGACGCATTTCATACACTGATGGACTTTATCAAGGCAAATGTTATTTTACAACAAATGTTTATAAACAGAAGTAAAAATGGCGTTAGTGTTTCAGAAATTTAAACTAAATTACGCTCATAAATATTCGTTAGGATAACTGATAAAGTAAATTATGGAGGATGCTAAGTGATATAATTTAATGTCTAAGAAACGAAGGTGCGTAAATGTTGTTATAGTTAATATTTTTCTTTTGTCTTTATCCCTATATATTATGAAATGGATTAAGTCCGACAATTATTTAATATATTTTCTCTTTATACATTATTTTTATAGATACAGTGTAACCCGGATATAAGAGACTTCTTCTCCGGTCCCGACAACTCTCTTATATCCGGGTTACACTGTACATCTTATTTTATTTAAGTAAATGATCTGTTTTTTTTTTAAATAAACAGTATTAATTACATTTACCGAATATTCGATAAATTTCGTAGAAATTAAGTGCTTCTCCAACAGGAATCGAATCTGTAACCCCAAATGGAACAATCATTTGATCTGATGTGCTGTTAACCATTCAGCCAGAAAGAGGCGTCTAGTTAGCAAACTCTATATATCTGCTCATGAAACATATCTTAAACATATTATGAAATGGATTAAGTCCGTCAATTATTTAATATATTTTCTGTTTATAAGTTAATAAATAGATACAATTATTTATTTAAGTAAATGCCCTGTTATTTTTAAACAGTGTTAATTACATTTACCGGCCTGAATGTTCGAGTAATTTCGAAAATATGTAAATGTAGTTAATACTGTTTATTTAAAAAACAGAGCATTTGCTCAAATAATTGTCGGACATAATCCATTTTATATATATATATATATATATATATATATATATATATATATATATATATATATTATTAAGACATTTTTATGTTTATACATTATTTTTTTATAGATACAAATATTTAAGTAATGCTCTGTTTATAATAAAAAGTATTAACGACATTTACCGGCCTGAATGTCCGAGAAATTTTCAAAGAAAATATGCGTCCTCCGACAGGTATCGAACCTGTATCCTATACGGAATCGTCATATAGCCTGATGCGCTTTTATCGATTCTGTATAGGATACAGGTTCGATTCCTGTCGGAGGACGCATATTTTCTTTGAAAATTTCTCAGATATTCAGGCCGATAAATGTCGTTAATACTGTTTATTATCAACAGAGCATTACTTAAATATCTAAAAAAAAGAACGTATAAACATAAAAAAAATGTCTTAAAATAATTGTCGGACTTTGTCCATTTTATAATATATATATATATATATATATATATATATATATATATATATATATATATATATATATATATATATTGACTCTCCTGTCCTTATCGACGTATGAGTGTCAAGCAACTCAATTCCTAGGAACCGACAGCCAGAAACCTGCACATATGATTTGATTATAGTGGTGAAAGCTTTATGCAGAAGTAACCACACCTTTTGAAGAGCTGAATACAAAGATCTGGGGCACCACGTGCGAAAAGGCCCCAAACGGCCCTCCACAGGTTTTGAATTCAGATTTGTCCTTCTCCTAGACTAGTTGCAATCCAAGGCTATAGAACTCAGTCTGTCCTTCTATTTATCCATACCTGGGGGAAGAAGAGGATTCGGACCTTTCCCAAGGGTATTAGCACATAAGTGAATGTAAACGACTCGATTCCTCAATCGAGCCGTTATCCATTACTCCACCGTGCCTCCTATAAAATATGAACATATAAATATAAAAATATATAATATTTTTTTTTATTTATTTCCACACAGTTCCAGTCTGCGAACCTGATCTGGATTTTTATTTCCAAAATGAAGCGAAAAACAAGGCCGGAAGCAAAATAGCTGTTGGTCAGTGGGCGGTTAAATTCCTAAAAAATGGTGCCCTATTCACTGGGAACAGTCACATAACTTTGTGGCGGTTCCGTAATGCTTACTTTGGTAATGCCATCACTATCCAAATGACGTTCAAGGAGATCGAAGGACCCCGATTAAAACAGGTGTTACTCTCGAATTGCAACAGAGAAGGAAACCCGTCTATTGAAATCGCCCTCTTTCCAAAAATCAATCGAATGTCCTTTCAACTTGACACCAAGGAACATATTCCAGTGGAGATCCGATTGAAATATCAGGTAAGCAGTTCATTAAAGACTACAGACTCTATTTCATGGTCATTTTTATGTGACAAGTCCTTTTACATGGAAGTAGATGATCATGGCTTCCCACAAAACTTCCTGTCTTTTCTTGTAACTTTTGACACTAACATTTCTCTTCGTCACTGTCCTGCCATCCTTCCACACACATCCGTTGTGTGATCCTGATTCACATACTTGTATCAGCGCTCGTACTGTTAACAAGAAAAAATGGGGAGATGACAAAACAACAAATGGACATAATACGTGGTTTAAATTAGTGAATTAAATTTTTATCGTATCAGTTGGGGGAGACTGGGAATTCGTCCTGGATGTAACCCAAGTTAGTAGTCGAGATAAAACACGTGGAGAAAATCAAGTTGCATATGTAATCGAGTAAGATAGACTCGTGGGAGAAAATCAAGTTGCATATGTAATCGAGTAAGATAGACTAGTGGGAGAAATTCAAGTTGCATATGTAATCGAGTAAGATAGACTCGTGGGAGAAATTCAAGTTGCATATGTAATCGAGTAAGATAGACTCGTGGGAGAAATTCAAGTTGCATATGTAATCGAGTAAGATCGACTCGTGGGAGAAAATCAAGTTGCATATGTAATCGAGTAAGATAGACTCGTGGGAGAAAATCAAGTTGCATATGTAATCGAGTAAGATCGACTCGTGGGAGAAAATCAAGTTGCATATGTAATCGAGTAAGATAGATTCGTGAGAGAAATATTCCACGAATTATCACAGTCGGGAATTAATTTCTGTTGCTGCATCGTTGTTGCTGGCCTAAGCAGTAGTGTAAGTCAGCCTCGTTCAGTTAAGCTTGCCTGTCGTGGGCGTCCGTCGCCAATGACAGCCAGGTTGAATCTGTCTTCGGGGGTGGGTGAAATCGGCATTAACTTTATAATGAGAGAGTGAATCAGAATCGAATATTGCAAAAAGCGCATATGTCTTTTTTTCTGATTGATTTGAAAAGATATTTCGGTTCAAGTATTTTGGGGCGGTATTCCAGAAGTGGCTAGTACATAACAAAGTGTAGTATCTGTTCTCTTCATCTCTAATGTTAATAATAATATTAGCCGTTTCATTATAAGAAAATATTAGGCATTCACTGACCGAGCAGCCTGTGCTTCTCGATTTACGCTTTTCTTCACTCGCTGGCCATCGGGCTGGACTCAAAATGTCATATCTTTTTTCCTCATTTCTAATGTTAATCATAATATTAGCCGTTTCCGTATGTGAAAAAAATCGGCATTTGTTGACCGAGCAGCCAGTACTACTTTCTGTTGAAATTTATAAAAAATTTTCTCTTAAAACAATTTTTCATTGTTATTGCTCTTTCTAATACTGATAGGAGTTTCCTTCCTAATATTTTTGAGTAGTGTGGAACGTCAACGTCTTGATCATGTCATTATTTTCTCTCCGATTTACATCTATTTTAGTTGTTGCTGCAGTTGGAAGTCCCTGACATTTTATTATTAACACTTCTTACTAAATATTAATGCATTTTTCCTATAATAAATGATAAATAATCGTATTTTCGTTTAATCATTCCCGCATTTCTGAAAGTTTTTATTAATCATTTCGGCCCAAACAAGTCGATACTGCCACTAGGGAACGTGGGTTACATGGAGGGAAAGCGAATGAGAATACTTTAATGGGGTGAAGTGAGGAAAATGAAAATAGAGAAAGAGGGTTCAAGAAGACAGAAGATTGCAATTGACGTTGCATTTAGACCTTTGAAGATTGTATGTGGCAGGTTTGGTTTGGTTTGTTTTGTTTAACGGCATATCAACAACAATGGGTTATTTAGCGCCGACAAGATTTTTATTGCTGGTAATATTTTTTTTTTTTTTTTCTCAAAAATATATTGCTGGTAATATTTTTTTTTTCAAAAATGTATTGCTGGTAATATTTTTTTTTTTTTTCCAAAAATCTATTGCTGGTAAAAAATTTTCAAAAAAAGTATTGCTGGTATTAAAACCTATTTTTATACTTTCATAGTGTTTTGACCCCTTTTTTTGGGGGGGGGTAACTATTTGCCCATAGCTGGGACCCTGACAGAGTCAGGGAGGACCTGGGAACACCAGCAATTAAGAGGTGGTTCCTCGCTCCTCAAGATCTTCTGATCAAAGGCCTTTCTGTCGGATGAAGTTTATCGTCTTACCCAGGACGCGGATGTAGTTTATCGTCATACCCAGGACGACTATGTAGGAAGGAAGCAAGACATCGGATTTGAGTTCCACAGGCGAGAAAAGAAACTATTAGAATAGAACGGGCGTTTGAATCTCGCTAGTTCAACAGTAAAACGGTGAGACCTATCTGCCAATCTGGTAGCATGAGTTAAGTCAGAGAGACTCATGATCTCTTAATGCCATGCCCCTTCAAGACATAGATGATCATGTCCCTCCACAGTCTCCTTTTCCCTGTCATCCGTGAATTAACATTCATTCTTGGGAAAGTTCATGAAGTGGTTTCCCATTGCCTTTTTTTTTTAATCATTTCACTCCAAGCAAGGTAGTAATGCCACTAGAACCTAGGGGGTTTACAGGGAGTGGAAGAAAATGAGTATAGGGAGGATTAAGAAAAGGACAAAAGATGAACAGGATGTCAATTGATATTGCACTTAAATGTTTGAATATTATAGTTATCAGAGAAGCAAGAAAACAAAAGCAAAAAAACTAATGATTTTTGTAAACACGCTCTCTGTTATAATAATTTTTAAAACCTAAACATATCAACATACTATACTATAATCAAATGCATTCTAACTATAAGAAAGTTTTAAAAATCCTAAAAATTCTCATAAGTACTAATATATTCCCCACTGAACCCAGTAAAAAAATAAAACTAATTATATACTATACTAAATTTAACACTATCAACTTAATCTTACGAAATAACTCTTCTCCATCAATTAGTGTTTTGGAAAAAAATAACATTGTATAACAGCATAAATGCCCTTTGGGAGATTGTATCTCTGACAAAAAGTACATGCATATGTTGGCTTGAGGATGACAACATTATCAAGATGTCTTACACCCCATCTATCAGATAGAAGTCCGATTGCACAACATTTAAAGACACATTCCTGTCCAAATTCATAATACAGGAAAATATTTGTTGACAACACCAATATACTACACCAGTCAGTCATTTATGTGCCATGCATGATACACGTATAGGCGATCATGTATCTTTCGATACATAACTGACGAGGCAGATTTTTTACCTGCAGTTTCCCATTTCTTTCTGAGGTAGACCAGTTGCCATCCAGGGCTATAGAACCCGGTCTGTTCTGATATTTACCCATAGCTGGCGGGAGAAGAAGAGGACTCATATCTTTCCCAAGGGTATTAGTACGTAAGTGAATGTAATGGATTCGACTTAATTCGAACTCAGCTCTCCGATTCCTCAATCCAATCCGTTATCCATTACTAATTCAAATTCTCGAGTCCCTCTATATCAAAAGCAACCAGTCAACACTGAACCAAAATTATTACGAGTGTAGTAGCAATGTTTTAAGATGCATTTGAGTTTACTAACATTCAACACCATGCTGCAATTTACCATCTCTGGTTATCTCCCTTGCGTTGAGAATTCTTGTTTACAAAGCATCGTAACCACAACGGTTAATTTTAAAATAATTATAGCAAAGCGCGTTCACGCGTGTTTACAAAATCACCATCCCAACAATTACATTTACATTAACCTTGTCTTTGCAATTCATTCATGAGGATGATCTCGGAGAAGATCGAAAGTACTTGGGTTAACAATAAATATGGTGCCTTCCTTGATGAATTTCAACTTAACATCAAGAAGATAATTAGAAAACCAGAAAGAATTATTATAAAGATAAATAGACTTAATATGTCTATATTATTTAATAAAGCATGCTTGAATAAAGATATGCTGTCTAAAAATATGTATGTATATATATATTCAATTTCTTATACACAAGATTAAATGAATAAACATTGAAGATTTATTTTATTGCAAAGTAAATTGATGAATAATGTAAAACTGATTTAATTTTTATTTTTAATTTCATAATCAGCCCGGTGTATGGAAAAACGTTACAATGGCTTATGATGGTGCGGCTTTTTATGTGGAAATAAACAACAAACCTGGATACGTGGCATTGGATGGTGGTAAGTATTTACCCCCTCCCCCATCTCAGTTTTCTGCTGCTTATATCTAGACAAGTAAAATATTTATAAGGGGTGGGGACATTGCTCAAGTTCCAACCAACACTTTTTTCTGTTATTCATATTGTAACTGTGAAAATATGTTATGTAGAAAGACAGACTAACCTTCTCTACATCTATTATTGAAACATGGACTCGTCCATTCGCTATGAGTAGAATGTCTGCTCATTGAACTGAGCGAAACAGTGGGTCGCAAAAGGCGTGGCACTTTTCAGTCGTACGCTTGTCACACTGAATTACTGTGTAGAGGACCGGGGGTATTTACGAGTTATTGAATTAAGAACACGTGCTGTTTATTCCTGCTAGAAGGTCCAACTACAAGAACATGTGGACTCAAGTTGAGTCCAAACGAAGATGTAAATAAAAACGAACAACACCGATATATATATATATGTCAACAAATATATGTATTAAACTACAAATTTACAAGTGACAAAGACATCAACATTTGTGTTTGTGTGTGAACGTAAAAAGTTTGTATTTTGGTGAATGTTTGTACGTATGTGTATGTGTGTTTCATGGAGTTTTCACACAAGTGGGCAAAACGCAGATTTCTGTGAGAGATCACATTTTTAAATGTGTCCGCTGAAATGCAAAGTAAAAAAAGAGAACGAAACAATAAATTGCCCAGTATTTATAGTGTAGGGAGAACGACCCCTAGTGAACAATTAGGGAATTAAGGAGGAGCTAACTCCGGCATGTGTATTCTCAATCCATGTTCTCATGGGATTAAACCTTTAGCATCCCGCTACCACTTTTTTATCAATATCAATTTTTATACAAATCTGTGCAAAAAGCGGTTCACAGAGCATATTCAGTTTCATATATATTTTCAGAAAATCTCTGATTGGTGACTTAATATTTAAATCATGTCCAAATAACATCGACCTAGTTCTTGATCTGATCAAAAAAATAATTCCGCCAAAATCTGTCAATACCTTTTCGAGTCTACCACGTGATTAAATGAATTATAAATACCAGACACGATCTCTCTCTCTCTCTCTCTCTCCACCCTTTCCGGGCGGACGCTATGAAAACATATTCACACACGCACGTACGAAACTTTACAAATTTCATTACGAACATTACAAACTTAATGACAAGCAAAGGAAACTTAATTACAAACATTACGGAACATTCACTCCTTCAACCCTTCTGAAGCTAAAAGTTTACTAAACATATTCTCAGCTTTATAATTCTGTCACCTCTCTAACAGTGAACATTTTCAGCGACAAGTTCATTCAACTTTTGTGAGCTCTGATAAAAATACTTCATCAGTAAAAACTTTAATTCAGTCAAAGGGACATAACACCAACAAAAATAGTGACCTCTATGCTTGTACATCTTTATACAAATATAAATATTGTTGTTGTTACAAAACCGTTTTGTGTTTCTTCTAGTTGTTTCTCTTGTTGCTTTTGCGTTTGCTTTATATATTCGTAAAGTAAAAAAAATGTACGGGTTGATTTAGGCCGTCAATACCGCTACAAACCTATCGTTACGCTGTCAGTTTGTGTGTAAACCCTTCTTCACTCAAACCTTTGATTCCAGTCTTTTCCTTACAGTCTCTCTAACGAGCAACTATGAGCGATATACGAACTTTATAACAATGAGCTAGGGTTGGGAGTGGTTTAATAATTAAAGTGTTAATTTTAAAAATAACGTTCACCCTGTACAAGGCCCAAGAGCCACTCGAGGTAGATGGTCATAGAGTAAGAGGCACGGTTTATGAGTTATATGTAGGGAATATAACTGTTAAGCCTGGACTTGAACAGGTTAAGATTGTAGCGATCGCTTGAAAATTTTGAAATGAAGGGAGAATAAAAGACACTCACTGTGTTACTGGCCCTAAGAACCTGCTGATATTTTTTTAATGGGCTGTGATTGGACAGTTCAAAAGGGAACCGCCCCCTTTGAAGGGGAAGGGAGAACTTTTACTGGACTGTAGCAAGCAGTTGGGAGCTATACCGCTTAGGAATAGGAGGTTCGTTTCTCTCTCCCCGCTGAAATGGCAGGCAGCGTTTGCCCATGAGTAAAGGATGCATGGCAACAAATTTGCTGAAGGCACTTTTCCCTTTAAGTCTTCAGAGAAAGTTTGAAAAGAAGTCCTCACAAAGAAGCCCCAGAAAAGAAAGAACCGAGAAGTCTCTAAGTGGTGTTTGCGGCTAAAGGCATTGAAGAAGAAGAAGAAGAAGAAGAAGAAGAAGAAGAAGAAGAAGAAGAAGAAGAAGAACGTTACAACAAGTGTATTAACGCGTGTTTTAAGTAAGATTTCCCCTTCCGCGGCTGTAAAAGAAAAGCGAACTTTCCATTCGGGAAGAAAATAAGAAGAGAAAGAACCGAGATTGGTCACCAACGAAAAGAGAACTTTGTCTCCATAAGAAAGAAATGAAAAAAGAAAAGAATCTTTGAACTTTGAAAGGACAGAAAGTGTACTGTAAAGCAAAGGCTCTCCTTTTTTTTTGTTATCATCGACACAGCAGGTGGGCTCAATCCTTTTGTTTGGTATTATTTGTGCACTGTAATTTTTAAAGTTTTTTTCTGGTATATGTTTAACATTGTGTTAGTCAGAGAATAGGTTATCCTATTCTCAGCAAAAAGGAACGAATTTTTGCAACCACCCTTATTTAGCAGGTTAGTTATAAATATTTTTTTTCTTTGTATAATTGAATTGGATTTTCATTTTTTTTTATTTTCGTTATTACTTCGGGTAGTAGTGAAAATACTATTGCAGCAGATTTTATTATCAGAAAAAAAAAAAAAATTTCTGAAAATCGAGAAAGCGTACTCTTGGGAGTCAGAAGAATCTGCTCGAGTCCAACAATGAGGTGTTTCGTCATGGCAATGCGCAAAAGCATATAGCAACTGGAAAAACTGAAAACATTGGGAAAAACATCCATTCCTTATCTTCCAGATCTGGATCTATTTCATTAGAACTGATTCTGGTGTTTATAGAACAATCTTGATGGACAAGTTCTTAAAACAAATGAAGAGGCGGGGAAGCTATATTCTCTACATTCGTCTTCTCCAAACGATTAGACATTTACAAAAACCTTACTATGAAACCTTGTGAATCATTGTAAATAAGCTATTGTTAAGGGAGAAACATGCTAACGAATAACTTCTAAATATGATTTTTTTTTATGTTTTTAATACTCTAAATTTAGGCATTATTTAAGGGAAGACATGATAATTATTAGCATTTTTTATTAAATGCTTATGTAGGGTTTATAAAATATATGCGGGTAAACTTAATAGTAACTACCCTAGATAAAAAAAAATATTTACCCAAACATTGAAAAACAAAAAAGGAATGCTAATAAGTCGGAATAATGTAAATTAAAGTTTTATTAACAAGAACATGCTAATACAGTATAAATATATGTTAAATGTCTTCTCCCCGATGCTGAAAAGTGAAGCTAGCGAACATTGAAAACGTCTGCCCTTGCAACTCCAGTACGCCATGTTACAAAAGACTGTGTTTTTCTTACGTAGGAAGGAAGCATCTTCTTCACACGAGGTCTACCTCAAAACTATTCTCTGTATAGAATAGAACGTCAGTGTCTAGCAGTTAAGGCTCACATGACCAACCAAATATAGTACGTATTAATTACGGAAGAGGAAGGAAAGTTAACCCAACAGATATTCAACAGGATTTATCAATTGTTCCGATGAATATTATTATATAGTCTATACTTTTACATACAGTTTTACTATGTAATTTTACTTTTATTTAATTTGTTTGTCCCTTGTTCTCTTTCAGGAAATGTTGAAACACGCTCTGCCAACGTCAAAATTGGACAATGCTCGCAAAATGACGGTTTCGCCGGCATAATAAGCATGGTAAAAAATTGATTTATTTCAATTATTTGTTATTTAATTACGAGCATAGTATTTGTATAAAATTCTGTGATTATTTATGCATGGTTAATGAACCACCACCGGTGATCTCTTATGTGACATGGGCGCTCAACACAACCACTGCAGAGACACTTACAGTGACCACCTTAAACAGATTCACGCCATCGGCACTTTTCTTCTACACTGATTTTCTTTCACTTCCAACAGTGAAAATGAAAAAAATTTTACAGACTGTGCTGTGAAATAGTTGGTCAGTTGGACAAGATTTATTTGAACGCTCTTTCAAAGGCAATATGGAAATAAGGAAGGCTGAGTTTAAAGTGAAGGTCGAACGGGTACATGGAACCAGAGACCAAAAATAGTCCAAACCCTCGACACTTCCACTTTTGACGACGCCCTAGGCCAATATTTTTCCATCATTTTTTTTTTATCTCACGGCACATTTGAACCTAGAGCTAAACATCAAAAATTTAAATGCAATCTTGTGTCTTTCTGAATCCTGTTCTTTTATTGTCCTTTCTCCTCACTAAAGTCTTCTCCTTCTCTTTATGAGTCTTAATGGCATCTTTGTCTTGCTTGGGTGAAGTGATTAAAAAATGTTGTATTCAAGTGCAAACATCTCTATTACCTTTTCTTAGTAACAATCACAATAACAATTGTTTACAGAGGTTAAATGCAACTGTCATCTCCTGTATTCCTGTAACCTGTTCTTTTATTGTCCTTACTCTTCACTAAAGTCTTCCCATTCTCTTTCATTCTTAGTAATCCCCTTGCGTCTTAGTGGCACTTCACTTCAAGCCTTGCTTGAAGTGAAGTTATTAAAAAAAGAAAACAAAAAATGTTGTATTCAAGGGCAAACATGTCTATTACCTTTTCTTAGTAAGAATCACAATAACAATTGTTTACAGAGATTAAAGCAAATGTTTTTTAAACCTTTTTATATCTCCCTTGAACCTTTAGTTAAACTTTCGCTGTATACTTAAATTAAGCTGATAAAAATAGAGTATACTTTTTATGATATATTTATTAACACAAACAAAACAGTTTATTATAATTTGTAATAAAAAAATAATAATTAAAATTATTAAATGATCATCAGGTCAAGAATTCTTCTCGAATTCTCCTGACTCGTTGATTCCAGCCGTCTCTGTCAGACATCACTGTCGACAGGTCCTCCAGATGGCATCCAGAGTCATCTACAAGTTGGTCAATGTAGGTGTGATGGGATCTTCCAACAGATTTTTTGCCGCGGAATGGGTTCCATACGAGTGTATCACTGACAAGTTCTGACTTACTTCTCCAGGAGTGACCAGCTAGCAGTAGCCTTCTCTCTCTTAGCGAAACTGAGATAGGAGTATGGTGTCCATATAGACGTTTCTTTGTTGCGTGTTTCTTCTAGCAACTCATAATATCCTTTAATTAAAATGATGTTATTAAATAAAATTTTTATTTGTTTATTTTTCTGATTATTATAATTTAACATTTAATAAGATATATGAGCTTGACGATTTTTTTTTAGAATATCTTCTTTGCAAGGATGAATTTTGGACAGGCATATTCTTAAATCTTCTAACAAGGATTCTAGCTATGATCGATTTTTGTTTTTGATATTGTTTATTGCAGAAAAGCTCGCTTCGCACAAGTTGGACGTTAAGAACGGAAGAAGTATTTCTGTTGCTTCTTTTTTTTATACTAGCAGCATGACCCGGCGTTGCCCGTGCTTGATTCAAAAATCGTACGACTCATACAGCAATCGCTATCATTTGACTTAAAATATTTTTGCCCTTCCTTGCCTTTAAAGGAGTACCCTTTGCCGTGCTGATGTTGCTACATGCCTTACTTTTTGCCTCTCTCACACTGCGAATTTTTTCTAAGCTCTATACTAAACATTAAATCTGTTATGAAAAAAAGAACGAAACAAAATGAACACAAAACGATCAGCTTTAAAAAAAGGACTCGTAACTAGAAAAACCGAATGAAAAAAGAATGTTAACAACAAATACTTTTTCACACCCAACCCAGTTCTGAGGAATCAGAATCAACGTTGAGTTTAAGCAAGCGAAGGGGCCAATTGGAGTAAAGTGCCATGCAGATTTAAATTTTTCCCACTTGTGACGAATGCAGCTATCGATTTTTTTTTTTTGCATGCTAGCATGCTAGTTAACATTCGTGTCAGTCAGCTGTTGGCTCTCACGCTGGCCAATAGAATCTTCCTGCCTATTCGTGGCAGCCAGCTATTGGCTCTCACTCCGGCCAATACAAAATGGCCGCAAACTACATGAAAACTGCCGTAGAAGCATGAAAAAATCGATTATTTCCACTATCGATGGGAGTTGGGAAATGCAAAGTCGATCTTGGCCTTTCCGCTAACTTGGGGCATGTGCATGTAAAATTTGGTGCAAATCCGCCGAAAATTGCGGCCGTGCATTCGTTACACACACATCCTGCCTTTTATAGATAGAGATATACTTGCGCATCATGCGACCTAATTTTGAAGCAAATTTGACCACAATAAATGGATATATAATTTGGTCAATGGTGTAGCCAGGGCCAGCAGTAGGTATGCTAAATTTATATCTCATGTTTTATGCGACCCCCTTAACATTAGCTTCAAAATGTGATCTTCAAAAATCGCATGATACGCGAGTATGTACGGTATTTGATTGCTTGATTTTATTTAGCGGTATATCAACCACTATGGATTATTTAATACCAAAATCTAAATAATTTGAATACAGTTTTATGGCTTCAACTACAGATAAAATGTATTGCTAGTCATTTTACTATATGCATTGTTAGCCTTTTTATATAAAAATGTATTGCTGGTAAAGTGTGAAAGTATAAAAATACATTTAATAATAAAACTATTAAAATGTATCTTTTCTATTTTCATAGTGCTTTTGTTTGGGGATTTCACTATTTGCCCATAGCCGGGGCCCTAACCGGTGCTACCACTCCTCAAAACCCCCAATGTCCCGATCAGTGGACCGGCTGCCGGATGTAGTTTATCATCATACCCGGGACTTGTAATATTTGAAAACTCACTCTTAAAGGATAACAAAAGCGATGTAATATCTGCTGTTGAATATTTTAATTACAATCGTCTATCATTTTATCAATTTAAAGGGGTTTTAATTTTTTATGTACACTTACTGTAATTTGTAGTTCTTTCGAAAATAATTTAATTAATGCATTTAAAAAAAATGAGTGCGGCGCACCTACGATTATCTCACGGCACACCAATTGAAAATCACTGCCCTAGGCGCAAGTAAATTAGGTCATTTAGATAAGAGAGTGAAGAATAGCAACGGCACCGACGAACAATCGCTCCTACCCACTCTCTAAGATGGCGGGGGTGAAGATACAAATCTTAAGAGCTATGAATTTGGAAGAATATTGTAAATTTGTAATAATTATTTTTTTCCTTTCGTCTTATACAGACTGTAGCCTCACATAAATATCTGCACACTTAAAAATGACGTAAGTCCTGCGTATGACGATAAACTTCATCCAGAAGCAAGGCCTCTGATCAGGAGGTTTTGAGGAGCGTGGAACCACATTTGCTGTTCCCAGGTCCACCCTAGCCCGGAATGGTAGCACCTGTTAGGGCCCCAGCTATGGGCAAATAGTGAAACCCCAAAACTGAAGTCAAAACTCTATAAGAGTATAAAAATACATTTTAATAGTTAAAAATACCAGCAATACATTTTCATAGTTAAAAAAATTACCAGCAATACATACGAGAAATCCGTTTATTCTTAATTAAAAAACTAAGTATTAACCGCAAACATTTGTCATTTGCTTCCGAAAAATATCCCATATAAAAAAGTTTTTTTAAATTTTAAATCGTTAAAAAAGGGTAAAATTTCAAAAATTTTAAAAATATGCAGATATCAATGACATTAGTACACGTTCAAACTGAACATTTGTTAATAACAATTAAGTCCAATAACTTTACAAAAGTCATCGATCGATTTGACACTGTGTCAATATTATAAAAAGGATCCCCTTTTAAATCGATAAAAAATCAACGTTTTTCGATTCTCACATGTGTCGTGACCTAAAAAACGATCTAAAAAATGCTAATGTACAAAAATTATTTCAACTATTTAAGTTTTGCAAACAGACTGTAGTTGTAGTTTAAATAGGGGAAGAATGGAGACTATAGTCTCCCTCTAGACAAAAACACAAAAATGTTACCCTTATTCATTTTTTGTGTTACTAACTGAGTATCTACCACGACGATATATTACTTTACAATACAATCAACGGCTTTTATATTAAACAATTTATCCAGGGACAATATATTTTTAAAATTGCTACAAGTGCCAAATGTCAATTTTTAATTTCTACACTTTGATTGGTTAAAAAAAAAAGAGGCATATTAACATTGTTATCTCCCATTTTGCGTTGATTTGTGCATGGACTCAAGATGCCGTGCAAAAGTCATCCAAAATTTCTTATATAGTCTTGTTTTCTATTTTAGGTGAAATTCTATCGCTGCGTTCCCAGAGAATTGTTCGCCAACTGATCGGAGATCGGAAATCATTTAAAGAAGATTTATTTACCAAATTTCTTCTCGGGCATCCAGCTACTTTGACATGTTTGCCCCAAATGAACAAACTCAATAATCATTAAATGATATTTACTAATTACTAATTTCACAACTGCAGTCACTCTTTATTTTAAAACTTGTATTATCATCACATTCATGAATATATCTCACTGTCACAATGTCATCATTTTTTTTAAGAAACTTATAATTTTTAACGTTATGCCTTCGCCAACGACTGCGATAAATTCGCCTGTATACTTTGTGAAAAATAAACATGATGTCATACTTTGATTTAAATGTTTACATCATTTACTGAAGGGCCGATGCGTACTATCCCAGAAACTCCCAACCAGAGGGTTTTTTTTCTGCCTACATTTTACGTTACAAATTAAAATAAGAACAACTGACTATGGAAGGATTATTTGGATGTCGTTCTGGGCTTGTTTTTTTTGGGTTTTTTTGTTTTTTGTTTTATTTGTTTTGTTTTATTTTTCGTCCGAATCCGTGAATCTGTTTTGCTCATCCTAAGTCTCAAAGAAGAAAAAAAAATACTGTATAAAATTTACTATTTGTTTTATCCTTGATGTTGAACGTGTTAAAATTCTCCAACTTTTTAACAAGAGAAATCGGTAAATTTTCATTTTAACACCCGAGCGTCATTCACTGCTGAACTATTTTCTTTCAGAAATTAGTACGCGCTTCAGTAAAGCAATTTTTTGTACTTAATTTAGGAAGAAAGTTAACTTTCAAATATATGTAAACATCGACAAACATAACAAAAGAAAAAAAAACACCTAACCCTAATTTGAAAGTTAACTTTCTTCTTAAAAGAAAAATAAAAATAAATAAAAGAATAACTAAAAACAAAACTAACCATAATTTGAAAGTTAACTTTCTTCTTAAAAAAATTACTTCATCGAAGCGTTTAAGGGAAGACATATCTTCAAAATGGAAACATAAAACGAAAGATTCGTTGGGTTAATTGGTTTATATAATTGGTTATATTTGTTGTACCAAGGTACAACAAAAATTAACCCTTCCCGCATCAATCTCTATAGTGACACTGGGCCTCGTCTAAAATTCTGTAATAGGGTTCAAGTTCTTCAGAGTCAGGAAATCTGGTGGTAGCTGACGTGGATTCCAGAGGCATTCGATGCGGGATTCGCAGCGCAAGTTCTCGAGTTTTCAAAGCTATCTCCTTATATGCACTTCCTCAATTTTCATACTAATCCCAAGAGTTTTTTGTTCCCTATTTCTACTTTCTTAATCAACTTGAGAGTAGTTAAAGGGATTGCTCCTTCCTTCACCTCCAACTTTCTTCACTTTACATCTCGTACCATCACTCCACACATTCTCCCTCTTCCTCCTCCTTTCTCAGCATTCAACCTCAGCCTGCTTCCCAGGGCAGGCATAACTGTCTGTGACAAGTCTATTTTAAAACGTGTGGGCGAAAGGGCGTAGTTTTATTTTTGTCATTAATTTTAATTCTCTGATTCCTCAAGGAAGAGATAAAATTATTTCTCAATTACTGGATTTATATCTGTCTAGTGAAAATATAAACCAGATCACCTGCTCATCAATGACAGGGCCTGTTTTCATAACTTCATCCCTCAAAAAGGGTTCGTTTTTATTTAAATTTCCTAATTGGTTTTCGTCAGCGAAAATATAAGTCCCGTCTATCTTTCTCCTCGTTAATAATATGTTTTCATAATTCCTCAAAGAAGAGATGAAAATATTTTAATTTCTAGATTTATGCCTGTCCAGTGAAAATATAAACCAGATCGCTGTTGACAGGACTTGTTTTCATAACTTCCGCTCTATCGTACGTATGACCCGCAAGAAAAAGTTCGTTCTCATTTAAATTTCCGAGCGAGTGACAAAATTATTTCCCAATTTGTTTTCGTCCGCAAAAACACAACTCGAACCACTCATGACAGGACTTGTTTTCATAACTCCTGCCTTAACTGTACATCTGACCCGTTAAGAGAAGTTCGTTCTCATTTAATCTTCCGGGCGAGAGATAATATTATTTCCTAATTTGTTTTCGTCTGCAAAAATATAATCCAGATATCTCTCTCTCCTACTAACGATATTTGTTTGCTTAAATTCTAAAGGAAGAGATAAATTTATTTCTCATTTTGTTTTATCCACATGCCAGATTCTCGATAGATAAAAAAAAAAATTAGGGGAGAAGAAAGCCAGATGACCCCTTTTCACCAAGGAAAATGTCTCCACCCTCTCTCTTTCTCTCTCTATCTTCCAGCTTATATTCCATTTTAGACTTGACCCTGTCCTGGCTTTTCCAGCTCATAATTAATATTTAACCACTTCATGACCTCAGTGTCACACTATGGGTTCAATAGTTGGATTTTCATCTTGAAAAAATAATTTTTTTTTCCTAAAAAAAAATTCTTACAATCCGAAGTATTTTCTACAAAAGACAAATCAAAAGACAAATCAATCTTCTTTTTGATGATGATGAGTGAAAAAGAGAGAAGAAAGCAGCAAGCCAACAAATTAACGCTGGCGTACAAGCATACGAAGGCCTATATACCCATCATGACACCCAGTCTGATAAGGGTATACCACGTACATGTATGTGCGCAATATGGTAACAGGTTTTGATAAAAACAACGCCTAACCTTGCATGTAGGGCCCAGTTAGGAATACCTTGAGGTTCGGTAAGTAGTGCGCCCAGACTGTTTCTTGTTGAGTGTGTTTTCAAGTATCTAGATGTGATTCTCAAGTCGCCTTGACTGCCTCACCCTTCAAACAACCCTCCCGACACCGGACTATGTTGCTCCCCTCACTACACCCTCTCATAAACAAGGGAAATGTCCAACTTGTTAAAGACAAGCAACTGTGGTACTGAAGGGGATATTTACTGTAGCTCATCTTAATACACTAATACAAAACACCTGTTAGTATATCCAATCAAGTAAGATCAGAAGCTACGAAAGAATTCTTGTTGCAAATAACCGAGAGCTCTAACAACAACTGTGGTAATTTGGGACGTTAAACTACCAGATAACAATCATAAATTTAATAATTAGATTAATAAGTCAAACATTACTCGACATGAGATTAAATTACATTATTAAAAAAAAATCAGACATTAATTTGCTGCGTATGAATTATGTGGGTTACCCTCACTTTGCTTTGCCAGGATCGCCAAGATGCCGTTACGTGGTGCTTTTATAGCTACAAAGACAGCATACTTCCTACTTTCCAGAATGGGGATATCTTTCTCCTGTGTGAATAAACTTTTATACACACACACACACACACACACACACACACACACACACACACACACACACACACACACACACACACACACACACACACACAAGTGTGCATGTATATTACACTCCATTCTTAAGAATAGCTAACTTTTAAATGTTTTCTTTCTTTTCAGCTACTAGTGTATTTTCTATCTTTGTTTAATCAGTCAATTGTTAGATCAAAACATATGAAATTGTTGAAATTTATTCCATCTTTTTCAACTCTATTATCAATGACGACCTGTCATTTATATGTGTAAATTTTGTTTTCTATTTCTATTAGGGTCAATAGTACTGAATAAATAAATAAAAATACTAAAAAAATTACAAGGGAGATTATTCTGTTTTGCCCGTGGAGTTGTCTCCCTTGTTACCACGGTATCCTAGCAACGTATTTTGTATTTTCAATATGGAGTTGAAAGGCAGTCTTTTTCTTCGCTCAAATAGAACGGAATATGGACCAGATGTGTTGGTTTCGAATTGGCAAGTAAAAATAGATATCTAATCTAACATTCATCGCACTTACTAACAACAAAGCTGAGTACTTATTAATTATACTGGACTTTAAAGGTGAATTTTTATACTTTTTGAGCAAGTAAGTGAATAAAACTAAAACAGTGGAAGAGATTAAACTTTAAAGTAAACTTATGGATACACACAACACAAAGACTAAAAAGAATGAGTTTAAAAACAAGTTGTAAGGTCTTTCTTTTTATTATGACAAAAAAAGACCATGTAATGAAACAGGGTAAGCAAATAAATTGATTAAAAAACTAGTTTTAAATTTTGCATTTTTGTTTTTAGAGTTACAAAAAATATTTCTTGTTTTGGTAAAGTCCAAGTTTAGTGTCGTAAATATATTTTTATTAAAATTTTAAAAACTTTAAAAATTGCTTTGAATTTTTTAAAATTGAACTTTAAAATGTTCTAATTGTTGTTTTAGTTTCATCTTTTAGTTCGTCATGCCTCGTGTTAGTCAGCAAGTTCGCGGCTAACAATTTCGCTTTTTACAAACATTAACTTTTTATTAATTTTAAGTGAATTTCTTTGGCGTAAATAATTATAATTATGGAAATGTGAATGTTTTTGGTGAACTTATTAACACAGTAAGTGAATTTTATGTGCCCTAATGTTTAACTTTAATAAAAAAAATATATTAGTGACTATCTACTGTCCATTTTCTACTAAATTTATATGGTATGATTTACCAACTGTTGGAAGTATGAAATATGAGGACAAATTAAAAAAAATGATTTACTTAAAGCCACGTGCTTTTAACTAATCACTAAATGATTCAGCATTAATTTCTAGAGTTTTCGTAAAATTAGTTATGGCGGGGGAGTAATAAATTAAATATAAAAAAAATATTTTTACTGTGACTTTAAAAAAATATATTTATAATAATCTCCATCATTTGTGAATAGTTTCTGAAAGTTTCATTAAAATGCGACAATTATTTTTATTTTTGCGAGATTTTTTAGAAATTAAAAAAATTCGCTAAAATTTTTGCTGTTATTTTTAGTAGTGCCCCTGAACGCAAAGAGAATTTTTTTTTTTTAATCAAAAGTTAGGATGTTCTAAAAAAGATGGAAAAATTTAAAATAATTTAAAAATATTTTGTTCTTTTCTCTTAATAGTCGCATAAACCTTTTGACGATAAAATTCTGTTTTCATCAAGTTTGGGGTCTTTCTTTTTTAGCGAAACCATGAAGGATCCTAAGAGTTGTAAAGGCAGTGAACTTGTTATGCATCAAAAAATCATTAACGATTTTTTATACAGAAATTTTTTTTTAAATTATCAAATAGTGATTTTAATCTTTGTAAAGAGATTTGATGTCATTTTAAAAAAAACTGTAAACAGATCATCGTTTTACTGAGCGATTTCCAGTAAATAATGAGTGCATCTTCGTTTACGGTAATAGGCAACCGCAAATGCCTTTGTACACTCTCTAGCACCAATATTTTTTACGATGCTAAACTTGAACTTTACCCTTGTTTGATAGTAGCACCAAAAAAAAAAAAATGTTCCTTACCAGTGATATGCAGAGATTTGTTGACGCCCGAGGACAATTCCTTGATTGTATGATCCTTAGATTCAAGTGGGGGGGGGGTTGTACTTAGGGCCCAGTGAGAAAAATAACATTTTTTTTAAATATGTTAAAAACAAATGAAACATGAAATAAATTTGTTCAAATTAAATATAAACTATTTTTTTTTTATTTCACTCTTTGATTGGACGCCTACCCGATATGGATACCCTCTGCTTCGTCTTCTTCTACACGCTATTGTGCACTTTTGAAACAATGAATACATCATAGAAACAACTACTTTATTTTTTGTAGATATTTTTAAATTTACACTTTAAATTTAGATGTGATCTATCAATTGTTTTCTTTATCATTTAAATCATTTCACCACAAGTAAGGCAATAAAGCCACTAAGGCGATAAGTGTGAAAGAATATGAGAAAAAGAAAAACATTATTAAGAAGAGAGAACAATAAAAGAACAGGAATTTAAGAAAACAAGATAATGATTAACATTGCATTTAAATTTTTGAATATCAAAGTTGACAGGAAAAATGTTTTTGTAAAAAAAAAAAAAAAAGCCGCCGCCATATGCAGATATCAATAATCATAGTTAAAAAATGACATTTGTAAATAAATAGCTATGGTTTAAACTGTATCAATATTATGAACAGGATCCTCTTTCTAAAATGATAGCAAATCAATATTTTTCATTTCGGACAAGTGTTGTGTCTTAAGGAAGGTCCTAAGAATGTCAATATACAAACATTTTTCACTACGTTTATGTGTGAATCAGTCTGCTTAAGTAGTTTCAGGCCACCTTCCAGGTAAACACTAGCAGGCTCGAGTTTAAAATCAACCAAGGTCTCCTTTTTTTTATTTTAACTTTAGTGTAAAACTGAACTGGCAATCTTTAACCTTTGTGACTACAAAAAAAACAGTGTGTCAAATGTACAGTTTTTCCCTTGACACCACTAATATTTTAACTGCCTTCACTCCTTGGCAATGTTTATTGTTTTAAAAAGTGATGATTAGAATTTTAATAAAGCTTAAACATATGAAAGTGAATTTATACATTTTTTTTGTTCTTGAGAATTTACAACAAAAAAATATTAAACATTATTTATTTTATTGTTAATTGATAAGAATAATTTAATAATTACTATATTATAAAAACTAATTCAATATTTATCATTCACTAATTCATAAAGAAATATAAAAAAAATTTATTCATAAATTTATAAACATTTACTAAATTATTAAAATATGTGAACCAACTATAAAAATCTTTATTTACCATTTTATAAAGTTTGAATCAAAAGTCTAAATTGATTAGCAATTAGCCAATGTTTTGCCAACCATTCCCACAAACAATAGTGTTTAATATTTTTGTTGTCAGTTCTCAAGAACAAAGAAAATGCATAAATTCATTTTCATATATGTAAATTGTATTACAATTGTAATCATTGTCAGGGAGTGAAGGTAGTTAAAATAATAGTGGTGTAAAAGGAAAAACCATCCTTGTTAACACAGCATTTATTTTTTTTTTTTGTGGACATGAAGGTTAAAGATTGCCACTCAACCTATTACTACCTCTCTATTCTATTTTTTGTCCTATAAGCCTTATATTCAACGTCAAAATAACTCACAAGTAAAATTTAATTAACCTACTTTTAGGTGCTTGATACAAAGGTGTGTCTTAAAAATGGGGAGAAGCAGAATTTTTCCCAATATGCAATAAAAGTTGGCAGAGTGAAAAATCATTTAAAGGGTCAAAAATTTAGAATTTAAAAAAGAAACATTTTGTTTTTTACATTTTAAGCTTATCAATGAATGGAAAATAGTAATTCTGGATTAAAAAAAAAACCCAAAAAACCTAATTTCTTTAAACAATGCTATCATAAAAGTTTGCAAGTTAAAACATGAACTCTTTCCTGTTTGACCTCTGTGGAGAAGTGCAAAATTAATAAACAGGATGAGTGGGTGAGTTCAGAAGATTCCTTCAAAAACAACATAAATTTGACTTCCCTTTTATTAGGCACTGGGAGAAATCTAACCTTTTTGGCCCTTTTTTCTCATGTTGACTTAAAAAAAATCCTGCCGTATTTCTAGTATTCTAGGTTTTGGTGGATTAGTTGATTTTGTTGGTCATTTTACTATCAATATGTATTGTTGGTAATTTTTTTAATATATGGTAGATAGATAGCAATGTGTTGATGGCTGACTCATAAGTAAAACCACATGACCTCATAAACAAGCTAGTAAATGTTGGTTGGTTGATGTTGTTTAGCAGCACATCAACCTCTATGGGTTATCTAATGACAAAATCTAAATATTTTGAACATAATTTTATGGATTCAACTACAGATAAAATGTATTGCTGGTAATTCTGCAATATAGGTATTGTCGGTAATTTTTTTATATATAAAAATGTGTTGCTGGTATTCTTACTATAAAAATGTATTTTCATACTTTCATAGACTTGTTTTTGTTTGTGAGTTCACTATTTGCCAATAGCTGGAACCCTAACAGGTGCTGCCACCCTTGGTCAAGGCGGACATGGGAAGGTGGTTCTATGCTGCTTCAAACCTCCAATTTCCTGATCAAAGGAGTGGTCACTAGGTGGCTATGAATATCAATCTCATAACAATGTTTATTCTATAGTCCTCATAAAAAACAGTTTGGCGTTATACCCATGTTTGTTTTTGCAATAATGTCCTAGTTAAAAATTTAAAATTCCCCAAAAATGTGAGTACTTGAAACTTTTGGAAAATTCATCCAGATATTCAAATATGATCCAAGAGTTCATGGTGGTGATGGTTTTCAAATCCAGAGCAGGATTCAATAAATCATCATCATAATCATTTGTCCCTTGACTGCTTCAATCATCAGTGGAAGCTTTATATATTTTTCTATTGATGAGTGTGATTTACAATGTAATTAGAATGCTAAACTGGTCCTTTGTTTTGTGTCTGTCAGACTTGTTATCTTGTTTTTAATAATAAATAGATAAAATTTCCTATCCAGAAACCAAATTTATAACTTTTTTTACCATTAAATTTTTTCCAGTCACTAGAGAATTAACATTTTTATAAAAAATTTGTTGTATTTATATTTGTAATATGAACACTGGCCACCAGAAAACCATAAACATTAATTGCTCAACAATGTTTATTAACTGTTAAGTTCTTATAAATCATCATTGTCGTCATCAATCCTTTGACTGCTTCAATCATTGGGTGAGGGGTGCTGAAGAAACAGACAACCTTGTCCAGTCTGATCTGCTGGCAGTAGCTGTTAAGTGTTCTGGTATTGTTATGTCTATCCACTCTTTTTCTGAAAGCATATAGGTTGCAAACATTCCACTCTCAGAGGGTTGTACCCTGTATTGGTATTTTGATAGTGTTTGTTGATCCAGTCACCCACTTGTTATGCTCATTCTGGAGTGAGTCAATGGGACACATGGCCATTGTGGGTCTGCTGTTTTGATTCTTCTTCCTTGTGATGCTTTCAGTGGGTTTTCAGATAATTTGGTGGCGCCCATCTCCTCTTCAATTATTCTTAATTAAATAATTCAATAAATACACACTTCAAATCTATAATCTCTTATAGGTTCAAATGCATCATTTAGGTCTTCTGCAAGAACAAGCTTAAAATCACATCTAGCAAGTTTAATAAAATTATTTGTCATTGTTATAATCTGATTTCGATATCTGTATATTTCTGATTTAAATTGTTCTTCAAAGAATTTCTAATTCCAACCTTCTGACAAAAATCTTTCTACAGAATTAACAACCTCACGAAAATTTATATATACAATCCATTGTTAAAGATGTTGGTAAAATGATTGGCTCCTTTTACAGTTCCAGAAGTACCTGTTTCCTCCTACCATGCTGTATCTTTACAAGTGTTTGATCTGACCAAAAATGGAGTATTACTACCATATCTTCTCTTCCCAGTCACAACAATTCAAAAGTGTTTAGCTAGCCTTGTAGGTGATGAATAATTTTCAATCTTGAAACTTCTTTTCCCAGAACCATATTATCCTATAAGTTCTATGTTAACAGTTTCTTCTATTGCACTTCTCACTTGTGGAACTTTCTTCTAGCTTCTGGCTTCCCAGTCAACTTTGATCTTCAAAAATTTAAATGCAATGTCAACCGTTACCTTCTGTCTTCTTAATTCTTGTTCTTTTATTGTCTTCTCTCATTAATAGTAGTTTTCTCATATTCTCTAACACTCAGTAACCCCTTGCATCATAGTGGCTTTATTGCCTTGCATGGAGGTGAGATGATTAATAAAAAAAAAAGAAGCCAGTATAAGATGCAGCCTAGAGCCCCTTAAGTTTGGTTATAATGCTGTTTTTTTTTTTTTTTACTATAGTTGTATTGAAATATATGCTAATTTGGTTTGCAATTAATAGTAAAATAGTGGTATTTATTAAAGAATATTTTTATTGACAAATAAAAGATAGCTATTCTAGTTTGTTTAAGGAATTTGCTATAAGTTTACCTCAAGCTAGGTAAAAGTCTCTAAAATATATCACAAGTAAAAAATTGTTAGGATATTAACCAATAGTCAAAAAAATTTGGGTGCCAACAATAAGTTCAATTGCAAAGCCATGTTCAAAAGTCCAAAAGGTAAAGTATTCATAAAAAGTCCATCAGGCAAATTAATACTAAAAATAGGGTCACCAATTCAACTTTCCACTCACAACAAAGGAAACGCACAAAAAGTCATTCTCTCCTCGTTAAGCAAAGTGATAGCTTTTATTCACAGGGCAATTCTTCTGATTGGCCACACCAGTCAGGGATGAAAGACAAGTATAGGTGAGTTAGAAGATAGCCCCAGCTGAGGAGTGTCCTATAATTTCATTAGCCTAGAGGCCCCAAAAGGTCATAATACAGTCCCACTCTTTCCCACAGTCTGTCACTACTCTATCATTATTTCCATGGAAAATTTTCTGTGAAGTTAAATTCTATAATTCCACCTGTTCAGACCTTTACAGCTGACCCACCATATCATGTACACAGGAGCAAACCATCCTAATTGCCTTCATATTCCATTGGTAAGGAAGAAGTGCCATTCACACTGGTTCTTCCCAAGAGCTGCTATTTTATGGAAGACTACTGAGAGGACACTTCCCTGGCCACTGCAATCTTAATCTCTACAAGTCTAGAATCAATAACTATCTACCCTATATTAGCTCATAATCTACAATTCTTATGTCCATAAAACAAACACATTTATTAATGTTCTACTTTGAGTGGCTCTTTAGCTTTATATTGTGTAAGCAACAGCATAAAAATACTTAGAGATCACTCATTATTATACTTGTCTTATGAGCTAGGTAATTTGAAAATATATGTGGGCTTACCTGAAGTGGCAGGTAAGCAGCATGAGGAAGAATCAACAGAAGTCTTGAAATTCCCCAGCAACAACACCATATATAAACAGTATAGAGACAGGAAACATATTCCAATATGACCTTTGTACCAGACTGTAGCTATCAATTCTTACACCTGTAAATTATATTGGTGCTTTGTCTGGTATAATGTAATCAACCTTGACCCGACATCTCGACCTGTCACTTTCCCACTGCTGTGATATGGCTTCTCTCTGTCGTTTCTACAAATGTTTTCATGGTAACTGTTGAGCTTTCTTCTTTGGTACCTTGACTGCATGAATTTGTACATACTATGAGATTGTCTACTAGGTCTCACTGTTTTATTATTGAACTTACTAAATATAACCGTCTATGTCCTATTCTAATAGTTTCTTTTCTTGCACTTGTCATCTGTGGAACTCTTCCAGTTTCTTGCTTCCTTGCCATCTACAATCTTAAAAAAATTTTAAATGCAATGCCAATCACCATCTTTTGTCTTTCTGAATTCTATTCTTTATTGCCCCTTCTCCTCACTAAAGTTTTCTCATTTTCTTTCACTCCCAGTAACCTCTTGCATCTTAGTGGCATTATCACCTTTCTTGGGGTGAAATAATTAAAAAGAAAAAAAATGAAACAAAATGTATTATCTAATCAGTGATACAAGTAATTCAGTCAGTTAAGTGCCATACATGATATACTCTTGGGTGATCCTGTCTCTTTTGAATCATGACTGATTAAGCAGAAGATTTTTTTTTCTGCTAAGTTGCTATTTTTTTCTGCTGCAGACTAGTTGCCAACCAAGGCTATAGGACCCAGTCTGTCCTGCTATTCAACCCATAGCCGGAGGGGGGATTTATACCTTTCCCAAGTAATTAAATAAGCATATATTATCAACAAAAGTGATGAGAAAAAAAGCTGAGAAATATTTTTTTTGTTTTTCGAATTTAACACTTTTTAAAATGCTTGCCTTTCATTTATGAGTGAAAATGTTTTGAAAAGAACGCAGCAAAAGATAACAGTTTTGTTGAACATTCTCATCTCGTTCACTCTTGGTCTACCCTTGTGAGTGACTGAAGACTTAATTCAAAGTTGCCTTCTTTTCTCATCATTCAGGGATCAAAGACGGGAAGCAGAACCCAAGGATTATGATTATACAAGAGATTCTTACCGAAATTGTCACCTGTCGACTTACAGACGCTTTGGTACAAGGGAAGTAAGTGTTTGCTTTAAGAACCTTTTAAAATTTATGCACTGTTTTCTTTTTAAATTTTTTATTGAGATTCTAACTGACATTTTGCTTATTCTAAGCTAATCTTATGTCACCACATTATATTTGCCTTAGAGATTGTTGGATTTTAAGGATCACTGTCTATTTCAAAGATCCTTGCTTTTTGGGGGTGGAGGGGTTTGAGTATTATATTTTAGGCTGCAAAATTAGTCTGATGTTCAAAATTTAATAAGGTCTATGTTTATGTGAAGCAAATTCTACTTTGTGAGAACAAAAGGAATAACACCATTCATTCCTGACCACTGACAATACCTTTCATCCTGATTTTCAGTGCATTCCTCTAGCAAAATTATTAGCAATGCATTTACATTATACATAGAATAGCCCTATTCTATCAGTAATGTTTGTATTCATTCTTGACCACTGACAATCCCTTCCCAATATTCAATGCATTTCTATAGTAAAATCATTAGCAATGCATTTCCATTATACATATAATAGCCCCACTCTATCAGTAATGCTTACATTCATTCCTGACCACTGACAATCCCTTTCTTCCTGATTTTCAATACATTCCTATAGTAAAATCATTAGCAATGCATTTCCATTATACATATAATAGCCCTATTCTATCAGTAATGCTTTCATTCATTCCTGACCACTGACAATCCCTTTCTTCCTTATTTTCAATTTTATTTTGTTGTTATGGTGAGAATAGACATTTATGAGATCATCTTTATTAGTTGGTTTGCAATGAGCACCTTGATTTAGAATAATCCAGAATAATCATTGGATTCTATTTAAGAGAACTCAGAATTTGTAGCCCTCAGTATTTACATGAATTTTTAATCACCTCAAATCACATTTTGCTTTCTCATGCAATTAAAAGTCAAACAAGAGTCAGCATCCTGTTATGTTAAAAAAACAGGAAAATTTAGTTAGAAGCAAAGAAAAGAGTGCTGAAGTGTTTACACTATTTACATTGTTTGGACTGTTGTCCTCGTCTTTATTTTCATATTCACGACATTTCAGCTGTTGTACACACTACATTTGAATTTTGAATCAAACCTTTTATTTCATCCACCAGGGTAGATTGTTCTAGTTCCACATGCCATGCCTTTTCTGGATATCTCAGTTTCAGTTATCCACCTTTAGTAACTCAATTCTCCAAGTTTTTTGTTCACCTCTGCTGTGGCCAGGTATTGAACTCACAACTCTTTGGGTCAAGTCAATGGATTACTTCAACCAACACTTTTATTCACTGGACCATGTGTATAATGTCCAAAATGACAATAAAGATGAGGATAACAGTTCAAACAATGTAAATAATGTAAATAGTTACAATACATCATCTCAGAAATATAGACAGTGCTGAAGTGTATTATAATATCAATCCTCATATATGGCAGTGAATGCTTCGACAATTTACTCATAGACAGAGAAAACTAGAGCCAACAGAAAGGACATTCTACAGAAGGATGCTGAGAATATCATGGACAAAACATGTAAACAATGAAAAAGTCTTAAGGAAAATGAAAACAAACGAACACTTATACTCAGAATCAGAAAGAGACGGATGAAATTTCTCTGGCCCATAATGAGGAAAGTGGGCTTGGAGAATTCAACACAAACAGGGCATATTGAAGGCAAAAATGACAAGGAAAGATAGCTGACAAGTTTGTGTGAATATATGGTGGAACAGAAGTGGGAGGCTTGACAAAGGAACAAATGTTGCTCAGAGCTATAAGGGATATAACGTTGTGGAGAGCCATGATCACTCACATCCTGAAGAGACATGGTACATGGAAGAAGATAAACACTAAAAAATATAAAAACCTTTAATTCAGAAGGTGTTTCTTAATTATTATTAAAGACATCCAAATCTGTCACTATTCTTAGAACTGTCCATGAATATACAGGAATTCTCAGAACATTATTTGATATTTTAGAATTGTTCTTGGAAAATAACAGGGATTGTATTTGTTTTGGAATATTGGTTTGGGTTTGTTTTTTTGAATGTTGTTTTTGGGAACCCACAAAAAAAAAATAGTGTGTCAAAAGTATGGTTTTTTTCCTTGGTACCGCTATTATTTTTACTACCTTCACTCCTTGGCAATGTTTATCATTTTAAAAAGCAATGGTAAGAATCGTAATTAAAATCTAAACATCTAATCTATGCTAACAGTTATTATCTCTAACTATGTATAAAAAAAGTGAATTTATACATTTTTGGGGGGTTCTTGAGAATTTACAATAAAAATATTAAACACTATTTATTTTTTTAAATTGGTGGTGAAAAGTTCTTAGCCCAACACAGTTCCCAAAATCAAACCAAATTTCATTTTTTTTTTATCCTCAAAAACAGGAAATTTAATGAAATTGATCAAAAAAATTAAAAAGGGAATACACAAGATCTGTTATGTTTTGATAACATTAATTTGACAGCATCAGCAAAACACCTTTCCCTGAAAATTGGAAAATATGTTTTAAAACCAGTTGAAATGACGAGATGCAATTGTAAGTTCTATGCTAACAGTTTCTGTTGTTGATCCTGAGGTGTAAGTTGGCTGGAGTAGAGAAACAAAATTAGACAATGGTTTGGAGAAATAACCAAAGATTTATTTTCATTTACAAGGCATGAAAATGTCTCTAATCGCATTTGGATGTGGGCTGAATGAGGTACAAAGTGAGAGCATGAAAAAGGAGTATGTTTAACTTGGCTGACTAGTTGGTAGCTATCGGCTTAGGCTTGTTGTGTCAATAGTGCAGTCTGTTCTTTTTCTGTATTCTCATGAGGTTGTTTTCACAACCTAATGGTTGGACAGACAGTCAGCCATGCTCCAGGTAGCCTCTGTGGTATGTGTGAAGTCTCTCTCTCTGCTTTCTTTTCACTGTCCGGCTTCTCTTATAGCCTACATAAGGGAAACACATGGACATCTGTGGCAAATGAAGTCAAGTCAATAATAGCTTGCAGTTTGGTATATTTGTTTTGAGTAGAATATGGCATGTGTGTAACTTAGCTAGACAAAAATTGGTGTGTAGTTAGAGATATATGTTTTCTAATAATTATATAAATTTGATTTTAATTTGTTATCTCTAACTATGTATAAATTGTGTTTTTCTGCTACACTTTTCTGGCCTTTCTCACTTGTGGAACTTTCTTCTAGCTCCATGCTTTCCAGTCAACTTTGATCTTCAAAAATTTAAATGCAACATCAATCATTATCTTCTCTCTTCTTGATTACTCTTCTTGATTGTTCTCGCTCCTTAATGTTTCTTTTTTTCTTCTTCTTTCACACTCATTAATCCCTTGTGTCTTAGTGGCTTTACTGCCTTTCTTGGGGTAAATTTGATTAAAAAAAATTAGAAGAAACATGCAATGGCTAAACATCCAGTTTATTTCTATTCTTTAATATTGTGAAAAATTAAATATTTTAGTGAAATATATGTATTACATTGAGATTTTAATGGATAATATGGTATAATTTTTTTTTAAATTACATCAGGATGGCTGTACGATGTGTTGTATTAAACCCAAGGATGTAATTTATTCTTTGTTTTTAGAAAATTATGTAATTAAAGTTTGTTTTTTTTGGTATTACTACAAATTATTTATGCAGTTATTTCCAGTACACAGAGATCTCTTCAGTATGAACAGAGCTTGTTGTCTGTTGTCAAATCTACATAAAACATAAAACTAATTTAGTTTCTAATGTTACAATTTATCTCCTCTTTTTTCTTTCTTTAATTTTGTGACAATGAAGTGCAGTGAATCGTACTGCACGAGTAGCCATCATTGCAAGAGGGATAGATCAAGAATAAATATTTGCAAAGAGAAAATTGTAGGCCTCACCTCCTACCACCACACTAATATTAACACAATTACAGTTGAGCAACAGCAAAGCCTTGAAAGCTTCTTTATCTCATCATTATTTGTGCATTTTTGTGTTGTTATTGTAAAATGTATGAAGTTTGATTTTACAGCAGTTTTTTTTTTCTAATCAGTATAAATGCTGGAAGGGATGGCTATACTAGGGGGGTGGTCGTATTATACTCAAGGTTGTAATTTATTCCCTGTTTTAGCTTCAGAAACACAGTGTTGTATTAAACTCAAGTATATCATACACAAGAAAATATGGTAAGCACCAGGAATGCCTTGATTTTCAATTGTTTGGACATTACACAAGACATGATGAGAACTTTGAAGTAAATATGAGCTAAATTGCAGGTATGTCCAAGAACATCTTACCAAGACGCATGTGAACAATTATTCTTAAAGCCGATGTATGAAGATAGGAAACCACACCATCCTTTTTATTCATTGCAGAGTGGAACAAACTTAAAAACTAAGTGGTGAGTAAACAATTTCCTTTAAAAAGAAAAACAGCAATCATTTACCCAACATTGTAAGGATGATATGTGATGTTTTAAAGTTGGTAACAGTCTATGGATTTCCCATAATTCCAAGTCAAAATCCTGTATTAAGTTATTAAAATTCAATGTTTTTGTTAAAATGAAATAAATAAATATTATGTTTAGCCTTTATCAGTACTGAATATAAAACAAAAATTTCTTAACAATCATACAAGCCAATGGAGGGTTGTGGGGGTATGCCTCCGGTGAGTTGTTTTCCAATTATTTTTTTTTATGAAGATTATTGGGAATGGGATGCAATAAATGATTTCTTATGAGATCATGGTACACCAGAACCACATTTTTTTTTCCAAAAAGATTAAAATATTTTTGAATATAGAAAATGAGAGCGTCAATGTAATACTTGTATATTGGGAATTTTCCAACGATCCATGGGTGGATCATGTGAGACTCTGGGTTGTAAAATGGCTTAACAAATGCAAACCTTTCTATAGGTTCATGTCTTTTGTTCTTCTCAGCAACACTTGCTCTTCATAATATATTTTCTTCGATCCATTTTGAAACACCCTGTAAATGTTAAGTTCCCTAAGGCTTCTTTCCTAATTATGTGTTCCTAAAATTTCGGCTATCTGTGAATCAGCCGTTTCTTCGTTGATGATATTAAAACTTCATTTGTTAACTGCTCTATCCATAGTATTCAACATTTGTCGATAAAACCACATCTTGCAATATTCGCAAATGAAAAAGAAAAAAGAACCTTGTGATAAAGCAAGCATATAATAAAAAAGATTACCTTCCAACAAATCAAACATCTTATATTTATGCTCTTATTTAACTAGAATTTTTATTTTGAAACACACTGACGTGTGTTGAAACTCTCACAGTATTTAGTATTGTTGAAGTTATAAACTATAACTGAGAAAATATGTGAACTATAAACAAATCACAAGGCCAAACGATGAAACAAGTTGGAATTTGGCTCCAGAAAGAAATATTTATGCATGGGCTGTTGTATGTTGCATGCTCAAGAGTAAGAAATCCTAATAATTTATTCTTCACTGTTAAAAAGAAATTTTCTTAAAAAATATTGTTTACCATGAAGTCCTATAAAATTAAATTAAAGAAATTATTAAACCACAATGTAGGGTTTTTAAAGTAGTTTTCGAAACAAAAAAGCTTATTCAAATTTCATCGATTGGTTTGCAAAAATGAATGACTCAATAAAAAATGTTAGCAATAACTTCAACAATACAAAATACTGTGAAGATTTTAGCACACATAAGTGTGTTGCAAAAAAAATTTTAGTATATATATAAAAAATTAAAGAAAAGATATACAAAAACAATATTACATTTTTATTAGATAAGTATTTATTTTAATCATTAAATTGTTTTTAAAATAGTGCGGGTATTTTGCATGTTAAATAATAAAATTTAATTTTTCCAAAAAATTAATGAAAATTTATTGTACTAAACTATGCACCCTAGTAAAACCAATTGTACTTTGTACTCTCTTATTTGGTTTTGATTGGTCTATATATGGCTATTTTAGAGGGTCTGACAGATGCACAGACTAACAGAAGTCACAGAATTTTATATATAGATTACACTGAGCAAAATATATTTTGATGCAATCCATCACAAAATCCCAGTCTCTTATCCCAAAAGTGGACAAAATTCTAGTCTCATATAAGAATAATTAATAAAATTACTGTAAATTATGGTGTACAAGTCGCCATCAAATTTTTTAGCTCAAAATTCCAAGTCTATACCTACCCTGTAGGTCAACCCCAAAATATATGGTAGGCTACCAGTGGCCCAAAACTTATGCCTATCAGTAAATGATGTTAAGCTACTATATAGGCTCACTGACTTTCTATATTTCCCTTGCCCTCATTATACCCTGTGTGAGTTAAGTTTTCCAAGCTCTCTTTCCTTATAATGTGCCCAAGTAATTTCAGCTATCTTTTCTGAGCATAAGTGTTCTTTTTGTTGCCATTTTCTTTAAGACATTCTTGTTGATTACCCACTCTGTCCATGCAATTCTCAATGTCTGTCCATAGAACCAATTTTCTGTTGCCTCTACACAAACAAGGAGACTCCACACAAACAAGTCTCCTTGTTTGTGTGGAGATTTTCCAGCATTGACTGCCATATAGGAGGATGGATATCCCAATCCAAAAGGCTCTTCTTTGTTTCTAGTGAAACTTTTCTGTTTCTCGCCACCTTGCTTAGTTTTTGGAATGCATCTTTCACCAGTCCAATGCATGTTTGGATTTTGGTGTTGCATTTACCATCATTTTTTAAACTGCTTCCCAGATAAACTTCTGTATTTGTTTGATGTGGACAACTCCAAACTCCATGAATGATCTGAGTTTCTAGTTTGAAGAGCAGTTTCAAGCTGAAAATATCTTAAAACCTTTAGCACACTGTAGGTGACTATTTTTGTCAAGCAAAATGTTGAATCTGAATTTCTTGATTGTGTAGTCATATCCTTCTATGGCAACACCTAAAACAATCTTAATTGAAATTGAAAGCCAGACTACTGCAATTTCAAATATATAGAACTAATATATAAAACCCTATATTTTGAGGGGATTCCATAGACAGTAAAAGAGGGTGGGGAAATAATATTTATAAATGGTGCAGAGGGCTAAATGTTAAGGTACCACTTTATTTATTCAGTTATACTATGGTGATGACCTTCAGACTTTTCCATGGTGAAAGTCACATAATCTAGTAATAACATTTTCTGGAGGTCTATAGTGCTAAGCTAAAACTACCTTTTTATTTCCTTTTCTATGAAATTTTTCTTAAGTTTATTTTTTTTTTTTCAGATTGTGTGAACATGCAAATGACTTCTACAAAGAAATATTACTCTTTAGTTTTAAACATTGGTTAGAGCATGGAAAAGATATTTTATGTTTGTTAAATTATAATGAGGTTTATTTTTTTCTTTATATCACATTTATTTCACTGATGAGAAAATAGATATTTGCCCTTCCCCAGTTTTCTTAGTTTTGACTTCTTGTAAGAAAACCATTTTTCATTGCTATTTAATCTTGTCCAAAAATGGCTGTCAGCTGAGAATGGAATAGCCAAAAAAAAATTACCAAGTCAACTGACTGGAGTGCTCCTATTGTACGCATCATGAAGAAAAAAAAAAGAAAAAATATCCCATTGTAATATCTTGGCCTGCCAATAAACCGTATTCAGTGTTGCTCTACCTTGAGTTTCCTTATTAAACCTGTTCATTACAGTTGTTGTTAGCCTTTAGCACTCTGTAGGTGACTATTTTTGCCAAGCAAAATGTTAGTCCTGCCAATGAAAGTTGAATTTCTTGGTTGTGTAGTCATATCCTTCTATGGCAACACCTAAAACAATCTTAATTGAAATTGAAAGCAATTTCAAATATATAGAACTAATATATAAAACATTATATTTTGAGGGGATTCTATATCCAAGAAGTAATATTTAAAAATGATGCAGAGTGCTAAATGTTAAATATATTCTGCTTCATGAAAAAACAAGTCATTTAAGTAACACTTTTTGCTGAGAAACTAATTTTTTTTCTTTGTGTTTTTCTCTCAACAGTCCAAGTGCTTCTCTCAGCAGTCCATTTGCCTGCGAATGTGTCCTTCCCAAACACCCACCTGACTACAACAAAAGATATTTAGAAACTACACATCTTGTAGACTTCCAGCCTCCATACCCATATGAATCAAAAACAGTAAGTTTTAATGAATATACACTTTTTATCCCACCAAGTTTGAGGTTTCAGAACATCTTCCTCAGAAAATTAGTAGAGAAGTTCTTTTCTCAAGCAGGAATCTCCAAAGCTTGAAACAAGATTTCATTTCTTTGTTATTCATTCATTGATATTCTTACATTCCATGTCACCACTGACTTCAGTCCTTCAGACCACAGCACATAGACTGTATCAACAAAAGACAATTTCTTTTTCTTATTCACTTTATTATTCAAGAGGGCCAGATGTGGTAGCAGGAGAAAGATCTCCAGGTGAATGCATACCTACTGTCTGATTTAGCATTCAGCCATTTGCAGGCTATCTTCTCTCAGAAATCTGGGTGCAGAAAATGTGTCAGTTCTTCAAAATTCTTGCTGCCCTCTGTCACTTTTGCATTGTTTTGGTCTAACATCCAAAACTTAGACAAAAGGCAATCCATCAGTGTCAGAATTCCATACCTATAATGTGTTCTGACCAATTGCCGACCAGCCTCCACATCCTCTAACAATATAAAATGAAAGTTGTTTTCCCTACATCTGATATCATCAAAGATTTCAACTTTAAGGCACAGTGGGATTTCTCATCTTCAGCATGGCTGCTCATTTCCAAGCAGGTCTATTTGCTGGATTCAGCTTTAGTGTCTGTTTCAAGTTCCTTTGTAAATAATACAATAATTCTTGCACAATTTTCCTATCTATAAAGTGAACGTATCCTAAAAGCAGTGCTTCAATGCCTGGGAGAGTTGATTCATCCAATTCTAAACCAAATTGTTGATTTTTAAATCATGGTGGGGAAGGCTGGTAGCTATTGACAAAAAATCTCTATTAAACCAAAGGTGTAAATTGTAAATTACTGACTCAGTTTATTTTTTACCTTAAAATATAGTTAAATTTTTAAAAATTACGTATTACCATTTCTTATAGCCATAATTTATTAATATTCACCCCTGGTCAAAATCTTAAGACCAGATACAAAAGGGTTAAAAAAAAATATAAAATACTGTTACTTTAATCAAAATATATTTGTGAAACATTTACATTTAATTAGAAAATGTAGTTTATCAACAAACAATTGAACATCTTTAGCTTATAATTATTTTAAACAAACATTGAAAAAAGGATTTTTTGGTTGGTCATAAAGATAAGACCATGTGTGAAAAAAAAACAAATTACTGGACAAAAATTTTAGAACTAGTCAGTGTGCTCATAGCTTCAGGCATGTAGACATCTACGTAGTTCATTTCCAGTATTAAATTTCAGATTTAAAAATGGCTAAGGGTAAAATTTTAACAAAGTTTGAACAGGGCAGGATTGTTGAACTTCAAAGACGTGGTCTTTCACAACGAGCCATTGCAAATGAAATTGACCATAGCAGAACTGTCATTGCTAACTTCATTAAAAATCCAGATGCATATGCTTCTAAAAAAAGCAGTCACCCCAATAAAATCTCACCATCTCCAGACATTAGGCGGGAAGTTAAGTGAGATTCAAGCCTAACATCAAATCAGATAAAAGCGAATACAGATGCTGAATGCAGCTCTTGAACCTTTCGACGGCACTTAAACAAGAACAAAAAAAAATTAAACAAGAAAGAGTTTAAGAACTTGAAATGGCTGCAGAGGCCTCGCCGCCTTCTTCACCATAAAACCTCCCGTCTACAATTTGCTTGTAATTATCAAACTTGGGATGTAGATAAATGGAAGAAAGTGTTGTTTTCAGGTGAGAAAAAATTAAATCTTGATGGCCCAGATGGTTTTCAGCGTTACTGGCATGCAAAAAATGTTCTAAAAGAAATTTTCTCAACACGACACTGTGGAGGTGGATCAATTATGGTCTGCGGTTCATTTTTGTACAATGGAACTCTTGAGTTAGAGGAGGAAAAAGGTTGTCAAACAGCTGCTAGTTACATTGAAATGCTAAGAAAGGTATTGTTAATTACTGAAGGCTCTCATCTATGAGGAGAAAACTGGATTTTCCAGCAGGACAATGCTGTAATCCACAACGCTCTCCAGATTTAAACCCAATCGAGAATGTTTGGGGATGGATGGCAAAGGATGTTTATAAACATGGATTACAATTTGAAACTCTGGATGCTCTTTGTGCTGCAGTTTATGCATCCTGGGTGAGTATCCCAAACACCCTCAGGATATACTGAGAATTAAATTATCATTCTGACTTATTTCTTCTGTATTTGTTATTTTTATTCACATGGTCTTATCGTTATGACCAACTAAAAAAATTCTTTTTTCAATGTTTGTTTAAATTAATCAAAAGCTTAAAATGTTTGTTGATAAACTACATTTTCTAATTAAATGTAAATGTTTTGCAAATATATTTTGATTAAACTAACAGTATTTTATATTTTTTAACCCTTTTGTATCTGGTCTTAAGATTTTGACCAGGGGTGTATAATGGTCCACCCTTTATGGGTAATTACCTTATTTTGTTCATTCAGCTTTAATATTGCTAGGTATTGCTGTCCACTTAGTATTATCAATACCTTATATAGATTTCCACATTTTTAATTTTATCTAAAAGCCCCTTTAAGCTTCCTGAATCTAAAGATTTTTTTCAAAAAATATTTTTCTGTTAACTTTATGTCTAATTAACCTACTCTTCCATTCAACACCCTTTCAAAAAATTGAACATGTCATATTTGTCTACAATCACAATGCATTTGTCACTAATATATTTTTGCTAATGATGGCCTGGCTATGTTCTGGTTTATCATGACATGAAAATTAACTGACCTACCTCCCCACTCTAAGCTTGCATAGCATAGATCTGACATTTAATTGGTTAACCAAGACATACCCACAAGTCTATTTTTAATTCTGACCTTTAACTTTTGAAAAAGAGGTAACAGTTTGATTTTAAATTTCCTTAAAAATCATTTAATCACCAGTTTCTTACCATCGCCAGAAGAAATACAATTATAGTATTGAAACATGAAAGCTTTTGTGTAGCGATTTCAACATGTTTTCATTATCTCTTATAATAAAAATAATAATAATATATTGCTCTACTTTGTATTGAGCACTTTTTAAAAAGTAAATACTATGAAGAGTGGAATTTTAATCCATTTGTTCTTTCTCTCATTTGGATATAAGATTGATACAAGTAAAAGGTTTATCCCTTAGCTGATTGATGTTACCTTCAGCATCCTGACTTCAGAGTTTCGTAGACGGACCTGTTCCTCCACTCGTTAGGGAGTATCAGCAATTGACTGCTTATACTTGTTGATTTTTCTTTTTTTATAAGCACTTAACATTGGTGCAAGTTTGTTTTTTTAATAGTGTGTGTCGCCTCTGCAGATGTGCGTACATGTAGAATGTTGTCATTATTTGTCCTTTTCATTGCTTTTTTGTTTGTTTTTTTTTACTCACTCCTTAGCCTTTCCTCTTTCTTTTCTTTTTCCTCTTTTCTTTAGTTTTTTATAAAAAATTTTGGCTGCACCCATTAAATCAAAATAAAACATTCAAACAAAAATAAATTTGTGTTAGTATGGATGTGTTCAACCCACAAAAATTAGAATGCCTACTGCATTCCACTGATAAACAGAATCAAGAAGCTCACTTGCAGGTGGCAGGTAAGGGACAGAAATCAATTTGGGAGCGGGGAAGTATAAAGGCTGGTCCAATCAAGATAACAAATATACATCAATGCTACAACCTTTTAAATTCCTTAATAATCTGCATTTAAATAATGCATTTACATTCAGGAGGTTCTTTTTTTTTAAATTCACTAAATATTTAGAATTAAATAATGACTTTCAAGACTGTCATGTATCTCAGCCTTTTTTCTTTTTTTTTCAAAATTACTTTTTCATATTACATTTTTGTCTCTAATATTTTTTGGCAAACATGGACTTACATGCCGTCAATAAGACAGAGTGGCAAAAGGATGATTTTTCACCATGACACAGTTTTTTTTAACTAAGCAATGATTAGAATCAGAATAAAACCTAAACATGTGATGAAAATGAATTTATTCATTTTTTTGTTCTTGAGATACTATTTATTTATTAGTTTGTTTATTTACAAGAATAATTTTATATTTGCAACATTCTAAAAACTAATACAATTACAACTAATGCAATGCAATATTTATCATTTACCAATTTATAAAAGAAATAAATGTGAAAATTTTATTTATAAACATTTACTAAATTATTAAAATATATGAACCAACTATAAGGAAATCCTTATTTACCATTTTATAAAGTTCAAATCAGTTGGCAATTAGCCAATATTTTACCAACCATTCCAATAAATAATATGTGTAAATAAATAATCTAATAGTGTTTATTATTTTGCTGTCAATTCTCAAGAACAGAGAAAATATATAAATTCACTTTCATATGTTTAGATCTTATGACAATTTTAATTCTCACTTTTTAAAACAAACGTTTGCCAAAGAGTGAAGGTAGCTAAAAAAAAAACAGTATCATGGAAAAAAAAAAACATCATTTTGACTTTACATCTTATTGCAGGCCCATTTTTTTCATGAAATTACCATAATTTTGTCTTGTTGTTTATTTCAGGAACAGTTCATTCCAGACAATTCTGCAGCATTCAAGAAGTGTATCTCACAATTTACAGACCAAGATAACCACCGTAGGAGTGGCCAGAACACGTGGCACGATGAAAGTGGGCTGTACGGCAATAGAATTATTAAGGCTCAGCTCTATGAACCTACTCTCCCTGAAATGCGCCCAGAGCAATGTACCCACATTGAAAACCATGGCAAATATTGTGGGAAAAAAATCATACATGCAAACAAAGAAATGACAGAAAAAGTGATTTAAGGAAAGGGTTTTATTTCATGTCAATAAAAAAAGGTACATTTGCTTTTAACAGGTCTGTTTTTTGTTAGTGGATATCTCTCAAATGGAGTTAGTATAAAGAGTGTAATTTAAATTGAGAATTCATTGGGGAAAGCAGAAAATATTGTAAATAGTAAAAACATTTAATCCACTTCACTTTTTCAATAAGCCAACCCAACAAAACCACTGTCGGCTGGTTTTTTGTTTTTTTTATTCAGGCTTGCTTATCTTCCCTTGTCATAATGTAAATGTATTTTGATTTTTTTTTTTATGGATTGTTTTTTTTGTTTTTGTTTATTCTCCCAATTGACACGGAAAATTCTAAACTCCATTGATTTTGGGCTTCAACTCATTTTTATTCAAATTTACTTTTTTTATCAAAATAAAATTTTCTTTTACAATATCCAGGAACTTTTAGTCAATTTCTTTTTTTTTTTTAATTATAAAACTGACTCATTGTCATTAATTTTTTTATTTGTAAAAGTTTTACATTTTGTACTGTATACTAAATTAATAATGTAAGTATCTATAAATTTCAACTTCCATTTAGAAGTTTTATTTTTTGGAACATCTATATAAAGAAAAAAAAGTGTGTATTGTGACCTTGAGAAGACTTGTCACACAAGACAAAGAATTATCTTAAGATCTTGTTCTAAATTAGAGACAAATATAAAAACATTCCATCATTAATATTTCCTTTGCTATACTGTGACGTTTTATTTTTTTTTTTTTTTTTGAGACTTGATTTTCTTGCTTGGATAAAAATCTAAACTTAAAATGGAAAAAAAAATAGTAACTGATTTCATTTGGGATTCTACATATAAAAATTTGAGAAAATACATTTTGATTATTATGTATACCTAAAAAATATTAGAAATTTAAATCTATTTAGACATTTGTAATTCTAAAAAATACCTTTTTTAAAACCTAGTTTCTTGAACTTTTGTTCCTGGACATTGTACTTACAAACACAAGACAACATGGCTGTTATTAGGATACAGAACATTATCCAAACAAAAGTGGAGATAATCATACAAAATAGAAAAGACTGTACAGACTACATATTTCACTTCTTTATAGTAGGCATTTTCAGGTTAGAATAAAAGACAAACCAGTTTGTAAGGAAAGTGAGTTAGAATTCTTGAAGAGCTAATAAATATCTTGATCAGATGCTACAGCCAGTAGGTTTTTGTTTCATTTTTCATATTAACATTTGCTAGATTTTAAATTTAACAGCTTTAACTGCTTTAACAGGAAAAAGAAAAAAAAAATTCTGACCATAGCATCCAATAAGGTTTATTACCCACTTCAATAATTCCAGTGAATTTTCCTTACACATGGGTTTGTCTCTCATTCTGACCTGAAGATGCCTACTATAAAAAGGTGTAATGTATTGTCTGAACAAGCTTTTCCACTGTCTCATCTCCACAAGACAGGGGAAGACAAAATTACAAAGACTAAAGGTCAAGAAATACAAAGCAATGTATCTATGCACAAAAAAAGACATAATTCTTGCTGACCTGTAAACAAAAATTACATATTATAAAGAATATATGATTGAACTGTTTTAACTTTATAAATCTTCTTTCATTTGATAATTTTAGAAGTAGCCCAAAAGTTGAATGATATTTTTTTTTTTTTTTTTTTTTTTTAGAAGAAGAATTTTTCAGTTGGTCTGATTCTTTGTGCAAGAGCATTTTCAGGAATGTATTCCAAGACCATTTTAGGAATCAAAACTAACAAAGGATCATTTCATAGAGACACATTTAAGATGGATCAGACATAAAGGGTTGTTTGAGAGCCGTTGAAAGTTCAGTAATAGAAAAATCAGATTGTGGAGCATGATCCAAATCTGACGTTTCCTGATGACATTTTTCCAACCAAAGACACTGATTCTTCTTTTATCTTCACATTTCGAATGCAGCCGACATAGGGAACACTGCTCTTCACTGCCTTGTGCTTACCCTCTTCTGTAAGAAAATAAAAAAAAAATTTACTTCACAACAAACTTAAGGACGAAATGCATTGGTAAAGAAAAGTTTTCCATTTTCTTTATTTATATTCCCTGACAGGAATTGAACATGTATTCCTATACAGAAACTGTCATTTAACCTGACGTGCTGTTACCATTCAACTACAGAGAAGCGTCTGGTTAGCAAAGTTTAAATTACTGTTTATAAACACACAATCTTTGACGATTTTTCTCCTAAAACGTGTTAACATAAACAATGACACCATCTATGAAATGGATTAAGTCTGACAATTATTTAATATATTTTCTGTTTATATGTTATTTTTATAGACAGAATTTATTTAAGTAAATGCACTTTTTTTTTTAATTAAACAGTATTAATTACATTTACTGGCCTGTATGTTAGAGAAATTTCATAGAAAATATGTGCTCTTTGACAGAAACAGAGCATTTTTAACTAAAAGGAAATTGTCATCTATGTATCTTACTAGTGTAGGTGTTTGTGAAATGATAGGTTGGAGGGTGATGATCTTTTTTATGGATTTTTACATTTCCATAAAAGTAGCCAGGTTGATAGTCAGCTATAATCTTTAGAAGTTTATAGGATCCTAGTTCAGCATCATTAGCAGTAATAAGTTTATTGATATGGTTTTTACATTGGGAGATTAGTTAACTTTTTAAATTTATTGTGATTGTCCAAAATGTCCTGTAATTTTGAGTGGTACTCATATTTGTTTAAATTAATGAAAGCATTAGTTTTATCAGCTCATCAGATAACAATAATGTTATTTTTTTTAGATGCTTAGCTGCTTTTATTAAAACAGTGTTTATAATTCCATTACGATTTGTATGTTATCCGTGTTTAATAGATTAAGCTTTAAGTAATTCTTTTAAACCCTATCTGTGTAGTAATATGGTTATCTTGTTGCAATAGAACTATTAGTATAAAGCTTCCATTAGCATTTGTTTAAACATTAGATTAGATTTCTGTGTGATGTGAAAATTTGGTCCAAGATTAAGAAATTCCATTTCATTTAGGTTGAGTTGGTTATACAATAGGTTAATGAAGTTGTCACTGGTGTTTGGTAGAAGTATTTTTCTATTATATAATTTGTTTATCTTTTTTTGGATGACTTGTTTATGGGATTCATTTTCCTTTTGTGTTGCATTATGTAATAAATACAATATAAGATTAATATATATCTTTTATTTTTTAACTTTTTCTTCCTGTTTCCTTTAGCTCTACGGACATGAATTTCATTCCATATCAGAGTTGAAAAGACAGACGACTACTTTTATCATCTGCCAAAATAGCCTATTTCCCACGAGATAAAAACCTTTTTCTGACTATTCCTCATATTGCTCTGTACAAATAAAATACATTGAGCTCTCTTTTTGTGGATCAATTTTAATATTTATATATTACTAGGACCCACTTGGATTATACACCCAGAGAATTTATTTTACCTTTACTATATAATGTTATAGACAAGCGTATGGTTGCAAGAAAGAAATGCAACAACAGCAGAAATAGATTTACATGATTTATTTTCTATAGGAACGTGTGGGTTTGGTGTAGTTCATAAGCTGGCTCCCAGTCTGGGTTGATCTCTCATAGTAGTTCACACTGGTTGGCGTAGCGCTCCTCCTGCTGACTGACCGTGACAGGTCTCTTCCCTGGCCTCCTTTTGACTGCTGTTGTACTTCCCCGTGTGACCCCTTTTATGGCATTTTTTTATGGCTTAACAGGCTCAAAAAATGACGCGAGTATAATTAGGAGGGAAGTATTTTTATTGGCCAAAAAATAGAAACGCTTTATAATATTATTTTATTTTTCAACCGGAACTCGTGCGTCGGGCTTATGCGTAGACGATGATAATGGTCATTTTGTGACGGGGCCTTGTCCCATTCACATCCAGCTCTCGCTCTTAAATATGTTAGTTTATTTGCCTGGAAATCAGCCGAGATATGTCTTATTTTATTTTATAACAATAAGATCAATATAAATCAGTTTGCCAGCTGATTGATGTAATTTTCAGCAAAGAAATTGAACTTTTCACCCAGACTTTATTTACTAAAGAAACCTTAAGTCAATGCTACATATTCTATATTAGAAAAAAAAAAAATCTGATTTTTGAAAATAGATAATCCCCTGGCGTCTGCCTCCCACAATAACTGCACTACACTGTGTGCTACACTCGCTTCACTGAATCAAGAGAGTAGTGGAAAGCAAAAGAAACAAGTTATCATCTAGCAATTATGAATAGTTTCAAAATTTTGGAATAACAAAACATAATGCAGGATTAATGTTTGAATCTTTGAAATAAGGAATTATTATTCCAATTCCATGCTTTATTATGTAGACCAGCATGCTAATTTTGGTTGTTAATCGAGAATGTTACTAAATATTTGACAGGTTCCTGAAGAAGGCCAGAGGATACAATGAATGAAAGGTTATGATTATAACAACAAAGATTGGCACTGTGGTTAAAGAAATTGATAGGTGATTTAGAAAAATGACTTACCTGGAATTCCTCCAATGTAGAGAGGATGTTTTGTATCTGCAGATGAGGCACCAGCTTTACCTGTGGCTAAAACTGATTTGATGCCATCAACAATTAAGTAAGCAACATGTTTGGCTTTCACCACTGCGAAAAAGAAAAAGAAATTAATTTTCTTCCCTGACATCAAAAAACAGGAGGTGAAAAGGTGTACAACATGCTATTTCTAGCTACAATAACCATCAAAATTAGAAACTAGATGTTTTTTGCAGAGGAAGTAATCATTTCACCCCAAGCAAAGCAATAAAGTCACTAAGTCACAAGGGATTACTGAGTGTTAGAGAATATGAGAGAAAAAAAAAAAATTGGCCATCTAATTCAAATAATGTGTCCACTATAATAAAAAATGTAGGATTAAATATATGGTATCCACTTGTCAAGGAATATATATATATAGAGAGAGAGTGTCTCAAAAATACCTTTACAAACTTTGGGAGTGACTTCCTCACACCAAAACACGGACAAAAGTCCATATAAACATGTCTGCAAATCTTTCATTTTTGAGTTATTAAGTTTAATAAAAGTTTTCAGTAGATATTGCTGTGTTGCTATATAGACTAGGTTATGTTTGTCATTCGTGTACATTTGTGGCTAGTCTGTTTAATGTTTAACTTGTGTACTAGTGAGTTAACTGAGAAGGAAGACAATGGAAAAATTGTATGTAGTTTTAACCAACGCATTTTGTCTAATGTGAACTTTTTCAAGGCAAAAAAAAACAATTTATTTGAATAAAGCATCTATAAACAAATAAACAAAATGTTGTTAGTTACTAGAATTAAAAATGCTCATATATATATATATATATATTGGGTCAACTGAACAATTGTCATTTAATTTTATGTTTGAAGAGAATTTTTCATTTGTAGAAATATTGTTTTTAATGTTGTGTTAATGGATTCAATTATTTTCTTTTGATTTCTTGATATATTTGTTGTGTATATTAGTGATTCCGTTAGGAAAAGTGAGATTTGGAAAAAAAAAACGTGGTGTATATTAACATTTGGATAAGATTCAATGGCAGCACTCTTGAGTATTTTCCTTCTGAGTGAATTATTTTCTTTTTTCATGAGTGTAGCATTTTTAAAATCAAAATTGTGCTTGAATTAATTTCTATATAAAAAATTCTCTTCAAACATAAAAAGTAAATGACACAAATTTTCCACTGACCCAAATTAGTATATGTGAGCATTTCTACATTCTTCTAATTACTAATATTTTGATTCTTGTTTATAGATATTTTGTTCAAATAAATTCATTTTGTTTTTTTACTTTGAAAAAGTGCACATTGGATAAAATGCATCAACTAAAACTGCATAGTTTTCCTATTGTTTTTTTTCTTTTATGCATATTGTCTTTTTCTACAAATTAATTCTGAGAATTCTTTTACACACACACACACACACACATATTTATTTATTTTTAATCATTTCAACCCAAGCAAGGCAACAAAGCCACTAAGACAAAAGGGATTAGTCAGTGTTAGAAAATATGAGAAAAACTACTATTAAGCAGAGAAGACAATAAAAGAACAGGAATTAAGAAGACAGAAGATAACGATTAACATTGCATTTAAATTTTTGAAGATCAAAGTTGACTAGGAAGCAAGAAGCCAGAAAAGAGTTCCACAAGTGAGAAGTGAGAGAGAAGAAACGCTTAGCATAGAACAGTTACATTTAGCCATTTCAACTATAAAATACTGTGACTTTGCCACCAATCTGGTACTGCGCTTAAATTCATGAAGTCTAGATACCATAAAGGAAAGTTCATCGGAACAATTATGATGAAGGTATTTATAGAAAAGGTATAGGAAAGCTACGTTAAGGCAGTTGGAGAAGTGACTGAAGCTGAGGTGCCAATTCAAAGCCAATAACGTTGCAGATTCTTCTTTGGATTTTATCAAGAATCTCTAAATCTATAGCAAAACCACCGGGCCAAATGCTTATTAAAAAAAAAAAAAATAATGAACTGAGTATCAACAAACTTTTGGCAAAACTTGATTCAATATCTCTGCTTGATATGTTCGGCATCTTGAATGAAAATCTTACTACTGTGCACTACACATCTATGCTCTAGTCACTTTCCTACCACTGTGATATGGTCTCTCTTTGTCTTTTCTACAAATATTTTCATGGCAATTCTTCTGATGAGTTTTCCTCCTTAGTACATCGACTGCATGAATTGAAGCCTACTACTCAATTGGCTAGTAGGTCTCACTTCTTTACTGTTGAACTGGCTCAATGTGATCACATTCTAACAGTTTCTTTTCTCACACTTGCCACCTGTGGAACTCTCTTCCAATTTCTTACTTCCCTGCCATCTATGATCTTCAAAAGTTTAAATGTAATGCTAATTTCAAGCTTCTGGCTTCCTGTGTCCTGGTCTTTTATTGTCCTCTCTCCTCACTAAAATCTTCTCATTTTCTTCCACACCCAGTAACCACTTGTGTCTTAGTGGCATTATTGCCTTACTTGGGGGTGATTTAAAAAAAAATAATTAGTTATGTAATAAAATTAGATACCTTTAATTTTATGCCACCTTCCATTACAAATTTCATTGTTGAACTGAGGTTGACTCTTTGATGTGAAAGCCCCTGCGCCATTATCGAATGTTACTTGAACCTGAAAATAATTAAGAAAGGGAAAATTTGACATTAGATCCATTAGTACTGTGAGTCTGAGTAATAAATGAGCAACACAAAACAGTATATGAAACAAACAAAAATGGAGATATTAACAAAAGTATACAATGACAATAAAAGAAGAAAACATTTAAAGACTAATTCACAGAAAACATTTAAGCTAGAGAATGTGTGTTTATGGAATGTGTGTAGAAGTCCGAGAGGAAAGTGATGCATTGAAAGCGAGGTAAGTCCGAGAGGAAAGTGATGCATTGAAAGCGAGGAAAGTCCGAGAGGAAAGTGATACATCGAAAGTGAAGTAAATGTGCTCCAGTAAGGGTCATTTTTTTTTTACCACGTGCAACTACATCTTATAGCCAGATTTGTAAGAGTAGAAAGAGAGTGGGTGAGAATATTATTTCCTATTTATTGCCTTAAAGGTGCGTCCCCTAGCAACATTTTTTTTAGTAAAATAAAGTGGGGGTAACCCGCAGGAATGCTAGTTGGGTTTATGTAGAAAACATATGCCCCTGGGTACATTTTTTCCTGGAACAGAAAAAAAAGAAAATTTAGAATAAGAAAGAGAAGAAAAGCATTGTTCAAATTAAATTCCTGTCTCTCCACAAGACCATTCATGGTCGTACTCTCCTCCCTCTAATGAGAGGCCCCCACCCTGCTAACCTGCTCTGGAACATTTTAAGCATGTATAGTTATTAAGATACTAGAAATGTTATACTCTTCAGGTAACACACATTCAAATAGATTTGGGCAATTTCCTGTTAAATTTTCACTACTGAGTCAAATGAGTAGCGTAGCTATGATTAAATGTAAAATAAATAGCAGACGTGTCCAACAAACAGTATTGACAAAGTTGGCATAAGCAATAACAAAAAAAAAAAAAAAACACGGTTTGGTTTAGTTTGGTTTGTTTTACAGCATATCAACCTCAATGGGTTATTTAATGCCAACAAGATTTTTTATTGCTGGTAACTTATTTCTTTATTTTCAAAAATGTATTACTGGTAATATTTTTTTCTCTTCAAAAATGTCTTGCTGGCAATAATGTATTACCGGTAATATTTTCTTCAAAAATCTATTGCTGGTTTGGTTTGGTTTGGTTTATGGCATATCAACCTCAATGAGTTATTTAATGCCAACAACATTTTTATTCCTGGTAATATTTTTTCTCCAAAAAATGTATAGCCGGTAATATCTTTTTCAAAAATGTATTGCTAGTAATAAATTTTGTTTTACAAAGTATTTCTTGTATTAAAACCTATTTTTACACTTACAAAGTGTTTTGACTCCAGTTTGGGGGTTAACTATTTACCCATAGTTGCTACCACCCCGGATCAGGATGGACCTGGGAGCACCAGCAACTAAGAGGTAGTTCCATGCTCCTCAAAACCTCCTGATCAGAGGCCTTGCTGTTGGATGTAGTTTATCGTCATATCCAGGACAGAAAAAACTCAACAAAAGATAATATAAGACAAGTAAACAATATCTGCAAGGCAAATTAACAATAAAAAGTCAAATGTTCACAAACCAAGAATTGAGGTTTACACACAAAAGCAAGTTTGGACAAGTGAACGTAGTGTTTTGATTCAAGACAAGACAGACCGGGACTGAGTCAGATAAAACCGATAATATTGGCAAAGAAAAATCCCAGCATGCATTTGAATGCTTCTACTTATAAATTGGGGAGAGGCAAGTCTTTTGCAGTCATTCCTATCGAATTGAAAGCAAAAATGTCCATGTGCCATGTATAAATAAACAACAACATATCAAGTTGCTGGTCCAAGTAGCAGTTGGGGTAATGGTTTAAGTTCAAATAGTAAGAGAAGTCCTAATGTATGGATCAGAAACTTGGGCATTATTGGCTCATCTTGAAAGATGACTGGATGGAAATTATACAAATCTACTTAGAAAAATCCAGAACATCAGTTGGAGATCCCATGAAATGCTTAACACAATTTACAGAGAACTGAGACCAATCTCTCTTAAACTCAAATAAAAATGATTACAGTTTGCTGGTCACTGCCACTAAGTGGACAGAGAAATCATCTCATCCTTACCCCTATGGCAATCTTCTGGAAGTCTCTTATGAAAATTGACTTTCCCAAGCACCATAGTGCAGGACTCAGGGTTGGACAATGGGGATCTGGAAACAGCAATACAGGACTGTGGAAAGGGATTGTCAATGGAGTTCTGACCAACCATAGGGAGGTCGAAGGATGTTGATGATGATGAAGAGGAGCCATTAAGTAATTCTCCTCTGTCTAGGTTATTTCTGTGTTTGTCTGTCTATATTTCTGAGATGAGGTATTATGTACACTATTTACATTATTCGGACTATTGTCCTTATCTTCGTCACCATATTTATTACAACATTTTGGCCATTGTACACTTCTTCAGGTAGTTGGAATGTCAAGCTGAACCCTTTATTTCACTCACTGGGGTAGACTGTTCTAGTTCTACGTGCCATGTTTAATGGATGTCAGTTATCAGTTATCTCCTGTTAATTCCCCTCTCCAAGTTCTCCACTGCCTTAACCTTGAACTCACACTGTTTGGGCTGTGTCCTTGAGGACACATGGCACAGTGGATAAAGGCGTTAGAACCAATGACAGGACCCAAAGAGTGTGAGTTCAATACCCAGTTAAGGCAGTGGAGAACTTGGAGAGGGGAATTAACAGGAGATAACTGACATCCATTAAACATGGCACATGTAACTAGAACAGTCTACCCCAGTGAGTGAAATAAAGGGTTCAGTTCGACATTCCAACCACCTGAAGAAGGCTGGAGCATGCAACAGCTGAAACATAATAAATATGGCAATAAAGATGAGAACAATAGTCCAAATAATGTAAATAGTGTAAAAACTGTGTTCATTTTTGTGTGACACCTGAACAATTTATGGAATACAAAAAATTTAGGATTTAAATTTATGTTTTCTTTTCCTTTCCTTTGTAGACAAGTTGATTTTTTTTTTTTTTAACCAGGCCAAATTTTCATCCACTTAAACCTTCCACAAACCCCATTTCTATTACTGAACAGTCTACAGTTGTTCTGTTCTGCATTAGTACAGTTCCATTTATCTCCCTTAGTGTTGTGGCCTTGTTAGGGCCAGAAATAAAGACACACAAAGAGAAATTGAGTTAAACAAATATATCAACAGAAACTAATGCAAACATATACAAACAAGAGTGTTACAGCAAGAATGTTTGGTCCGACTGCCAGAGCTGACTGCTGGAAACTTTCCTCACTAAAAGGCAATACCTGCTCCTATTTATAGCTGGGAGAGTCCATGTGTGCATGGGTAAATTACCATAATACTTAGTGGCCCCCTTTTTTCAAGGAACACTTTTAGACCCATCTCCATCCAACCACTTCCAGATCGAACCTACTTCTAGCGAAAAGACTATAACCAACCCAGCATGAAATCCTTCTAAATCTCTGATATTTTGAACACCATTGGTAAGAACTGCAACCTTTTTTCTCTCCTAATATATATCTATATTTATTAAGTTATATTGGTCAACTTTTTTGTAATATTTGACCCAGTATTCCTTAATTACTGTTATTACCTTGTTTTGCCACATGCTTAATTTCATTTTGCTCATTTTCTCCTGTCCTATTTGCTTGTAATTTCTACTATTCAAGTTAATTTCTAGCATGTCTACCTTCTCATAACCCTTTATAAAAGAACCTTCAATTAAACCTTTGGCTCTAGAAGTTATATTAGTGTTATGGTAATTTATTCATGCACAGATGGACTCTCCCAGTTACAAATAAGTGCAGGTACTGCTTTTTAGAGAGAGTGTAGTTTCCAGCAGTCAGCGCTGACAGACCGAATATTCTTGCTTGTTTGTATGATTGTATTACTGCTTTTCTTTTTATATGTTTGTTAACTCAATTCCTCTTTATGTGTCTTTATTTCTGGCCACAACAATTAGAACCTAGCCCCTGTTAAAGGGGCCTTGTTTTTTATATTGTGTTTACGTTTTATGGAAGCTTTGTTTATTTTATTCCTTTTTAAAATTTATCCTTTCTTGGTGATTAATAAACCTGTAGATGGACCCTAACATTGCTTCAGAGTTTTAATTGCTGAAAAGGCATTTAATTGACTGTTAGAGACATGCAAAGCATTTCACAAAGCAGACACATGTCTGGAGACAGTAGAACAATGAAGGGTTTCATAATGGATTCCCACTAATATCCTTATTTTGCATCTGAGCCTAAGAGGTACCTTACTACAGAAAATAGTTTTCAGTTTAAACTGTTAAAGAAATTAAAAGAAAAATCTGTGTTTATAGAATGTCCAAGAAGTGTTATAGTTATTGGTATGAAAAGTGGAATTAGTAAGCAGATTCCAGCCCAGTTCATTGGATTCTGCAAATACCATCAGAAAAAAGCATTAATCCATCTCTTCTCTCTCCCCAGCTATAGAAAAATAAATTGGCCTCTCTAGTAACCAATCTAAGAGAAGAAAAGCTTGGAAACTGTGGAGAATGCAATGGGGAAACCACTCAATTAATAGCAGGACAATTCACAGATAATTTAAAAAAAAAAAAAGAAAAAAAAAGAGGGATCTGGTAGGGAAAAGCAAAAAAGAAATTAAAAAAAAAAACACACACTTACCTCTCCGTCAACCAACTCCAAGAGTAAGAAATCCCTGCTGTAAACGGATAGCAAGACACCCGACATGGAACGAGGCTTAACATCTAGTGATAATTCCAGGTCTGTGCCAATGTGGAATTTTTTGTCTAAAAAAGAGATTTTTTTTTTAAGTATGAAAGGAGTAAGCAGTATTAAAAAATAAAAACAAATTATATATATATATACATGAAGAAATATAGTCTTAAGCTGTGCTATATTAGAGATAGAGCATGTGTAAATATAAAAATGAACATAGAAGTCAACACTGAGAGGTGACAGTCTGTTTCATGCTAGACACAATCATAAGGTGTGACGATTGTGCCTAGCATGAAACAGACTAAAAAAACCTCTATGTTGATTTCTATATATATATATATATATATATATATATATATATTAAAGACATATTTTTATGTTTAACGTTGTTATTTTATAGATACAAATATTTAAGCAAATGCTTCTGTTTATGATAAACAGTATTAAATAACATTTACCGGCCTGAATGTCCGAAAATTTTCATAGAAAATATTAAGTTCTTTGACATTTTGAATATTTTCTATATATAAAATTTCAGAGCATTTGCTTAAAAATAACAACCGTGTATTTATAAAAAATAAATTAAACATAAAAATATTGTCCATTTCTTAATATATATATATATATATATATATATAATATATATATATATATATATATATATATTGAAAAGGATAGACATTTTATGTTGATCATATTTATCCACCATTGTTCCCAAACTGCAAATCCCTTTTCACAAACCTGGATGCTGCAGATGCAAAAAATACTTGCAATGACATATAACAATATAACAGCACTTTAAAAAAAATGAGCTGCTTTTTTTTTTTTTAATAATTAAAAAAGATAAAAATTTTATTTATTGAAAAAGATAAAAATAACTATAGTCTCCAAATCCACTCTTCTTCAATTCATTCATGGGTGGTATTATAATAATAAGCAGAAAGATGTGAAAATTTTCAGAGTTTTCCCATTTAAATTTTCTGATAAATCTTAATTCTTAAGTTAATGATTGAATGAGCTCATAGTGAGTTCTACAATAAGATATCCATAGAAGTTCCCCTATCACACCTTTAAATATTTGAGCTTAACAACTTTAACAAAATATTGCAATAAAAATTATAAATATGAATGCTGGTCATTATTTTAAGAAGTACAGGGGTACAAATGAAACGATTTGAAATTGACATTTTCCATTTCACTGTAACATCTGTTAAACACTTCTATCTTGGCAGGGCGTAACGATCGTGCAAACTAACGGACAGAGTAATAAGCAAAATTACAATAGGATTATCTCCAAATCCGTATGAAAACTAAAAAAATACAAGTCATTGCAAGACAATGATACATGTTGCAACTACACATTGCTGAAATGCAATGCATACAAAAGAGAGAAAAGGAAAGGAGAGATAGAGAGGGGAAGAAAGAAAGAGGATAAGAGAAAAAGATAAGTAGTTAGAGGAGAAAGAAAGGAAGAGAAAGAGAAGGTAAGTTGCAAGAGGAGAGAGAAAGGGAAGGAGGAAAGGAAGGGCAGAGAAAGAAACAGAGTGATTCAAAGGAGATAACATTATCTTTTCCCCCTTTTCAACTACTTGCATATTTTTTATTTGTAATATTTACTTTTTAAGCTTCGCCAGTTCAAGGGAGATAACTAAGTATTTCAACTCCTCATCTAGTTACCTCCCTTGAACTGGTGAAGTCCATATCTCATGATAGCTTAGGTAAACAAATTAGATAATTTTTTTTTTTTTTTTTTTTTTTTTTTTTTTTTTTAAGCATTTCACCCCAAGCAAGGCGGAAGTGTCACTAGCATGCAAGAGGTTACAGAGGGGAGTGGAAGCAAGAGTAAAGTGGCGTGATAGAGGAAAGGATGAAGAGAAGGACAGGGTATTAGATCAAGGCATGTGAAGATGTCAATTGACATTGCTATGAATAATTGAAGATTATAGCTATCAGGGAAGCAAGTAAGAGGAAGGAAGTTCCACACACGAGAAGTGTGAGACACGAAGCTATTGGAGTAGAAGAGACGGCTGCATTTAACAGTTTTGACAGTGACAGGGTGGGCCTGAGATGCCAACCTAGTAGCATGGTTAAATTCATGTAACTTGGGGACCAGCAAAAGTAGCTCATCAGAGTAGTTACCATGAAAGTATTTGTAGAAAAGACAGAGGGTAGTGATGGTACGTCTGTGATTGTAGGCAAGATGCCAGATCAAGACTAATCACATTGCATATCCATAGATTAAATATATAACAAGTTATATATACATTCAATACTGTAATTTTTAGATTAAATAGAAACTAACTTGACATTGAACTTAAATAATCAAAGGTAATGGACCAGAACAGATGTTTATTCATCCAGTTAGGAATCAATTTGTGATTAGTTCTTTAACAATATCAAAAGAATTTGGTTCTTTTTATTCCTAAATATGAAATAGGAAAATCATTTATAATGGCTTCTCTGTGTGTGTGTTATTCTTCTTTTTTTTTCTTCTTTTTTTACATTTTTATATCTAAATTTAAATATACTTACAAAGTTGAATATATCCTCCTCCTTGGCCAAAGAATGTTCCAAATTCAGCCAGACTGGAACAGGGCTCCACTTCAAACATTTCACCGGCATCATCAGCCACTGGTTTCTTTTGAATTTCAATGTTCCTCATGCAACCCACATACTGCATGTTTATACCCTTATAAGCAGAAGGTAAATAATTAATAGAGAAATAAATTAAAAGATAAATATGGGTTGCCCCACAAAAAAACAGGAAATTTGGTACAGTTCATTTAACTGTCGGAATTTATATTACAGTTATTTGAAACAAAAGCAAAGAATACAAAATTTTAAGTATAGCTCCAACATTGGTAAACTGATTTTTAGTTATTGAACTAAAGAACTCTGGCAAAATTTCTTGGAATTTTTTCAGTTTTTTGTCATCATATAGTAAATCTAAAATTTCCTGGGTTTTTTTTTGGGGGGGGAGGCACCCTGTAGATTAATAGATAATAGACAAAAAGATTAATAGATAATTGACAAATAGACAATAGACAAATAGATTTATTGAATTTATAAGCAGAAAGTAAAGAGTACCTATTTCTTAAGTATTTTTTTAAAAATCATTTTTCCTCAAGCAAGACAATAATACCACCAAGCTGTTTGGGGTTACTGAGAATGAAAAGACATTTGCATTTAAATTTTTAAAGGACATAACATAACAGGGAATCAGGTCAACCTGACAAAAGACCCAATTGGGAGGATGAAGTACATCTCTGTGAAAGAACACCAGAAGAAGTCATCCACTGCATGTTGGTGCTGTGATCAAGAGATCAGAGCAGAGTGTAACAGAGAATCAGGTTAACCCAACAAGAAACCTAGAGTTGTTTTTATGTGGAGCAGTAAGCATCAGGAGTTACATGCTCTTCCATAACTGGCTGTTAGGTGAAGACATTCTAAAATTTAAAATCTTTGAAAAAATATCTTTAATTTTTTTTAAATATCTTAAAAATCTTTTTAAAAATATATATCTTAAACAAACATCTTTTTAAAAATATATATCTTAAAAATCTTTTTAAAAATATATATCTAAAAATCTTTTTAAAAATATATATCTTTTTAATCTTTAAAAATATATATCTTTTTAAATCTTTAAAATATATATCTTTTAAATCTTTAAAAATATATATCTTTTAAATCTTTAAAAATATATATCTTTTAAATCTTTAAAAATATATATCTTTTAAATCTTTAAAAATATATATCTTTTAAATATCTTTTAAATCTTTAAAAATATATCTTAAATCTTTTTAAAAATATATCTTAAATCTTTTTAAAAATATATCTTAAATCTTTTTAAAAATATCTTTAAAATCTTTTATTCAAGGAGGGGGAAGTCAAAAAAAGTGCATCTGAAATACCAAAGAAAGAATATGCAGAGAACATTTTTATGTGTTCTTTTCAAAATGAATAGCAAACATACATTTAAGTTCTTTTTGGCTTTAATTCGTTGTGCAGCACTGAGACCGCCAAAATAGTATGGCTTGATGATGTCTAAAGATGATGAAGAACCTGTAGATGAAGTTCTCAGAACTTTGGTATTATCAACACCCATTGTTCCCTTTTTGGCTTGGCGAGAAATTTGGACCTGAAATACAGAAGACAAAAGGTTGATCACTTTTCATGTATACAAAGAATTTACTGAAAAAAAAAAAAAAAAAAAAAAGTTGTTTCAAGAATTAGATCAATATTATAACTGATTTAATAATTTAATAACAATCAATTGGACAAGCTTTTAAAAAAAAACTTGTAATAAAAAAAATAAAAATAAAAATTTCACTATTTAAAAAAAAAAAATATCTGGAACCATTTTTGTTTGTCAAAGCAATGAAAAAAAAAAAAAAAAACATCTGCCTCCCATTGCCATATTTTTCTCATACCTTATTTTACCTGAACCCTTAAATCAACAGTGAATCAAAATTACTACTACTAAATAAATACATTACACATAGAAAAACATTAACATTACACAAACTATCTCTTATACATATGCTAAAGGACCTTAGATGTTCAACTATAGAAACTCTTTAAATTTTGTATGTTTTAAGATATATAAAATTTTATCTTCACATTCAAAATATATCATTGCTTGTACTAATTATCTTTTCATTCATATTTACAAGGCCAAAAATTGATGTATATTGGGATAAGGATGTTATCAAAAGATAACCACAAAAAAGTCACATTAAATATATATATATATATATATATATATATATATATATATATATATATATATATATATAAATTAATTGATTTAAAATATGGTTTTTTTGCTACATAGTTCTAACCATGTTTCAAAAATGGAAGCTAAAAGCCACAAATTTAATTTTGTGATTAAATTAAAGACATTAGTTCCATTTTATCCTCAAGCGAATTTTGGAGTCTCCAAAAATTAAATATATATATATATATATGGTGGTACTCACTTGGAAAAACCTTGGATAGTTTGACTTGCAGTAGAACAAATCATTACCCAAGGAAAAATGAGGAATAAACAAAGAACATTAAACCAACGCGAAAATAATCGTCCAGTGTTCAAGCTCTAAGTCCAAAGAAAAAACCTCCAAAACGAATAAAAAGACAACTACGTAAAGTGCTCAATACACGAAGTAGAGCAAAAATATATATCCCACACAAGAGTGAGCCAAATCTTCACCCAACAAACTTTATCATAAAAACAGGGCCAGTGTTGACGTTTTGGTTTCATAGCAATTTGCAGTGTTGGGCAATACTATCTCAAGAACAGCCAATTCTATGTTCAATTTCTTTTTCTCCTATATTTAATTTGTTGTAACTGGTCCATATACTAAGGTATCTGGAGTGTTTAGTATTTACTAATTCCATATCCTGTATTTTGATGATGGATTCAAGGTAGGTGCCATAATTGCTTTCATTCCAATTTCAGATCATAGTTTCTGCTTTGGAAAGGTTTATCTTGTGCCCTGCCCTATTTCTCGGGACTCTTGGTAGACAATGCTGGTAGCTAGCTGGATGTAGCCTAACTGTCACTTCCTTGTCAGAATCTGTTTTAGTGAAATCGGTTAAATTGAGTGTTTACTAAAGATTCAAAATATCTCAATCATTACTGACCTTGTGCCACTTGCCATCATTGTAAGTCTTTGGTGTGATAAGTGATGCTGTTCCACTGCCACAATTGAAATGGAAGTGCAGATAACCATTCTTTAGGAAAATACTCATGAAATCATTGTGCGACTTGTCGGCAACATACATCAAAATACCATCAGGAGTTTTTGTCTGGAAATCAATTGACAACTTATTCCTGAAATTAGACAAGATATTTTTTTTTTCATTTTTTTTTAATTTAAAAAAATAATTACATATATTTTGAAAATTATACACTGCCTATTTACTATATTTCTGCGATGAAGTACTGCAACTATTCACACTGTTGTCCTCATCTTTACTGTCACAACAGACAGATGCTGAAGGATCAGTACAAACTCGATATGCAAAAAATATGGAGACAATTAGAAAAGTAATCTCACAGTAAAGATGACGACAACAGTCCAAACAATGTAAATAGTGTAAATTGTTTTAGTTTAGTTCATTCATTTCCTACAGCTTTTTAGCACAATATGGCCGTAAGCCTCACAAAATATGTAAATAAATTAAATATCCAATAATATGTTTGGTTTGCTTAGAAGATTGTACTTGCTTATGTTTTTTTATGGCTTATCACCCTTTTTGAGGTTATTTAAAGCTGATACATATTTTGTGATTGTAAGAATTTTAGGAGATAATAAGGATTTTCTGATAAAAGTCATAAAATACATTTTTGTAGCAGCTGGTTGTTTTGTTTTATGGCATATCAAAACCTCAGTGGGTCATTTAATACCAACAAAATTTTTGAAATAGATACTTAGCAATAGTTTGGTAAATAAGGTGTGTATGTATATATATATATATATATATATATATGAACCATTTTTTAATTACTCATATTTTTGAGTACAATCACATATATTGCTGGTAATATTGTTTTTTTTTTTTTTTTTCAAAAACGTACCACTGGCAATATTTTCTCCACAAAAATATATTGCTGGTAATAATTTTTTTTTTTTTTTCAAAAATTAATTCCTGGTAACAATCTTCTACAAAGCAATTCCGGCACCAAAACCCATTTCTACGCTTCCACAATGCCCTTTACTCCAGCTTTGGGGTCAACCACTCACCCACAGCGGGGATCCCAACAGGCGGCACCACCTGGGTTCAAGGCGAACCCAGGAACACCAGCAACTAAGAGCAGCTCCATGTTCCTCAAAACCTCCCCACCAGAGGCTCCACTGCTGGACGCAGTTCATCGTCTTACCCAGGATAACCCATTGGTGGTGGTGGGGGGGCCGTCTTACCCCTCTGCAGAGGTGCAGTCAGCATATTCTACAGCTCCAGCCGACAGGCTGGCATCTTTGTAATGGGAGTACCAGCAATACATTTATATATATATATATATATATATATATATATATATATATTTTAGAAAAAATGTTAAAATTCCCTTTCTGTCATGCGAAGTTGGCCTAGAGGTAAGATATTTGACTGATGTGAAATTAGTCAGGTTTTGATCCTGACTTGAACCAATTGAACATCTAGCCACAGTGAGCAGCTGTAATACAGCGAAACTGTCTTTGGATGACTATATATATATATATATATATATATATATAATTACCAACAATACATATTTATAGTAAAATTGCCAATAATACATTTTATCTGTAGTTGAAGGCATACAATTACATTCAAAATATATTTAGTTGAAGCAATAATAGTGTATAGTATATATTTAGTTGAAGCGATAAAATTGTGTTCAAAATATTTAGATTTCGGCATTAAATAACCCATAGAGGTTGATATGCCGCTAAACAAAATCAACCAACCAACCCAAATGATATAAGAATTCATAAATATTATTTTTACATATTTTTCATTTAAGCAATTTTCATTAAAAATTTTAGTAAGTTTTTAGTAAGGTAAGTTTTTCTTTTTCAGAAAAAACAAATTCTGGGTTCCATTGAGTTTAAAAAATTGTCTGTATGTCATGGCATTTTATACAATAATTGATCATTTTCAAGAACATAACTTTATGTGTCATGATCTTGAAATTGAAGAATTCATATGTTGGTAGATCAATAAGTCTGTAAGAAGCAAAAATCCATTTATTTTACACATTTATAAGCATAAGTCAATGCATGGCAAATATTAATTGCACAGAATGAACCTTATTCAGTGAAAATTTCATACCAAAATTAAACTAAGAATGATCCATTAGGCTAACAAAGTCAAGTTTGCAATCTGATACCCTTGCTGCCAATCTGATCAGAAGAGATGTTATAAAACATGCAGAATTACCTTCCTTCATTACCATTAAGTTTATTAATCTCCCATCGACTTGTGTTAGACGTTGTCCCAAATCTGTACCCTGTCGCTGTGGAAGGATCAGCTTCTGCTGGTTGTAAAGGTAGTGCACACTGACCTGGGGGTAATGTTGGGGGTGGTGCTAGAAAAAAAGTTCAATACAGACCAAATTTATGAAACTGAATAAAAAAAATATGTAAGGAGACAGTTCCCAATTTAGAGATGAAAAAAATTCTATGATTTGCAGTCAGCATCTATAAAAGAAAACTGGATCATTTTGTTTTAAGTTAATCTTAGAAACATTACAAGAGGTGTATACATGTATACATTTACAAGAGGTGTATACTTTTACAAGAGGTGTATACATGTACTTCAACTTTACAAGAGGTGTATACGTGTACTTCAACTTTACAAGAGGTGTATACGTGTACTTCAACTTTACAAGAGGTGTATACGTGTACTTCAACTTTACAAGATGTGTATACGTGTACTTCAACTTTACAAGATGTGTATATATTACATCAACTTTATTCTATTTTTGAATAACGTGTTTTTCATGTTTCAATCTTTTTCATTATTTGGACCTTTCCTGCAGTAAGATAGTTGTACGTATCCATTTATCTTTCTATATCTCTGAGATGAAGTGTTATGATTACTTACATTATTTACATTATTTGGACTGTAGCCTGGTATTGAGTCAGTGAATAAAGGCATTGGTTAGATCCAGTGACTAGACCCAAAGAGTTGTGAGTTCAATACCAGTCTACAGCAGTGGTGAACCAAAACTTGAAGAGTTGAGTTAAAGGGAAATAACTGAGACATCCAGAAGAGGCATGGCATGTAGAACTAGAACAATCTAACCCAGTGGACAAAATAAAGGGTTTGGTTTGAAATTCCAATTACCTGAAGAAGGCTGGAGTTTACAATGGATGAAACATTGTGAACATGGCAATAACGGTCTGAATAATGTAAGTAATCCGTTTATCTTGTGAGATAAAGGTAGTTGGTCGAAATTCAGTCCTTTAGTGTGGAAACTGGAGTGAATTCTCTAGGGTACAGGCCTGGGCAATGGTATATACATGGACTACATGGCCCCCTCTTGGCAGCCGTACCAACAAAATCCAATTGAATACAAAATATTACATTTGAAGACAGCTTGAAAGTTGTCAGTTTTCACAGTCAACTGCCTTCAGGGGTCCACTCTGGCTTTTCTGTCTGGATTTACTTTCATAGCTTTTTCTGTGTTTGGATATGACCACAAAGCAGAAAAGGTTTAAAATCAGGGGTTTTCTTTGCCCTAGACGCACTGCCTTCTGGGCTCCATCTTCTCAAAGCAGCTAATTATGAGGTGCCACATATTTACCTTCACCCATTCTCCAGCTTGGAGCTGGAATTAGTTGTCAGAGGCTAATCAAGACACATGCCACAGAAGTATTTTATAGACAGTGAAAGTTTGTCTCCACTATCACACCCAACTATGACAGCCTTTCGAAGATATATAATGTATGTATATAAAGATTATATATATTACATATTTTAGAAACTCAAAAGTTTGAGTAAGATAGCATATTTCAAATAAAAATTTGCAAAGGGAGTTAGGTAACCTTTAACCTGCATGCACACAAAAAAATGGTGTGCCAAAAGAATGGTTTTTCCCTTGACTCCACTATTATTTTAACTACCTTCACTCCTCAGCAATGTTTGTTTTAAAAAGCGATGATTAGAATTTTAATAAAACCTAAACATAGGAAAATGGATTTATTCATTTTCTTTATTCTTAAGAAGCCTCCTGATCAGAGGCCTTGATGTTTGACATAGTTTATCATCTTACCCAGGATGCGGATGTAGTTTATTGTCATATACAGGGTGGAAAACAAGGTTCAATTTCCCCTTCTAAGAAATGCACATCTTTCATCTGACCCTATATTTGTTAACTTTATTTAAGGCCATGTAACAAGTTTATTTCTTCAAAAGGGCAACTAGACCATGCTTTGCTGGGAATGCTCTCATGGCTGACCAGTTAAAACCAGTATAAAGTATTATATTAATTATAGCTTACAACTAAACCACAGAAGTTTCTATAGTACAGTTTTAAATCCTCCAAGATCAAAGACAGATTAAATATGATTGTTTTGTAGTTCTTTTAAATTTGACAGGTTCATACATTATTTGAAGAGAAAAATTTTTTTTTTAAAATTCTGGTATCTTTATTTTTTAAAGATATGAAAAAATTGTGGTCCTTACTTGCTGGGAGGACAGATGTAGATGGGAATGTTGTTGATATGTCAAGAGGGCAAAGATTTAATCTTACTCCTGAAGATGCTTTGGCCATGGCAAAGTTGAAGAACCTGGAAAATTTAAAGAAAATAAATATTCAGGTGACCTTCTATATTTACTCTAATTCACAATTCCATCAGATTAAACCAAAAGCTTTCTGGACAAAAATTTAGTAAAGGTTGCCATTATTGGGCTCTTGAAAATCCAAGAGAACTACATGAAAGACTACTGCACAGCACAAACATCATACTTATTATAAAACCCATGTTGTGTGTGTGTGTCTGTACGTTTATATATTGGATTGGATTTCCTACATTTTTCAACCGATTTCAGCAAAACTTCACAAGACTACATAAAATTACCTTGTGGTGGTTCTGACAGCACCAAACATTGAAAAAACACAATTATTTTTGCACAAAATCAATTTGAAAACACAATTAAGAGGCACCGCAAGAATAAAAGAGGGACAAGTCATATCGAGTTATACTTATTATAAAACCCAGGTTGTTTGTGTGTGTGTGTGTGTGTGCGCGTGTTCATTTATATATGTGATCGGATTTCCTACATTTTTTCAACCAATTTCAACAAAACTGCACTTTTGTTTTTGGCAGGTAGTGTTTCTTATTGTCTTGCACACTTTTTTCTTTATTTTTACATTCAGAATGCTTTAAAAATTCCATTTACGAGAAAATTGTTTATAATAATATATATCATAACGATTGAAAACAATGTTTTTGTTTGAGTTTGGGTTTGACCAATTCGTAAAAAAAAAAAAAAAAAAAAACCTAATTAAGACATGCATGTCCGTCAACCTTAAACAATAATCTTTGTCAATTTTATTTTTCAGTCTTTATGATGGTCGATACTTGATCTATCTCTTATTGTTACATCCCCGGGCAACACCAGGCTCTACTGCTAGTTTACTATAAATAACTCATGAGATAAGTTTGTTATCCACATCATTATAAAAGATCCTAATCAAATTCTTCAGAGAAAAGAACTGAATCCCCGACCCAGGGCTGGTACAAGAGTCTCATGGGCTGCCCCCAAATCTACTACATCTCAATTTTCATAAGGTAGTATTCATATAAAATATAAATTTTATTGTAACCTAATTATGTACAATAATGGATCATATGCAATATAGGTGAACAATCAACAAGAAAAATGGAAAATAAATACAATGTATCAAAATACAAATTAGAGACATGTCAAAATGGATCATTCCATCTTAAATAAATCAACAATGTTTTGAGATTTTTCTTCTTAAAAAGTCGGATAATTTTAACACATTCAACATTATGGATAAAAAGCAGTAAATTTTATATAGTAATTTTTTGAGACTTAACAATGAGCAAAACAAATTCACAAATTTGGAGGAAAAGAAAGAAACCCCAAAATGACATCAAACTCCACAAAAATTTTCATCCTTTAATAGTCAATTGTGCTTAGTTTAATTTGTAACATATATAAATGTGGATAGAAAAAAAGCAAATCTTGATAAGATTGTGAGGGCCCCAATCCAGCTCTCATGCAGTCGAGGGGCTCAGGGATAGTATGCACTGACCCCGACTAAAAAAAGTGAATCTGTTTAGACAATCAAATAAGGGTAAAGCAAATACAAAATTTAAATGATATCAGTCAAAGAATTTCTTTCTAATTTTACAACTTTAAACTATTTTTAAGAAGTTTGAGAAATTGTAGAGATAGTTTAATTTTTTTTTTTTTTTTTTTGTATGGATCAGGAGTATGGACTCTTGTTGCTACCATCAGTCAGAAATTAGGTGCTTACACAAAAATGCTTAGAGTAGCACAAAATATCAAATGTCATCAGCACATCATGAATGCACACCTAGCAATATGACAAATATTATTTGTATAAATCCACATTATATATATATATATATATATATATATATATATATATAAAACCATTGACTTTCAAATAGACAGAGGAAGATGATTATGCCATTTTTGCGACCACTCGTTCCTTTCTATTAAACATTCAGGAAATCTCCTCCTCCCCTCTTAAGCTTAAGGCATTTATTACTAGAAATTATATTTTTTTTATTATTTATTACTAGAAATTATATTTTTTTTTATTTATTACTAGAAATTATATTTTTTTTATTTATTACTAGAAAATATATTTTTTTATTTTATTACTAGAAATTATTTTTTTTATTTTATTACTAGAAATTATATTTTTTTATTTATTACTAGAAATTATATTTTTTATTTTTTATTACTAGAAATTATATTTTTTATTTTATTACTAGAAATTATATTTTTTATTTTATTACTAGAAATTATATTTTTTTATTTATTACTAGAAAATATTTTTTATTTATTTTATTTTTTTATTTATTACTAGAAATTATATTTTTTTATTTTTTAGAAAATATATTTTTTTTATTTATTACTAGAAAATATATATTTTTTATTTATTACTAGAAAATATATATTTTTTTTTATTACTAGAAAATATATATTTTTATTTATTACTAGAAAATATATTTTTTTATTTATTTTTTATTTTTTTATTTATTACTAGAAATTATATTTTTTATTTTATTACTTTTTATTTTTTTATTTTATTAGTAGAAATTATATTTTTTTTTTTTATTACTAGAAATTATATTTTTTATTTTATTACTAGAAATTATATTTTTTTTTATTTTATTACTAGAAATTATATTTTTTATTTATTACTAGAAATTATATTTTTTATTTATTACTAGAAAATATATATTTTTTATTTATTACTAGAAAATATATATTTTTTTTATTTTATATATTTTTATTTATTACTAGAAATTATATTTTTTATTTATTACTAGAAATTATATTTTTTTTATTTTATTACGAGAAATTATATTTTTTATTTTATTACAAGAAATTATATTTTTTTATTTTATTACAAGAAATTATATTTTTTATTTTATTACAAGAAATTATATTTTTTTATTTATTACTAGAAATTATATTTTTTATTTATTACTAGGAATTATATTTTTTTTATTTATTACTTGAAATTATATTTTTTTTATTTTATTACAATAAACATTGATGAAGAGTGAAGGTAGTTAAAATAAAAGCAGAGTATCATGGGAAAAATTGTCCTTTTGATACACCATTTTTTTTTGTGAGCACAAAGGTCCATGTTTGCCAACTCCTTTTATTCCAACTACCATGTTCATTTGAAATTTAATTGTAGTCAGAAATTTTCACCTGTTCTTTTAAGAGGAACATTTTATAGATTTTTGAAAAATATTTACCATCATTATTATTATTATGGGAATATTTATTATTTAAAGCTAATTTAAAAAATTAGCTCTGTTACTGACTGTGGCCAACTAGAACCCCAAATAATTTGTGTTTGTGAGTGGGGAGCCATTGTAAAACAGACCGCAAAATCTTTTGCAGGTAATAAAGAAAACTGGACAGGTAAAAAAAAAAAAATGGTCCCAATGTGCAAACTTACTTTCCATTAATTGTGACATCTTCAATGCAGCCGTGGAACTGACTCTTTGTCACTGAATCTGGCAGGTTGACATCTCTGCTGAAACCACCAAAGTAAAGTTGAACATCTGGATTTAGTTGGATAGCAGATGAAGTGACTGTCATATCTTCATCATTGATGTTCAAAGTCAACTCTTGACCGGCATTCACTACTGAAATGTAATGCCAATTAGCATCATTGTAATTGCTTAGTTTGCTGTAGAGTTGTGTCCCTTGAGTGCTCACAACCTTGATTTTGCCATCATCCAGGAAGAATGAAAAGAATTTTCTCTGTTGAAAAAGGAAAAGAAAATGTACACATCATATATTGTGCACAGTTGCAAGAGAAAAAAAATGACAAAAACAATAAAGTACTATTGGTGAATTTAAACAAGAAAATTTCCAGGACAGAGAGGCAACTGAGAAAATAATACTGAGAGGTGCCCAGCCCTGGGGAACAGCTGCCCAAGGCTGTGCCCTCTCATTGCACAAGAGGGAGGGATCGGTGCTTGCACCGAGGCCAACGCAACCGACAGTTGTGGGGGCTGAGAGGAATTTTTGACCCTGCCCGGGTGCACGCGCTCGGGTCCCCACATTAATCCAACCTTGTGTCACATCTCATTCTCATGGGGGAATGAGTAAAAACCGCATATAAATTTAAAATATAATGTGTTTATTTTATCTCTTACATAGCCATAGAAAAAACACCATAGATACAGAGCATTGACAGAACGTAATTTTTTTGATAATTCCATAAATTGAACAGCAGAGAGAAGTGATTTTTTTTTTATGATCTCGTCTACTTTGTCTCCAGCATGTCACCCAGGTACAAGAGTTCCCATCATGCTGGAATTACACTTGCCTTGATAGTGTCTTTCTTTCCATTTTAGTAATATCTTAGTGGAGTGCTTCTTAAACTATTGTGTGGTCTTACCCCTCTGCTGTGGATGCAGTCAACATAATCTAGGCCTTACTGATAAGATACAAATCTAGGGTTACTTAATTTGATGAAAAGATTTATTTAAACTGAGTTTTGTTATAGTTGCTCAAAGTGAAAACTTTGTGTATAAGACAAGAAACATGTGAGATAAATGATAAAATTGGAGGTTGATCAATATTTTACCAATTTTCAACGAAATAAAAGGCTCTGCCATCTAAACATAATGTGTTGATTAGCTATCTTAACTTGAACACAGGGCTTGCATTTTTGCCCATTTTTTAGACATAATAGGCCAGGGGTCAGTATATTCATCAGATCAACTTATACATAGGTATATATGGTAGGTATAAACATCATAAATAGAATATAGTGTTATTTCTCATTCAATGGCTCAGCTGGAACATTTAATAATCCTTATGCTATGTCAAGTCACTTTCTAATTATAGAAATTATATCTAATTTTCTGATGCTAATTATTATGAAAATTAATTATTAATAATTCACTGGTAAGCAACTATGTCTGATGGTATGGAATGCAGACAAACCTGATTCTTTCTTTTTTTTTTAACTCTTAACAGAAGTTTGCAGTTAAGAGACTGGGTTATTCCCCTTTGGCAGATTTCTTTTTTAATCAATTTGAACATACTTAGAAACCAGTGGCCCAAATGGACTGAAAATAGCTTCATTTTGTAGAAGCATTTTAATGGAATTGTACTAAGAAAAAAACGTGTTGTTTTTGTTGTGTTACATAAGAGAAATCTGGTCATCATAATATAGATTAATGAACTAAAAGGGTTTTGTATTCATGTAGGACATAAGGTATTTAAAAAAAGTGAGATGACTAGAAAAGAAGACAGTAAAAATGAAAGAGTTAAAATTCCAGCCACAAGGGTAACCTTTTTTTGATGAAAAGATTTATTTTGAATTGCTTCAAATTATAAGACTAACCTAAGTTTCCTGAAGTATGATTTGTACTTGTTTTTTTGTGCTTCATATTGTAAAATTCTTAAACTCAAAGATAAGGTAACCTTTACAGCATCTGAAAGATCATTTCTTTATTTGAACTTCTGAACCTAGAATACTTAGACTCAAAGAGAAATTGTTAACCATTACAGAATTCTCACATACTTACATCATCACTTGGAGAGAATGCATACAATAACAAGCCTTCTGTTCTTTCTGTCCTGATTTTCATTGTGACATGGAATCGGATTGGATCAGTTGTGATCATTTTGGATATATAGTTGTTTGCAGGTGGTGGGAAATTCACTGACCGTGCAATCTGAAAGTAGTAAGGATTAAAAAAGATTAAAAAAATTAACCTATATAATCTATGAAATAAAGTGACTATCATTCATACAATTGGATTGCTTCTATTTACTAATGTGATAATCAATTAAAGTAACAGGAAGCATTACCAGACTCCAAGAAGCAAAGAAATTATGTCGTCATGACAGAGTATCTCATTAGTAAGTAGGAAACATCAAGCTGCTTAAACACTGCTTTTCATTCTGTGTTAGCTTTCTTTGTACATTGTAATGATTTAAAAAAGAGAATTTGGTAAACATGGATAAACGTGTTTGTAGTACAGCAAAGTGTCAAAAGAAAGTTTTTTTTTTTCCATAACACCACTTTTTAACTATGTTCACTCTTTGGCAATGGTCATTGTTTTAAAAAGTTACAATTCAAATTGGAATAAAACCTAAACGGTATGGCTTTTTTAGGTACGTAGTTAAACACTTTTCTCTGAAAAAGTGTTCAACTCGACCAAGTAGACTTGCCTAAAAAAAATTTTTTAAAAAATTGATGTGGAGTCATTTGGCGAGTTGTTAAGTAAAAGAGGAGGTACAACCATGAACAATCTCCTAAAACATTTTTCATACTTTGTTATAGTTTTTGAAGCCAGTCAGATTTTTCAATTTTTCAGCGCTTCTCTACCTCACTTTCTTTATTAAACGTTATTAAAAATAAAAAAATGAATTCTTTATATATATATATATATATATATATATATATATATATATATATATATATATATTCTATTCTTTCTTCCGCTATCTAATCTATTCATTATCTATCTATTTATTTTTATTAGATATCTACTTTATTCATTATCTGTCTATCCAAGTTGATTCATTACTAGCAGTAGTACCCGACGTTGCCTGGGGATGTAACAGTAAGAGATAGATCAAGTATTGACCATCATAAAGACTGAAAAATAAAATTGACAAAGATTATTGTTTAAGGTTGACGGACATGCATGTCTTAATTAGTTTTTGTTTTATACGAATTTATACATTTTTAAGTTCTTACATTTTACAACAAAAATGTTAAACACGATTTAGTTATTAGATTTACAAGAATAATTTTATATTGATAACATTCTAAAAATTAATACAATAAATGTGAAAACAATTTTTATTCATAGATTTATAAACATTTACTAAATTATTAAAATACATGAACCAATTATAAGTAAATCCTTATTTACCATTTTATAATGTTTGAATCAATTATAGCCAATGCTTTGCTGGCCATTCAAATAAACAATATAATATTAATGCTATTAATAATAATGTAAATAAGCAATCTAATGTTTATTATTTTTGTTATCAATTCTCAAGAACAAAGAAAATATATAAATTCACTTGCATTATCAAAAACAATAAAAATTTCCAAACAGTGAAGGTAGTTAAAAAAGCTGTGTCATAGGAAAACTGTCCTTTTGACACTCTGTCTTATTATGAGCTATTGTTTGTTATTCTCTCTTACATGTGACAATAGAATTAGTTGCATCTGTCTATATTTCTGAGATGAGGTATTATGTACACTATTTACATTATTAAAACTATTGTCCTCATCTTTGTCGCCCTGTTTATTACATTTCAGCCGTTGTACACTTCAGCCTTCTTCAGGTGGTTGGAATGTCAAACTGAATCCTTTCGCTCACTGGGGTAGACTGTTCTACTTCCACGTGCCATGTCTAATGGATGTCACTTATCAGTTATCTCCTGTTAATTCCCCTCTCCAAGTTCTCCACCACCTTTACCAGGTATTGAACTCACGATCTTTGGGTCTGTTCACTGGATCTAACTAACACCTTTATCTGTGCCATGTGTCCTTGAGGACATCTGTGTATGAATTTCTGGGTATTATAAACCTAATGTCTTCAGCAACCATTTTTTAACCACTGCTCATATTGCAATTTTTGCTGTTATCATTGCATTATTTTACCAGAGCTCATATTGCAATTTTTGTTTTGTCTCCTGAGCCGACCAAGCATAGAAAGGAATACAATATGGGAACCAGTAATAAGGAGTGCCAGAGAAAAGTGATAATAACAACAAAAATTACACATGGCATGTGGAACTAGGACATTATACCCCAGTGAGTGAAATAAAGGGTTCAGTTCGACATTCCAACCACCTGAAGAAGGCTGGAGCATACAACGGACAAAACATTGTAATAAATATGGTGACAAAGATGAGGACAATAGTCCAAATAATGTGAATAGAGAATTAATTGCATAGATAAAAATCCAAGATTAATCTTGAGGAAAATATAAATCATTCATGTTTTTTTTAATCATTTCACCCCATTCAAGGCAATAAAGCCACTAAGACTCAAGGGGTTTGCTGAGTATGAAAAAGTATGGGGAAAAGAAAAACATTCTTAAGGAGAGAGAACAACAAAAGAACAATAATTAAGAAAACAAAAGATACTGAATGACATTGAATTTAAGGAAAATATGCTTACCAATTCTGGGCAGCCTGGAATAACTTTGTGGGCTAAAATACTATTTGCAAATCCTGATGTGTCAGCATTAAACTGAAGATTCTTTATACAACCAGTGAAGCCAAAATCTGAGACATTTCTGAAAAATAATTAAAAGATTGATAATTGCAATTTTTTTTTTTGATACAGCAGAGACAAACTTCAGAAACAATTCATCAGTTATGATCCTGTCTTATTACAAAGAGGATTTACAATGTTTATAATTGATAATGTTTAGATTTTGCAGATAAGTAGACAGAAATCAATTTTTTTTTGCTTCTTTTTTTGGAAAAAGAAAATGTTGCCCACTGCAGGGAGCTGAGCGAGGATGGGCAGATTACTTCATGGGCATGGTATTCTGACAATGATGGATTGCCTTTGTCTAAGTTTTGGATGTAAGTTCAAAACGGAACAAAATCAACAGAGGACCCCATCCTGGGTATGACGATAAAACCACATCTGTGTCCTGGGTAAGATGATAAACTATGTCCAATAGCAAGGCCTCTGATCATGAAGTTTTGAGTAGTTTGGAACCACCTCTTAATTGCTAGTGTTCCCAGGTCCACCCTGACCCTGGTTGGTAGCACTTGTTAGGGTCTCAGCTATGAGTAAATAGTTAACCCCCAAACTGGGGGTAAAAACACTATGAAAGTGTAAAAATGAGTTTTAATCCCAGAAATACTTTGTAAAAATATTACTAGCAATAAATTTTTAAAGAAAATTTACCAGTTATACATTTTTGAAAAAAAATATCTTGTTGGCATTAAATAACCCATTGAGGTGTTGATATGCCGTAAAACAAAATAAACCAAACCAACAGAGAACCACAGGAATTTTGAAGAATCAATATGCTTCCCACATCCAGGTTCTAGAGACAAGCTAAGCCAATGAATGGCATGTGTTCCCTTGAGGTCCTTCCTCCTGATGCCTCATCATATCAATGCTGCTACGTTTGTCTCTCTACTCTAATAAAACGAATAAGGAAAAGAAACCATCTTTTGTTGATACCATGGAGGGGTGCTGGGGTTCAGTAAGGACACAGAATGCAACAAAAAGTTAAGGTTGATAACCAAATCAACTATGAAAATTTTATGGAAAATGGGAACAAAAAGGACACATATCTGGAAAGAGTTTTAACAAAGGACAGATATTGCAACACCAAAATCCAAAAGTGCATTAGGATCACAAAAGATGCCTTCCAAAAGCTAAGCAAGGTACAGGAAAAATTCATTAGAAACAAAGAAAAGAGTACTGGACTGTTATGAAATATCAGTTCTCCTATATGGTAGTGAATGCTAGGCAATCTCTTCAGAAATGTCCTACAGAAGGATACTGAGAATACCAGGGACTGAACATGCGAGTAATGAGTATGTTTTAGGGAAAATGAAAATGAAAAGGACACTTACAATCAAAATCAGAAAGAAATGATTGAAATTTCTAGGCCACATAATGAGGAAAGAAAGCTTAGAGAATGTGAAACTCACAAGACATAGTGAATGAAGTCATGAGGACAGAGGGAGATATCAAGTTACCTACCTAATGAGCTTATGTAAATAGATTGCAGAACAGGGAATGGAAAAGATAAAAGAACAAAGTGTTCTAAAAGCTATAAAGAATAGGAAGTTGTGGAGAGATGTGATCAATCTACCAAACAAGCACATGTAAATGGATGGCAGGACAGAGATTTGGAAGCATTGTAAAGCAACAGAGTACTAAGAGCTATAAGGGATAGGAAGTTGTGGAGAGATGTGATCAACCTATCTAATGAGCTTGTTGCTAATCTAGTACTGTGCTGAAATTTATAAAATTCCAGGAACCATAGTGAAGAACTCATCCGACCACTCAACATGAAGGTATTTATAGAAAAGGCACAGGGAAGGAACTTTATGGTGGTGGGAAAGTGACTGAAGCCAAGATGCCAGATTAAGACCAATAATATTGCAGATTCTTCTTTGGCTTTTATCAAGGAACTCTAGATAAATAGTAGGAGCACAAGGTTATATGTGGCAGCAATATTCTAAGCATGGACAAATGGTAGACTTATAGATATGTAAGATAGATTCTGGAGAAAAAAAATTATCTCACACGACACTGAACAAACTTTCTTGGCAGCTGACCTAGCAACGGGTTCAATATAGTCTTTCCATTTCATGTCAGCTTAGAACTTTAGCCCAAGAAGGCGCAATGAGTCACTTTCCTGGACATAATATATAAAATAAAGAACTCCAGATTAAAAATTTTAAGAAAATCATGTGGTTATTTTGACTTTTGTAAGGGAATCAACCTGCAATTAATTTATACAAACAAACTGGACCTGACACTATATAGTTATATATCTAGGTACCATAGCAAAGAGCTCTTCCGAACAAATACCATGAAAGTATTTATAGAAAAGGTACAGGGAATCAACTTTATGGTGGTGGGAAAGTGACTTAAGTTGAGCTGCCAGATCAGGACCAATAACATTGCTAATTCTTCTTTGGGTTTTATCATGGATCTCTAGATAAATAGCAGGGGCACTGGACCATATGTGACAGCAATGTTCTAAGCCTGGACGAATGGTAGACTTATAGATATGTATGATAGATTCTGGAGAGAAAAAAATTGTTTTGCATGGCACAGTGAACCAACTTTCTTAGCAGCTGACCTAGCAATTTATTCAATATAGTTTTTCTACTTCATGTCAACCAAGAATGTTAGCCTGAGAAGGTGCAATGATTCATTCTCAAGAGGTTAGCATCAGCCATGATGATGGAAAGCAGAAAGCAATCTCTCATATGATTAATAGAGAACAGTTTAGATACATAAAGAGTAATCAGGAAGACAGTAGATAGTGATTGACATTGCATTTAAATCTTTGAAAATCAAAGTTGGTTGTAAAGTATGGAGCTGGAAGAGAGTTCCACAAGCAGAAAGTAAAAGAAAAGAAACTGTCAGCATAGATTTTATTGTTACATCTACCATATTGAAATGTCAATTAATGAGACCTTGTTACCAGTCTAGTACTGTGATTAAATTCATAAAGTCTAGGTACAATAGCAAAGGGTTCATCCAAACAATTACCATGAAAGTATTTATAGAAAAGGCAGAGGGAAGTAACTTTACAGTGGTGGAAAAGTGACTGAATCCAAGATGCCAGGTTAGGACCAATAATATTGCTGATTTCTTTGGATTTTATCAAGAATCTCTAAATATATAACAGGAGCACCAGACCATATGTAGCAGCAATATTCTAAGCATGGATGAATGGTTGACTTATAGATATGTAAGATAGATTGCAGAGAAAAAAAATTATCTAGCACGACACAGTGAACCAACTTTCTTAGCAGCATACCTAGCAATGGATTCAGTATAGTCTTTCCCCTTCATGTCAGCCAAGAATGTTAGCCCGAAAAGGCGTAATGAGTCACAGGAGGTTAACATCAGCCATGCTGATTTAAGGCAGAAAGAGAACTTTCAAATGGTTAATAGAGATCCATTTTATTTTGGAGGCATTAAAAATGTAAAACCATTCTTTGCCTCTGTTAACAACAGACTGGAGGTCATTTTTGACATCATCCGCCAAATTTGACATTATTGATGTGATGCTCTTCTGTAAATGCTCATCAGGCATTCAGGAAAGATGAGGAAGGGGATGAAAAAGAAAGGAGGAAAGAAAAAGAAATGAAGAATAGAAAGCCCCACAGATTAACCCCAAGACTGGTGTAGCAGCCCAATGAGGCTAAACTTTAATTTAAAAACAAAAAATGAGAACAAAATAATTCTGAATTTTCTTAGAATTGAAAAATAAAAAAAAGCTCATATTTTTTAGATGAATTTTAAAATAATCAAATTATGCTTACCTTCTTGGCATGTCTAAGTAGTCACTATAGCCACCGACAAAAAGTTCTTTGACAGCTAACATTTGAAGAGTTCCAGGAGACTTTCCATTATCTGAAAATGAAAAAGGTTTTAGTGTTAAATTTAATATTTTAAAACCCAAGATTTTAGTGTTAGAAAAACATTCCAAAACCTTTGGTTTTAATGTTTAAAAAATACTCTAAAACCTTTGGTTTTAATGTTTAAAAAATACTCTAAAACCTTTGGTTTTAATGTTTAAAAAATACTCTAAAACCTTTGGTTTTAATGTTTAAAAAATACTCTAAAACCTTTGGTTTTAATGTTTAAAAAATACTCTAAAACCAAAGGTTTTAATGTTTAAAAAATACTCTAAAACAAAAGGGTTTACTGTTAAAAATACTCTAAAACAAAAGGGTTTACTGTTAAAAATACTCTAAAACAAAAGGGTTTACTGTTAAAAATACTCTAAAACCAAAGAATTTAGTGTTAGAAAAAACACACTATAAAATCAAAGATTTTAATGTCAAAAATTACTCTAAAACAAAAGGTTATAATGTTAAAAACTTTAGAAACTAAAAACTTTAAAACACTCTTGATTGATATGAAAATATGAATCTCCATAAATTTTTAGTATGAAAATATTAGAATGATAAATTTTTGAAGACTAAAAATCAATGATTTATTATGAAATAATAAAGCAAAGTAAATTTTTTCACATTCTTGATTTGTTTTGAAAATGTGAGTTGAGGTAAGTTTTTTTTTTTACACTAAAACCCATGATTCAGCAGAGAATTATTAGGCAGGTTCAAGTGTTTTTCTAACACAAAAGGCATTCATTTAATTTAAAAGAAAAATGAGGCAGTTTAAAGTTATCAAACATCTAAAGTTTATGCAGTTTTTGTTCATATGTGAGAGAATGAATTTCACTGTCTTTCTCATCATTTCTTTGATGTTTACTTTGGCAATGATGAATTTCTTTCCACTTCTTTTTGTCCTCTTCTCTATCTCCCATGCTCTTACCATTTGTCCACTGCAGAAAACCTACACTTGACTATGCAACAATTATAGGATCTAAAACAATTTCCCCTTCCCTCGTCAGTAAAGCAATATTTAAATACTTTTCAACAGTTAAAAATTTGCATGTTAGCAACAAAATCTTGTATTTGCAAAAATGTAACATTCTTAAATATTCACCTTAGGAGTAGCTATCTTTTTTTTTCTCTCTGGATTTATTTACATTCAATGCACATGTGAATTCTTTGTGCCAGTGGTAAGTCATTATTTTTTTCTTTATTTGTGTTTTCTTTAGGTCTGCAACCACAGTTTTTTTATCTAGTTTAAATTAGCAGCATTTTGAGTTTTTTAACTTTCACAATCTGTTGATATTGATCAATTTTTAAAATATTTATCGAGTCTCCTGGACAAATTTCTCACAGATGAAGAAGAGAAGTATGCCAAGAATATGATAAATAGAAAATTAGAAATTACCTACTCAGACAAAATAACTTATGAGCAGTGAGTTGCTGGAGGAAGGATCAGATGTTTGATACCCTAACTCAGAACCAGTACAAAATAAAAGTACAGTAGAATCCCTTATATACGGATTCCCGCATATCTGGACATGATCTTGATGTGTATATTTGAACTATTTGGGTGATATATAACTAATTTTAAATTTCTGTTTTTCCAGAAATTTACTTTGAATAATTGCTTATGCTTATTTCACCCTAATGGCTTGTATTGGTGCAAAAGATTATGGGAATAAGAGGAAAAGAATAACTTTGGAGTTATCGCAAAAAGTGGAAATTTTAAACAGATTGGTAAAAGTTCATTGTAAAGAAACTATTCTCCAGTATTCACACTGTTACAATGAACAAGGAAATAAAAAACATGATTGTGATGAAACCTGGACTGAAATTGAAAAGCTATTGAAAAGGTTGTCAGTTTTATGGAAAGAAAGCCAGCATTGAGCTATGACGATTGCAATAATGCATGCAGAGTTAAAAAGTATCTTTCGTTTAAAAAATTTCAAACATAAAAGCAAAACAAAATGCAGAAAAAGTTGATAATGACATTAGAAGAGAAAGAATCATCATGCAACAGCGATTAAAAAATCCTTGTTACATTATTTGTTTTGCATACGTGGCAGACTTAATTTAATGAATTTTCATTAACATTACATAATTTATTTCTTTTCTTTAAAATCAATTCAGTTATATTTTACTCACCATTAGCTTATTTTGTTTACTATAAAACATTGAAAATAAATGTTAAACCTGATTTCAGTTCTTTAATTTTAATCTAAATATGATCCCTCATATCCGGACTTTGTAACCAATTCCTCATATCCGGAAGGCCTTCTTAGTCCGATTGTCAGGGATTCTACTGTATAATAAAAAATTCATTTTCTTTTTTGCTCTATATCTAAAATTTACATAGAGAGTAATATCAAGAGAGACAATAAGTGTTTTGTTCAGTTTAAAGCTGGTGTTGGTTGAATTGAACAAGAAAAACAAATAAGAGTAAATTCTACAGTGACTCATAGAAACTGTTGTTAGCTAGTATGACAGATTTTCTCCTCCATTGCAGTTGGAATTCACACACCATATTTTCGCAATGATGATTTTTCTTAAATTTATTATTTTTTCTTTTCCATTTTTTCCACTTGAGCCACAGAAATGCAAAGCCTTCAGTTGCTGTCATCAACAATAGATAGATAGATAGATAGATAGATAGATAGATAGATAGATACCCTTTTAATTAAAGGGCTCAACCACTTTTTTTTTTTTTTTTTCATTTATGGTCAGTTTAAAACATGGAGTGACAGGGTGCTTTTGCAAATTTTTTCTCAAATTAATTCATTTGCAGTTCAATCAGTAATTCTTAATTTATTTTCAGGGTATATATATGAAATTTGTTTTTTTATGTCTAATCTATTGCATCATCTGTAAATATTTCAATTTTTTATCCACCCAAACACATATTATCTTGACTGTCAATTTTTGTCCTTTAACCATTGCCTAGCAATGGATGTTACTCAAATATGTATATAAATATGTAACATATATATACACTGGAATGCCTTATATTAGCAAATCAAAGTACTTTAGACTGGCCCAAAACTCCCGAATTAAATCCTAGAATAGTGTTAGGTCAATCTACAAATGGACAACTTTGTTGAATGGACATATAAATGTAACATTTAAATATAGGTCATTAAGTTTTATTGGAAAATTTCAAAAAAAAAGGTAAATAAAAAAAAATTATTACATTTTTTTTCAATTAATATAAGACTCAAAGTATGTAAAAAAAAAAAAAAAATAAAATCTAACAGCATAAACAAACACCACTCACACGAATATAACACAGAATCAATGGGTCATCAACAAGCCATTTTTGTTTCAAGGAATTTTATTTGTATAGTATTGGCTTTGCCATCGTTAAATTTTTCTTCTGTCATGATAAAAGCTCGGAGAAAAGATCATACTGGAATACAATGTCCAAATTTCTCAAAGTCAAGTTATTTGTGTTTCCAATTTTTTTTTTACATTTGTTTAAAAAAAAATGCATGATCAACCATTTAAAAAATCTTGTGCTGAAATACAAACTTATTTCAAAATTTGAAAAATTAAAGTTCTATATTCATCAATTGGATGAAAATTTTAATGAAAAAAACCTGTAAATATTCTGTTGAAGTTTGTAACATTCACAGGCCTATGTTTGAAAAAAAAAATGTTTATGATTTCTTTACCTTAATTAACCTTATTTAAAAACAGTTCACAGACAAATACATGCTGTCAAATTTTGCATTTTCTTCAAATTATTAAACTATGGATCTGATGATTACTTAAGCTGAAAATGACAGTTACCATGCAGTGTGTCTGATAAATTGAGTCCGTATGAGGATCAAGAACTTGTTTCTAGGAACCTGATAGCTTGAAAACAGCACATTAGGTTTGATTAAATTGTGAAGGTTTTAATAGAATATTCAAAACTTGCCAAGGGCCTCAGTATATTGGTCCAAATGATCCTCAAATTGCAGAATTTGTATTCATTTTCCTTTCCTAAACCAGTTGCCATTATTTCATTCTACCTACTAACCTGTCATTTACAAGTCACATGAGATGTACAGTGAATTACCTTTAAGAAATATTTGTTTATTAGCATATGTAGAATGTATATATGTAATTGTAGGGCAGGTCGATTCCTCAATTGGAGCTCTATTCATTATTGCACTCAATTTGAAAGTTATATATATATATATATATAAATATATAAAATATTCTTTTCAAATCCTTTTATTTGTTGAAATGAGTTTAAACATTCTTTATTCAAAAATATTAATTTTAACCATTTTCTTTCCAAAGATCAAATAATCTTTATAAAATTTATAATTTCAGTTAGCTTTAAAATATTTTAAATGGATGCTGATGTTTAAACTTTAGACTTGCAAAATTTTCATTAAAACATTTTAAAATCAAATAAGGCATTCATTTATTTACTAATTATTATTAATATATATGGGAAATTTTTCTTTAAGGCATATATCTTGTTAAATGATGTAATTTTTTATACAGGGCTATTTTTAGAATCTTCTTTTTTAATAAATGATGCAAATTTAAAAATATTTTGTCTAATAATTTTTGTCCAGCAATTTATTATAGTGTTGTACACAATTTTCTTTTTTTTTTGATCTTATCCCATTATGTTCGAAATGTTTTCTAACTAATCTGATTCCATGATTAGACTTTTTGAATCTTTTATAATTTTTTTTTATCAAATACAGTAAAATTTATATTTTGAGTTTGATAATTTAACTAATCAGAATGTCTAGAACTGGATATATTTTGTTATTCAATGTATCTATTCAAAAAATTTAGTTCATTTGGATTTTTTCATGAAATATCAAAATTTTTTATTTGAAATGGCAAAATCCAGTGAAAATTAAAGTGCATCTGTAGATTTTGTCAATTTTAGATGAAAACTAAATGCTCAAAAATTTTGTTGTGAATCTAATTTTATAATTGTCAAATTTATCATATCAAACCCCAATTTTTTCACTAA